TCCAATGTAGAGATTATCTCGGTTGCTTGAAATTAATAGCTGAGATATTTCGCATGGATTGAACGAACGTCAAACATACATAAAGAGCCTTGGAAAGTTTCAATGAGATAATTCTTGGTTTCACAAACAAGACATTTTTGTCTCATTTTTCCGCCCACTGGTAAAATATAAGCATTCTATTGAGGCAACCGAAATAATGTTAAATGAAGACATTATTAGGGACAATTTCTCAAGATTTGTCCTTATGCAGAGTCTTTATATGCTTTGATCTTTGGAAAGAATTGGTTTTACAGTTTCTGTTATCTTATTGAACACAGTTGGTTTTGGATGATTAAAACCTGCTGCAAAAAGGCTAGAATAATAATAAAGTGACAATTACACAGTGGCTAATAAACTAGTTGAAGTTAAGGTATGCATAAACAACAGTTTTGGAGTAATGAGAAAACTAAGAGAAATAGCTTTGTTGCTATAGGCGTGAAAAAATTTACAAGAAGTGTGTCTAAACTTTGAAACGTAAATTAATAGTTCACTTAATATGCTCCCATTAAAAAATTTATTTAAGGATATTGATTTCTGGTCGCATTTTAGTCCATCATGCTTTTTTAGTATCTTTAGGAGCTTTTTTGCCTTTTTATTTTCGAATTCTTCCTAAAATAATTTTTCCTACAACTTGGTTGAAAAGCAAATGGGGATAGATAGATAATCCTAAAAGTTTAGAAGCTCATTGTGCGCAACCCGTGTTTGTACAAACCCAATGCATTTTAAAACCTAGAAGCAGAAGAGATAGTTTACTTTGAGTAATGTCTCGTTTTTAACATTATTCAGTTTCGCGCCAAGAAAGCAATGACGATAAAATGTATCCAGTTTTTTTCCATTCATAATTTCCCTTCATTTCAGTCCTCTCTAATTTTGGACTCAGCGTGAAAGTGCAAATCGTAGAAAATTGAATGTAGATATGTCAATCGTTTAAGCTCCAAGACGCTACTGGATGAAAACTATGGGATGCTTTCCCTCCTTAAAAAATTGCTTTTCTTGCGCCCTTCGCTCTAAGTCATCCATCATCCAAAATTGGTTCTTATTTTAATTATTCGAGTTCGCCTTAAGCTCTGGCAAAACGACTAAACATTTCACTGAACATTTCACTCAACTTTTGTTTAGTGAAGTTGAGTGAAGTTTAGCGAGGGTGGCAAAATGTGACTAAACTTTTTACTAAACTTCACTCAACTTTTTTGAACTGCGAGCTGTCTTTGACGCTGTTGGGTTGTTGGGGATCTTGCATAGGAATTTGTTTTGGCTTATTTTGTTGGATGAAGCGACGGGGAAACAAAAGACTTTTTAGCACATTGACATGTGACTGTTGAAGAAGACACAGTGGCGTACAACGAGATATGCAGATGTCTCATAAAGGCTTTTAGGGTCACGTAGGGACAGGAAAACCAACGAAAACAAACGAAAACCTTTGGATTTCCACAGCTAGTGCGCCTGCGCGATCACAACAAATGTTTAATTGGTGGCAAAACGACTAAACATTTGCTAAACAACACTAAACAACGCTAAAATTGTTTGACCAGGATCAAACTTTGCTCAACAACACTCAACATGACTAAACAACACTAAACAGGGTGGCAAAACGACTAAACCTTTCACAGTGAAAGTTTAGTGAAATGTTTAGTCATTTTGCCAGGGCTTTAGCTCGACACGAGGGTTGTAACAAACCTAATGGAATTCTGTTAGTGAGACATTTAGCACGGATAATGAAAATTGGTATTGGTTTGAAGACTTTCTCTAATGAGACAGTATTACAGGGGTCGTTCATGTCGGAAGCCAGCCTTGAGGGAAAAGATCTCCATTCATTGGCAAGCAAAAGAAAATAACATTATTTAATAAACTCGACAATGGGAGTCCATGGAAAATTCTGTCGGCATTAACGTGACTGCAATGCTAGAGCAAACTGCAAACGGACAATAACACTACCTCTTTATCCTCTAAGTAACTTAATAAGGAATGCGAATTTTCAATGCAAATGTTCATCAGTTATCTTTCCTGTTTTTTTCAGATTTGTTATCGTAAACAAGGTTGGTAATTGAAGCAACAAGGCCCAAGGAGTTAAAGCGCGACATCGTTTGTTAAAGAGGGAGACATGAGACAAGCTTGGAGCCTGAGCATGGTCAGCTTATATGAAGTAAGATCACTGGTTAGTTTATATAAGATCACTGGTCAGCTTATAAGAAAACAGTTGTACAAAGCACGTGCGTATATATAGGTTGTTCGTGGCTAGGGAGCTCTACATGCAGATCGGGCAAGCGCATCATAAGTCTTAGTGCTGAAGATAGGCCATAGAAAGCAAATAAAAGGCCTTTGGGCTTAGTTTAGGCCATCAAAGGCAGAACTTAATTTCGTTTTATGTTTCAAACAAACAAAAAACGAAGGGGAAAGCTGCAACAAGAAGGCTTGTAAGAAAACTTGTTTCAGGTCTGCCGCAACGCTGATTAGTCGTTTAGAACAATGGTTATAAAAAGGAGTATTTTTATTGGTTCTTACATTTGATTTGTCCCAATTGGCTCTTGAACAATTTGCGTAGAGCAAGCTAAAATAAGATATTTTAACAGTAATACTGCTAATCAAATCCACGAGCTCTATTATTGAGCATAATAAAGCGTTGGTTTTCTGTTCCCCAATAAGAAGAATTTACCCTATGAGACTTTAGAAAATTGAATGCCAACAGAATTATCCATTATTATTATTATTATAATATTATGCTACATCATTATAATAGTAGCCTTCATTAACTTACGTGTATATTTACTGTTGTTCATTCTCGTCGCATTGTGGTGTTTCTTATTTGCTACATTTTCATCGATTTTTCGCCGCAAGAACTCCTTGGAGTCCGTCGAGCAGCCTGCTATCGTGACCTTTTATTCATTCACAGAATTATGCTTCCCTTACCACCGTAAAAACAGCGTAAACATATTGCAGTTGAGTATTTTGCTATTTGGCAGAAGTCAGCAAAGTTGAAGTCGAGGACATTGGAATCCAACTACTGCTTTAATGTGCAGTTTTTGAAGTATTATATATAAGATTGAAGCAATATAAGATTAAATATTCACTTGATACTTTCAAAACAAACAAATACTGACGAAGCCTAGGCCTACCTTACATTTGTTGCGTAGCGAAGGTTCTCCATACCTCACGTAGCCAGTTTCTATCACACTCTAAACCAAGTTAAGACGTCTCTGTGACTCTCAGTTAATTAACCTCAAGTATTTTTCTCATAAACGTGAAGCTATAGTTGAGCTCAAATTAATTCTGCCGAAGAATACCTCGAGATTGTTGAAAGCATATCTTCACCAGGGGCAAACGCCTTCTTGAAGACAACAAACAGAAGACTCATGGGACAAGCAGTTGATGCTTTGGGGAAATGAGTACCATGGAGGAATTTCAAGGTTTGGAAGCACAGTCTTAGAAAACAAACAAAATTACAAGATCAGTTCAAGCATATGTTTTTTGAACACCAGAAATTTGCGTTGTTTTTTTTTCTTGTTTTCGTTTCTTCTCCAGAATACTTCTTATTCTACCTCCTTCCATCCAGAACAATATCTTTAGTCTCTAAAAATATCATACAATTCACAAGAAAAAAAAAGTTCTTCATAGTCTCCTTATTTTTGAAAGTAAACGAATATTGTTGCAAGGGGGAGATTATAGCTCAATTTGTCATAAAAAACTGACACTAGTGTTGGGAAACTTTGGTAGGGCTTGTAGTTGAGATAGCACAAGGCTCAAGTCTTGGTTGACGGTGAGCTTGCGCTAGAACACGTGGCCTCTTTTGCCGCTGTGCCAGTGACTGCCCCAGAAAGTGTAAACAAACTTAGGCCAAAGCCAAAAATTGAGCATTTTTACCACCCTCCGTTAAAAAAAATAGCGTGTAAAATTAGATTTGAGCCCATGGTAAACTGCCATGGGCTCAAATCTAATTATACACGCTATTTTTTAGTTCGAAAAATGTAAGTGGCTTTTTCAGAAAGTTGAAAACCATGTGCCATATAATGATCGCTTCAATTTTGATACGACTGTTAAGCGCGCAATGATGCCAGTCAAATAATTACTTATTGCTTTAGGACAAGCCAAATCCCCACAAGCAAGAACGCAATAAAGCAGAAAAGACCATTCATGCTTTTTAATAAAGAATCAGTCTGAATATTCGTAAAGAAAAAAATTCCAACAACATGAACGCTTCGGATCCGTTGTTTTTCTAGCGTGCAAGGCCGCTGGGATTTATAAGAAACGTAAACATCCGTATTACACTGAATTTTTACCGTTTGTGACCTGAGACATTCCCTAAATAAAGACTCATTCAAATTTACATCTTAAAAGCCTTCGCGCAACCAACATGCTTTGCGGTAGCTGTTTTCTAATTGAGAAGGAACTGGCGGTATTTTGGGTTTTCATGCAGTAAAGTATTAGGCCGGTTTTGAAAATAAAGTTCCAAGGCATGCCGGTTGCGCAAGAGTCTTTAAAGGCAATCGACTAATCCTTAAAGCCTCGTTCCCACTGGGCGACCACAAATTCAAATGACTGTTCGCTTTTATCGCAACATGATTCAAACGTGATTATCGCGCCACGATTATCATGATAAGGGCGACAAACGCAAAAATCGCGATTAAATTTATCAATGTGGTAGCAGTTTCCAACTTTCCAATGCACGAATAGACGATTAGCGCGTACAAATTTTGTTTGTACAATCAACATGGCGCCCCTTACAAGCAAGCATCTCATTGCAGTGATTGCGGCAGTTTTCCTTTTAAGAGCGAGAAAAAGGTCTGCTTATATTCTGCCATTTTTCACTAGGTATTGGCCATGACATTCTTACATTGCAGTCTATTTTTCTTTTGTTGTGAAGACATGGGTACGGTTATACTGCTTCTGCTAGCTGTTCGTCTCGTTGAATACAATCGGGATCCATTTTGTCAAGCTACGCTACTTGGTTTATAGGTTTTGATAAGAGTGTTAGAAATAATTTACTGCAAAAAATGATTCATCAGTAATTCAGGCGGTAATTACATAGATAAATAACACAGATAACTGTTAAATGCTTTTAAGGTATTAATACCAGGCAATTCATTACGTCTTACTGAAAAGTGACAACTCATATTGGCATAAAAATAGCTACAAGTGACACGCTGAATGATACAGGTTGCTACGGGATTTTAAAAAGTGTATAAAAAATTGTATAAGAATTGTATAAAAAATACATTAAAATGTTTTATTTAAAAATAGTTTTTGTATTCTTCATTTATTTTAATCAATTTGCGATTCATTTGGTTTTCTCTCTGAAAATCTTACTAGTAATGGTACCCCCATCAATTGAAAGAAAATACACATCGAGGAATTGTGGAGTCTCGTTGACAATACTGCTTATCGTGTCCTCGCTTGATCATAAAGGATGAGCATTTACCCCTTCGTTTTTGAATCGGAGGATAACTTAGAAAGCTCTATGGTGTATTCATATTGCCATTCGAAACCCGGTTTATCCATGACAACAACCGCTAGATGTCGAAAAGCACCAGCTGGAACAAGAAATCTTTGCCTATCTGCTGCTAGTTTCATGTTTGTCAATTTTAATCTTAATTTCACAGTATAAGAGGTATTCCAGCAAGCGTTTGATGCTTCGAAAATAACTCCTGCTTTATAGACGCGCCTCAGAATATAAAGACAGTCACCATAAATCTTTTTATAAATCGTATTAACACCAAACATCGATGTAAATGCCGACCCTGGAAAAGTACTAGAAATTAGTTTCTCGGCCTTCTTTAGTGAGCAAACACAGAACTTCAAAGCGACATTACGGTTGGCACACGGCCGGTACCGGCCATAACTTGACCGCCTCTCAACCGACTTTATCTTAAAGTTAAAAGTATTACCATCGTCTATTACTGATGAAAGTACAATGCTAAATGAGTCATCACTCTGTACTTGAACATCAAACCCAGTGGTAACCGATACCTTTTCCTTTCTCTGCCAAACATTAGTGACATTTGTGCCTACGAGCTGTTGACAAACTCGGCCATTTTCAACCGTGATGTCATTTTTGTTCAGTTGTGATCTAACTATTTTTTTGTTAATCACTGCAAGGGCGTACTCAGCCATTAGAAAATGGACTGAACTAACAGGTAATGACATCCTCCAGCCCTGGCAATAACAAAGGGAGTTGCGAAGGAGGCCGAGATCATCGCATCGCCTTGCTGCAGAGACAGGTTGAAACAAACCTTGCATTGAAGATAATGCTGATTGGTGTGTTGAATTTTTATGGCTAATTGATATATGCCGCAACTGCAGCAATGTGTTACGCAAATCGCGTATCGTCACGAGTCTTCGCTGGTTATCCATCAAGTGTTTCATCCGCGATTTCCCGATTTTCGCAAACACCTTATTTGGTATAATCATAAACATAAAAGGATGGTATATTTCGAAAAGACCTTCTGAAGTGCGCGAGAACGGTCCATAAGAGTTACCATGGTCCGAAAAGATGATATGAATGGTGTCTTCTAACGACGTTACTGCAGACAGAAATCTCACAAGCGAGTCATCCAGTGTTCGTATTCGTTTCCCAGTCCCTTCATGACCCACGTCTGTAATTAAAAACGAAAACAAAGGCTTCCTGCCCTTTTTCTTGAAAGCCCTTTCTATATAATCTAAGAAATAATCATGCTGGTACCTATTACCATAACATATACTATCTGGAAAATTAAACTGATCAATGATGCCAAGATTTCGAAATATCTCACAACTGGAGTGACTTAGGCCTATGTCGTCAATGCCACTATTCCTGATGGCTTTCATAAATACTGAAAACCTTTCACCTTTTGGTAAATGCTGCATGTAAACACCCGTGTCTTTAATCAGACCCCAGTCGTACTCCCAGCATAAGTCTTCTTGATATAGCGTTTCGTAACCAATCCTTTTAAATTGATCAAAAAGTTTCTCAAATCTGACACGTGACGGGGGCTCAGCAATGCCTTCAAATTTTTCCCCAAAGTTGACAGCATCTCCAGAAAACAGAGCTTTCAGATTTTCATATGTTCGATCTTTTATGCTATGGAACAGCTCAAAATCTAACACAGATACATTATCTGATGACGCCAAATTCTCAAGATATCTGACAGTATTTGGAAGAGAGCGGTAAAAATGCGGTCTAGAAACGGAATCCACCAACATCATATTGATGTTGATGTGAAAGCTCTTCCGACTCTGATACCTCCGGGACGGATAAGAAACATATGGAAGAACCAAGAGCTGCCGGTGGTGTTTTTGCGAAACGCTGTCAGTGCATTCAAAAAACATGAAGGGATTTCTTTCAGCAACAGCTTGATCTGCAACCTTTGCCACATGTTTGGCATCGAAATCATCAATCTTGAACTTGTACCTGATCAACGCGCCAGAAGATGCATTGATAATAGCAAACGACCCAGTATGTTTCTTGCTGCAAGATGCTAAGTCGCAGTTAAAAGGAAAATTGCTATATTGTATGGAAGAATGGTCTAGTAATTTACAAAAGTCCATTTGCGAAGACTGACATTTTTCGACAGGGAAGGTCTGATAGTATCTCATAAAAATATCACTGCAAACAGAATCATCAACCAAAGAGACACTACATATGGAACTATTATCAGGTGCAGTCTTGCTCGGAATGGACATCAGCTGAAGCGATCTGTAAAAGGTATGCGGTCCACAAAAAGGCTCGTAATTAACAATGGGTAATTCCGACTGTTGCATATTTTTTATCTCTGGAAACGAAAACATGTGATTTTGCCGATGATAAAAAATCCCCATCATTAGCAATGAAATGAAACTCAAAGAAAAAAGGGTTGTGCAAATGCACCTCAAGCTGCCACTGCAAAGGAGCATTCGCAGTCTGCGACGGTATAGCATATGTCACTCCCTTTGACTCAACACAGCAACCAAATGCAGTTTGAAAAGGCAAGAGATGATCTATGGAAGCAGTTTCATCAATATTCATGGGCTTCATCTCAAACAATAATATAAGAAAGTTTCATCTCAGTTGTTTTCCTGAAGAAATCAAAGAAATAAAAAAAAATTAGCTGTAGTGCATGTTAGAAAATTATGGTAACATTTTCAACTGACAAAAAAGTGATTGGGTGTAGAAAAACGAATCGTCATCAAACTTTGGACATTATATCCTTCTGGACTAAACAAACAATTAACACATCTGCAATATATCTACATTTATTTATAATACATATAAATTCTAATATTGCTTTCTATCTTCACTTGATAAATGGATATGCTCGAAATGTCAATTTTAAAAAATTTGCTCTTATTTTTCTTGTACAATTTTACTGCAACTTCAAGTTAATTAGATTGGGAGCAGCACAATCAACAAAAAATTTGACCCTTAAATTTGCTACATGAACTTTCAGGAAGAGATCATTGGACAAAAATAACTGTTTTCCTGCAAATCACAACTTACATAATTAAGCATTTGCTAAACAGGTCATCTTCAGAGCCTTTTGGTCAAAAGATTTTCACAAATTAAGCAAACATAAACAAATTCATCTACAAATTTTGTAAAGAAAAACAATACTTAGTAAGGTGATGAACAATTTACTTTCTAATGGGAATATTAACATATTACTAAGTAATTTTGCATCAATAACACTTAAGGTTAATATACTGTTGCTGCTCCAAAGATGTTAGTTTGTAATTAGAAGCATATCAATATCAGAATGAATATAAAAGCAGTGGCAACGAGGATGGTTTTATATAAACAATGATAAAGAAAATAAGTTGATGAAAATGATACCATGAAAAAAGCATATAAACTGTGATTTTGGCTACACTCCCCTACCCTCCCAAAAGTATCCCCAAAGTTTCAAATTAACAGATTTTGTAGTTGCGAATCTCTTGTTAGAGGAATTTGTTTACAAATTTCAAAGGCAGTTTTCATAAAAAAGTTTTTATCAATTTCCTCTAACTTTTTCTTGAATCTTTTTTGGCCATTGATATATTTATTTGTCAAAAAATTATCTTTATCAATCTGTAAGCAAACTTTGTGAGGGGTTTTCCTCAAGATGGCACTGACCCAAACAAAAGAATGGACTTATGAACAGTGTCTAGAAATAATGTTTTATCACAATGATGGAAAAAAGATATCATTAAATTGCTAATATAATAATTTAATTTAATTTAATTTAATATAATTTAATTGGATGCAGAAAGACTGCCACTTTCAACATATGCATAAAATTGGAAAACAAGAAGAATAAAACATTTATCAAGGTCAAAAAGAGCTTAGCAACACAAACAGCAGAACACTTGGCTATAGCCGATTTCCATCAAAACTGGTTTGCGTCATTATGCAAAATTGCATTTAATTTTCACAAACAAATAAACTTTCAGTAGCTGACAGTAAATATTGCAGGAAAATGAAAAAGAATTGTAAATGTACCCTCATACAGATCAATTTCAGCAAGGCTTGCAGCGGCGAAGAAAAAATATGGCTTTATGGCACTACACTGAATGATAAGTATGCTTTGCAAGGTAGTTTAAGATTTATTGAAATGTTACCTAATCTTATGCATGTTTTATAATGATGGATCAGTGGAATCTCAATGCAAATATTTCACCCAACTGAAAATAAACATGTTGTATTTCTCTTTTTTCGAAAAAAAATTTGTGTCTCAAGAACCAGTTTGCAAAGAATTACCATGCTTTTGTATTGTTTGTAAAGTACAGCTTTGAAAATTATTGGGATAGATTTTTTCCTTGTTCAAAGTCTCTTACTGCCAGAGAATGTAGAGAGTAAAGAAAAATAATATAGCGATAGTATGAAGGATGCATACTGCGTCTAAAGCAAATTTTTTATAATATTGTGCGTGATAGCATTAAATTGTAAAAGTATAAAGAATTCTTACGGTCAATAGTAGGGAAATTATAAAAAATAGAGGAAAATGCGAACGAAAATATGTAGTTTGGCCTATTTATAATAAATGGTTCGTTTGACCATAAAAATGATTAAAATAACATCAAATAAAAGAGACATGCTCAGCAGAGATATTCACGGGACGTAGAAATAAAGAAAGTACATACCAATTCTCTAAATTGGCTGAGTAGTGCATTTGTGCAAACTACATCTAAACAGCAAGGGCAGATTTTGTAACAATAGGTTCTTTGGTTTGTTTACATTTTGTTGACTAGCCAATCAGAGAGCTCTATTTCTATGGCGTAATCTTATGGTAATGGCGGATGGAGGGGTTTGCTGTGGAGAAAACCACACCCTCGTTTTTTCCTCGCGACGAAAATATACTTTGAGAAAAACTCGAGATTTTTTGCACCCGTATAGAACGATAAATTTTACATGTAATTTTATTGGCACTAAGCTCTGCGTTGTTTGCTCTTTGCGTGATCGTTCGCTATTGACATCCCTTTTTGCACGCCCTCAATGGCTCGATGACCCTCCAACGACTCGGCCCTAAACCCAACAAATCACGCTCCTCTACCAAAAACAACAGTGGACTTCAATTGCACTGCTAGCAGATGTAAGGAATATTTCAAAAAGGGTCTTACAGTGTTTTTTAAATCATTTTCAACCTAAAATAGCTATTAAGGTGGATATGTATATGTAGCGCTAGCCCTTCGGGGGAGGGGTCTAGCCATAATTTCGGCGGGACGGAGAGTGAAAAGCGAATAAAAAACAGTAACTGAACAAACTCGCAATCAACATGGTTATACGAAGATGGCAGATAAGACACAATGTCCCACCGCTGTTCAATGTTCATTTAAAATTCCCATTGGTTGGACTATACACTGCACTCCCCCACTCCAATGTATCCGGAAAGTTTTGAATATTGCCAGGAATCTGTTTTTAAGTATTTTTTAAATAATTTCAAAGACAATTCTCTTAATAACCTTTCCATTAATTTCCTCGAATTTTCCCTGTGTTTCTTTGGCGTTGAACTATTTATTCGTCAAAAAATTCATCTTATTATAGATGTGTAAGCAAACTTTTTGAGGGTCTTTCCTCAAGATGGTAGCATCGGAAACAAGTGAGTTGACACATTAGCAGTGTCTAGAAATAATGTTTTATCACAATGATCGAAGAAAAGCTATTATTTAATTGTTCGTATAATTGAATGCAAAAAACTGCTGATTTAGAAAATTGCAAAATAATTTGAAAGCAAGAAGCATAAAATTTTGGTCACGTTCAAAAAGAACAAGAACTCTCGCGAGACAAATGGTCGAACGTTCTGCCCTAACCAGTTTGCATCGAAACTGGTTTGCTTCATCGCACAAAATTGAACAAAATGTTTACAGAAAATTGTAAATTAAAGTTGAAAATCATAACTTTTAAAATCTGTCCATAAATATTGCAAGAAGCAAAGTAAACAATTACAAATGTACACTCGTACTTATCGATTTCAGCAAGACTTGCAGCGGTAAAGAAAGCAGCTTTTGCACTGAATAAAATGCCTGCTTTTCAAGAACGTTTATGGTCTGGTAAAATGTTACTAAATGTTATACATGATTTGTAATTGATTGTTGGCATCTCCATGCAAATAATCTTCCCAACTGAAAGTAAACACGTTGTTTTTCAAAAGTTTTTGTGTCTTGAGAACGAGTTTATAAAAAATTATAATGTTTCATTGGCCAATTTGTAATTGAGTTCTAACCACCTGACTTTTCTGCTCTGCGTTGATTTGACATTGGTTTATTTGCGTAAAGCTTGTAGTGCAAAGGTTTCATATTTCAACAAAAGCTAATAACAGAAAAAAATGAAGAAGGTTGGCAATATTTTAACGTCTTGGTTCATCTAGGAATGGTTTCTCAAAAACATTATCGTTTCTTATAAACTATCTGGTGGACCCTCATGTATTTTTGAAAAGTCCTTTTGCTAATCTAAATTTGTTCTATAACTTGACAAAGGGCGATGCTCAAAATTTCGGTTTTAACACTTTCATTTTCCTAGTACAATTTACCTTATTTTCCAGTTATATTGTCAAATAATATTGTACAGATGCAAACTATAACGTTTTTTGAATTTGTTTTTGTGCGGAAGTGCAATCGATCGTCGAGCAATTGAGGGCGTGCAAAAAGGGATGTCAATAGCGAGCGATCACGCAAAGAGCAGAAAACGCAGAGCTTAGTGCCAATAAAATTACATGTAAAATTTATCGTTCTATGCGGATGCAAAAAATCTCGAGTTTTTCTCAAAGTATATTTTCGTCGCGAGGAAAAAACGAGGGTGTGGTTTTCTCCACAGCAAACCCCTCCATCCGCCATTACCATAAGATGACGCCATAGAAATAGAGCTCTCTAATTGGCTAGTCAACAAAATGTAAACAAACCAAAGAACCTATTGTTACAAAATCTGCCCTTGCTCATCTAAACTGCTTTCATAATGATGGGAAAGTTTCACTTCCAAATTTGAACTCCAAAACGAGGCTTCGTTTATAAATGGCGGATACTGCACGAGGGGACTCGGATGCAAGCAAGAGCAACTTTCCGGGATCCTCAGGGAATGTCTCAACAAAAATCCACACAAAATGCATGCAGCGCGCAGAAAAATCGTGCAGATCAGGTATGTGTCTGAAATCGCCGGTATGTTTTGCCCGCCTCGCAAGAGAGAGCCACAGACAGGCTGATCTGTGCCCACAAATTTTCTTTGATTTATTTTAATCAAATAAAAGCATTTCTTAGAAGTGTAAAGGGGGAGGGAGGGGGCAGAAAAACTTGTAACTTTTGATGGAGCCTGAAGGATGTTTAAAATGAACTGTTATCTTGTCTTTGTTTCTTCATACCCACTGTTAACTTTCATGATACCTTGCAGCCTTTAGCCCTATAGTATAGGCTATAGATCGGTAAAGTAGGACAGGAAACAATAAAGTTACTACTTAAGACGGCGCCGTGGCAGCCACATAGCTGTAAATATCAGCTCTTGTTGAAACATAACTACACACCAGTGCAATTCTGTGGATTCTGTACACTATAATTTGAGAAGCTTCATAATTTTCCAGCAAAAACTTGCGCACATTTCTGTTAGACTTGCTCTCAAAACTGGTTGAGAATTGCCTGCTTATAAACCTTGCAAACGCTTTCCAAATTTCCTTTGTCAATCGGGTAACTTTCTGAGGTTTGATTGTACATGCCTCCTTGGTGTCAACAAGGGGGCCCTTTGTGGAAAATGTTGCTTAAATAACAAAAGCAAAAGTAGAAATTGGCTACTGATTGGCATTAACAAAGGTAGGGCTAGAGCTACAACCCTGTTCCTAGCATAGTTGTTTACAAGTGACTATGCTAACAGGAAGCTAGGCCACTTTTCTCCATTCTTTGGCACCCCAGCTGTAATTGTCACAATTTGAATATTAAAGGCAGTATGTCCTGATGCATTTTGCTGGCCATTTCAATTTCCCATTGATTGGACTACACAATAGGCCTATTGTTACATATTACGTATCCGTAGTTTTATCAAAGGCTAATTCTCAAAGTTTTATCAGTCATAAAAGCTATGCAAAATCTATTGTTTGCTCTAAATAGTTGACTGACAGGACATAGTGGCTTAAAATATTTTGAAACATTGAGAATTTGCAAGTAGTCAAGTGTATAAATCTAAGGAGCTGATAATAGAGTTTCTTGCTTTTAAAAATACATGGGGTCCATTTCAAAAGCAATTATCTTTCAAAATTATAATTATGCCAAAAAATCATTTGGAGTAATTGTAGCCAGAGGGGGCAATTTGTGGTCAAAACTTTCATTTGGAAGGGCACAACCCCCTGTGCCCCCTGCAGCTTTATGGCTCCACCACATTTGCCGCCGAAAGCCTGATTTACATGCGACAAAGTTTTTCGTGCAAAGCGAATTTTTCGTCGCGAATGCGTGAAAAATATGTGCAGAAGAAGAAATTAGAAAATTCGCAGCCAAAAAGTAGAAACCATTCCTACTTTTTCGCCTTGTAAATTAAACCAATCTGAACATCATTTGAAGACATCTGACTTCTGTTTTGGTTTCAGATGGCCTACGTATTTCCGCATTCTTTTTCTCAAACACTCTCACCTTTAAAACATCAATGAAATAGGTTGGTAATTATTAATTTCCTGTTCTTCGTACACAATCCATGTAAATGGATTCACATCAGATTATTATCCAAACATTTGAATTTCAACTTGACAAAAACTGGCTTGAAAGTTTCATCGTCCTACCAATATGTCAGAAATAAAAAAATAGGCAAGAATTTCTTCAAATTACTGAATTGTTGGCTGCTTATTGGCCTGCTCAACAGAAACAGTTTTAAGCAGATGCTTTAACTGGAACTCGCATGCTCTTGCAAGCTTTGATAGTGACATTTGAAAGTATTTGAAGAAGTTATCCTGGTCTTATAAATGTAAACGTAAACCTCTCTTACCGAAATATGGAATTCCCCCTTCTGAAGAGGTCTTAAATAAATTTTTCTAATCCAGTATCACTTTTTGCTGTTTTGCTCGCTTTTTCGATAAATTAAAAATCTTAAACTCGCTGATAAGAGCACTCTTCGGACAGTTGCTATATTCTTTTGTAATATTCGCAGCGAATTTGCATAAAAATTTCTGCTAGTATAAATTGAACTTTGAATTCGAGAGAAAAATTCGCAGCTAAAAATTTGACTCGTGTAAATCAGGCTTAAGGGGAAACGTTTTATAATTCTTATGCTTCAAGTTTGACAGAAATTGTATTCTTTATAGCAAATTTAAATCATTAATTCTCGTTCTTAAAAAGAATATCCACTGGTGGAAAGCTACTTGATGGTATTGATCGATTTCCTTGTTCTCATTTTCAAATTTTGTACCTTATGCAACATAACTGCATAAATTTTGAAATCTTGGACAAAATTTTAAAATCTGGTAATATGCACAACGATAACCCAATTAAGTTTTTGTTGTCACTGAGATAAACTGTTGCTGAGTACACTTAAGTTAAAAAAGCATTGGGACAAATTTGATAAAAGAACTACAACATTGGGCTATTCGTGTTTGCAACAGAACCTTGCTCAGATATGAGCAGTCTTCTTTTCAAATAATCTGGGCTAATGTATCCCAAAAAATATAGTGAAACGTTGAAAAAATACTTTAACTTTGAATCATAACTGTAAAAAGGCATTAGATTTATACAATTTTCCTATAGATAATAGCAAAATCTGCAAAAGAGTTATATGGCCTAAACTTTTTTAAAAGATATTCAAAAGAATTCAATCTTTTAGATTCACATTTGCAAACAAATAAATTTACAACGAAAATTACAAATACAAACTATTGTTAAATTAAGTTGTCTTAAATTAAGTTTACTAAATCAATGAAAAACATTATTATTTCATGAAATTATTGAATTTACTCAAGCTACTTTTACTGCATAACAATAAAGGGAAAGCCAGAGTAATTTTCAGCGATAATTAATTTTTGCTTTGAGAGAGCATTTTTTTTATAAAGCTGGGAAATTTGTATTATTAAAGCTTATTCATTAGAACTGACCCTGTATTCTTTAATACCTTCTCTTTCAAGATCCGTATGTCAAATTCATGATACAGGCAATGGAGAAGCTAGGCTGGTGAGTACATTGATTATTTGCTGATGATTCAAACACAATTTTCACTTTTCAATAAAGTTCAGAATATTTATGTACTATCAAACACAATTCCAAGAACTACAATTACAATTTCAACCAATATATTGGCTAAGCTCACTCAACCTTGCCCCCTCCCAAAAAAGTTAAGTAAAATACTTTTTTAAAATATGGCTGTTTTTACACTTATTTATAACGGCTGCCTTCAAACAAAAAGTTGTATATCGGTCTTTGGCTAAGTTACAAGATGATAGCTAGATAGCTCACTAAACAATTTGATGAGAATTTCCTTCAAATGAATCATGGTCAAACAAATAGTTTATTAAAAAATAAATATGACAAAGGAGTTAAATGAACTGTAATCATTTACCATTTATCTATATTTTTGAGTAACACATTTTTAGTGTACTCAGCTTAATTTTTGCATCCCTAAACATATCTCATAAGATCAAAGATGCATTGAATAAAAGCTGGGTAAAAAATTGCCAGAAATCAATACTTTCTTTCCAAACTTATTAAATCTTGAATTGGCCAACATTTATAATGAGGTTTTATTTTAGCAATTTTATACTAGAGAAACATGTAACATGTGAGCCATGTGGAGACAAAGTCAATGGAGGATTTGATCCTGAGAGAAAACAGGTGAGACAGATTAAATTTAAGAATTGAAGTAATAGACAAAATACGTTTAATAGCATACAATTTAATATGATATAACGTGATGTTATCATTATGGTCAAAACGATAAGGTGATCATAATATGATGAAATTATTATGCGATATGATATATCAAGATATTTTACTGTAAATAGAATGTTTTGATATACGACATGAATTTGATTGAGCTTTCTTCTTATTTGTTAACAAAATCAAAAACGTTAGATGCTGTAGGTTTTTTGGAAGGCTGTCATTAAATGATGAAATCATATACCTTGGAAAACTCAGACTTTCACTTTTTCGGACTGATTTTAAATACCCATTGGATTTTTCGACCTTATTCAAGTCAAACGTCGTACCTGTTAAGTCGGAGATTCGCTAAGTCGGACCGACTTAACAAGATTCGACTGTAATATTAAACAGACTGACGTTCTTTGTTTGAAGTATTTGATATATCCCTTCTTGTTGTTTGTAACAGGTAGTTATGTGTGAAAATAACATTTCCAGTCAAACAGTGATGAACCAAGTGATGACACATGAGCTGATTCATGCATTTGACGTATGCAGGGTGCGGTACGAGAAGGACAATCTCCGACATCTTGCTTGCACAGAGGTTGGTACCTGGCTGGACATTATTGTTTGACCTCTTCTTCATTCTACCTTTCTGTTGTATGCTTTTTTAAAATATCCCACTATTTTGATTTACCCCGAAATGGCAAAAATGATTATGGCGAAGGTTCTGAAAATATCCTAAACGAACTCTCCTTCAGTCGAGCGGTCAGTGTGGTCAAATGAAATTATCGTGTGAGCACAGTCGTGAGGAGACAGTGTGACGGAAAACATACTTTGGTAAAAACACAAAGTTATCCACTTTTAGGGAAAATCTTTTGCTATGAGGGGATTTTCCCAAGAACAAGCTTTCTCGTGGCTCTGCATTTGTGGTCACGCTAGATGAGGAGTTTGCTTCAGTGACATATTTTCTCTACCGGAAGTGATCATTTTCGATCCAAAGTCATTAAAAATGTCACTGGCAAAGAAGTACTTAGTTACTAGCTAAGGAATAAAATCAATACAACCTATTTTTTAGACGACGCGAACGGTCGAGAATAGTTAATAGATATAGTTACTAAAATGGCTGATAACACTTTGCCGCCGGTAAGTTTTGCTACTGCGGCAAATACGACGGCAATCACCAAATATTGCGCTAAGGCAAATTCAAAGAGCTGTTTTGCACTAGACCAAATTAGTTTGAATTGATATTCGAACTTGAAAGTTTCACTAGAGCCTTCTTCTTATAGCAGATGACCTCCAAATCAACCTCATTAAATCTATACTTTTAGTCTAAAGGAAGAAATCCTTTGTTTTTGCTAGACAACTGCTCATCCGGCTCCAGCTTATCAACTCTTCCCCTTAATCCAGTATAGAGATTCTGTTGGCTCCACCAAAGATATATCTTTGCTTAAGTCTTATCATCCCGTGGCAAAGAGGAGGGGCTATCATGTACTACTTAGGACATGTCTGAAAATATAGACAATTAAGGGGCGGAAATTTTCTCTGCAGGTCACTACAGCCACAACGTTGGCTCCCTTGTGCCATAATGCTGAGGTTTCTTATCTTTGAGGTATGCTATCCGCTATCACAACTGATCTAACACGCGTAGAAAGAGAACGCTGAAAAAATAATGTAATCTGATCGCATTAGTTGCTTGCTGGGTCATAAGGAACCAAATTTATCTGATTCATTGAAGCTTTTGGCCTGTTATTTACACATTGATATACCCAAAGTCTTTTACTTCCAATATGGATACTAGTATGCACTTTTGGTTCTAATATGCTCATCTTTTATTCACCAGCAGTATATTTGTAGTCGTTCTTGCTTTATTCTCAGCATTCCCATGCCAGAGTTTTTCACAGCCAAGCAAGGCCAAAGCAAGATTCTTACAGCTTCAAAGCAATATTAAACGATTAGTCTCCCAGCTGTCAATAGAAGTGTAGAAATCCTGGATTCATTTCTTCTGTGATTTGATTAAGGTCTCTCCGAGCCTCTCAGCTGAAGCTATCTAAATCTCGTTATTTTAAGTTTTCTCATCGGAAAACTTTACTTTCTGAATGAAAAGACGCACAACTGACAAAGAACAAAATATGTTGTCTTCTTTTTTATCTTATTGATTGCATCCTTGTAACACTTCGTTTGGAATTTAGATTGCACTTAAATTTGTGAAAACAGTGGCAGTCATGAATACCCTATTGTAGATATGATGCAGATTACCTCTTTTGCTAGATACGTGCAGCAAATTTGAGTGGAGACTGCTTTATGTCTCGTGAAATGTCCCGGTTTAAATTTGGATGGAAAGCACACCAACAGGTATGGAATAGAACTTCTTGTATCTTCTTAATAGTTTTAAATATAATTTGTAAACAAAAAACCTTTTTGTGAAATGATTTACTTCAATTGTCACAGAATACAGGGTCATTCTTTTCTTCACAAACAATGCACGGTGCAACACACATTGAAGAAATACGAGAGTGCTTCCTGACGAGGGCTAGATCTGTCTATCCTTAAAGGCCATTTTTTGATTCAATTTTCGTATGAGTAGTTTCCTAGAGTTATTGTCTTCTCGTCCTTGAAGCTTGTTTGTAAAAATACGGTTTTGAAAATATGTTTTTGCTGGCCATTGGGTAAATTCATTTTCTTGTTTACTATCGTTTAACTTTTCTTAAGCAAAATGCTTGGCTGATGCATGCACTATTAGATAGCTCATTTCTGTGAACCTGGGTCAGTGGTACCCTTTTAAATTGGAATGAAACCAACCTTAATTCGTGTAATGGCTTGCGCAATGTTTTAATCCAAGACACTTAATGAATGGTTGTGTGAGAAAAACGAAGAAACTGGCTTAAAGAAACCTAGAATTACCTTCTTAACACTGAATATGAGTCTTCATTGTGCGATTAATATCAATATCTGGTAAGGTCTGGGTCATTCATAGTTTTCTCAATGAATCAAAGGATTTTAGCTGCGAACTGTCTCTTATAATGGGTACATATCAATCGCAGGACGGAGAATAATGTATGAAAGGGGTTTCAACTTAAGCAGCTCGACTTTTGAGGATGTTTAAAGTTTGATTATGTTTACGTCATTTCCCTGTATTAGTAGCCCTCTCATACAGCTTTATGTGGTAAAATTACAAAGAGTAAACAAAGAGTTTTAATTGCTCTATACTTGAAAGCCAGACAGTTAGTCTGGGGGTAATTACAGTGCTTTTTGAATGATATTATTTTAATTAAGTTGGGATACATGTGAGGATATATGAATCTTTCAGACAAATTACAGCTTATAGTTGACCCCTGATATTTTTATTGAGTTGGATGACTTGGTCTAGTTTCAACATTCAAATGTTTTATTTTTTGTTTGATCCGAGTCAATTTTCCGTTACAATCTAACCTGAGATTTTTCTACATATATCACTTTTCCAAGCCTCTTCCTGTGTTAATCACGTTATTTTATTATAACATGTATGCCTAGCAAGGTTTGTCAGCATTTCTCATAGCATTCTCGATCAAAAGAAACAAAGAAAAGTTATTTCTCGATAGCTAGTCTCTGACACTCCTAGGTCCTAGCAATACGTGACAGTAGAGAACTTATTTCAATGATTGTTCACGTAAATAGTTTCTTGTCTACAATTTTACAGAACCATTGGATATTCTAACTCCTATACCAAATAGTTTACATTCCCCTTTTTAAAGACAATCGAAAGATATAAACGTGGCTTAAGCCATCTGCCACTCAATATTAGCCAATCAATGAGCATGTGCGTGGAATCATGTGAGATTGCTTAAGTCCCTGTCGATTGCCTTTAAGAGGCAAGCAAATGACAACGAATGCTATTCAATAAACTGACAGGGTATTTAGTATTATATGTGCTTCACACGTAAGCACAAGGGATAACTTTTAGCATTCATGTTCAAACGATACAAAACTGATACCTAACATGCTTGTTAGTTGCATCACACTTATCTTTTTAGAAATGCGTCAAAGAGAGAGCCGTTAAAAGCATTCTTTGTGTCAGAGACGTGAGTGAAGAAGAAGCCAATCAAATAGTTGAAAGTGTGTTTGAACCTTGTTTTAAGGATACTGAACCATTTGAAAGAATTCCGCCATAGTATTTATGTACTTCAAATAGCTATTTGATAGTATAATTTTATATTTGTTTAGTCGATTGTCATTTACGCATGTTAAAAGATCTGTGAAATGTGAAATCAAAATGTGTCTGTTTTATCTAAAGTTAACGGTTTATGGTTATTTTAGAAATACAGAAAAAACATCCATAAGTGATACTTTTTAACGAAAATAACTTTTATCTGTTTGTTAATTTATAGTTGAAATCTCAATTCAGGGAATGCCTGCCCTTCTTCTATCAATCATGAGGTTTTAATTATAGTTCAAAGTCTTACTGTTTCTGGGCTTCTTTACTTTAATAAGGCTTCTTTCCAAACATCGGATTCAACTTCGTTGTGTTGTAGTATACTACTGACATCAATAGGCTGAAAATATTCCAGGCGATGGCTGCAAAAAAAACTGGGGAATAATATTGCTTTGGGAAGATGGTTGGAAAAAGAATCCAGATATAGGAATAGGTTGATGATTTTGAGGAGCATGACTTATTAGGCCCTAAACTTGTTATATGCCTGTCTTTAAAATAATCATTTTGTTGGTAAGAATAAAAATATTGTCGAATAAAAGGCAAATAATTGTCAGTTATTAGATTGGCTGGTAAACAAAGAAGGTAGAGGCATCTCTGAGAAAAAAATGGATACACCAAAATGAAGTGGAACTGAATGGCAACAATTTTAGTAAAGCCAATAAACTACTATACACAATTTAATCAAGAAGTATGCTAAAAAGAGCTAAGATATATTTTCAAAGCTAATTCAAATTATTCAAAGCTAAGATATATTTTCATTAAGTTTGCTTTATGCTTTTGGGCTATTTAACTGTGAAAATCTTTTACACAGGGCTGATTCTGGATAAGATTGTCATGTGGTATTACATATCGCCATTTCCGATTGAAAATTCGATTTTTGATGACGTCATAAGTTAACAACCTGTGGGAATTTTACCCACCTACAATCCTACATTTAAAGCCAATAATATGAACATTTCTAATGGAAGACAACAAGGCTTATCAAATAAGATGTAGGAAGAGAGTTTGCAACCTCAATTTATGTTTTATGAGACTGGATTTTGCACAAACTAAAAGTGCAGATTGTGATACAGGCATGGAACTTAATTCAGGTGAGCAGTCTGGAACGCCCAAAAAGTGAATTTTCAACACAATTTTCAAAGATTTGTAAAGACATTTAGAATTAAGAGTACATGCCAAGAAATTTGCTATTAAAAGATACCGTGCAGTAAGACTTGCTCATATAAAATAATTTCTAACTGGAAGACCAGAAAGGTTGATGTTGTTATTTGGCAAATATTCTGGGTATACAGGCTTACAAATAACAAATCGTTTCAGTGATCTTTGTTTTTAGAATATAGAACATTGTAGAGCAAAAACCCTTGGAAAGGCTTTTTAATGTAGGAAAATTGTGGAAAGGGATGTGAAAATGCATTAAAAAAAGAGATCGAACTTGAGTTATGGAAAACCAAAGAAAAACCAGGGAAAGTCTTTCATATGTCAGAATATTGAAGTGAAAAAATAGTAAAAAGAGATCAACATTGAGCTATAAGAAGGAAATTAACCCAAGGGGAAGGCTTTTGAATGTTGAAACATTGTGGAAAGGAATGTGAAAAATAGTAGCAAGTGATCAAAATCAATGTATGGAAATTAAATGAACACTAACGAAGCAAAAGGCATTCAAATGTTGGAATATTGTGGCAAGGAATGTGAAAATTCAGTAGAAAAAGATATCAACATTAAGTTATTGAAAGGCAAAGAACTCTATGGAAAGGCATTTGGAATTTTGGAAATGCTGTTGGAAGGGATGTGAAAATGCATTAAAAAAGAGATCGAAATGGAGTTATGGAAAAGCAATGAACCCTAGAAAAAGGCTTTGATGTGTCGGAATTTTGAAGTGAAAAAATAGTAAAAAGAGATCAAAATTGAGCTTTAAAAAGGAAATTAACCCCAGGGAAAGGTTTTCGAATGTGGAAATATTGTGGAAAGGAATGTGAAAATGCAGTAGAGAAAGATACTCGCATTAATTTATTGAAAGGCAAAGAACTCTAAAGAAAGGCATTGGAATTTTGGGAATACTGCTGGAAGGGACATGACAATGCATTAAAAAAAGATCGAAATTGAGTTATGGAAAAGCAATGAACCCTAGAAAAAGGCTTTCCAATGTCAGAATATTGAAGTGAAAAAACAGTAAAAAAGATTGACATTAGGATGTTAAAAGTAAATTAACCGCAGGGAAAGGCTTTCAAATGTTGAAATAATGTGGAAAGGAATGTGAAAAAAAAACAATAAAAAGTGATTGAAATCGATTTATGGAAAAGCAAAAAACCCTAGGGAAAGGGTTTTGAAAGTTGGAATATTGAGGTGAAAAAACACTAAAAAGAGATTGAAAAAGAGTTATGGAGGAGCAAAGAACCCTATGGAAAGGGTTTTGAATGTCGAAATATTGAGTTGAAAAAACAGTAAGTAAAATAAGATTGAAATAGAGTAAAGGAGGAGCAAAGAACCCTATGGAAAGGGTTTTGAGTGTCGGAATATTGAGATGAAAAAACAGTAAAATAAGATTGAAATACAGTTAGGGAGGAGCAATGAACATGAGAGAAAATTCTTTGAATGCTGGAATATTGTAGGAAGGGATGCGAAAATGCAGTAAAAAAAGAGATTGACATTGAGTTATTGACTTTCCCCAGTGGGTTTACTTTTGTAAGGGATGAAAAACAACTGTCAAAAGCAATTTAGATTGAACTTCTGAAAGCGAGAGTCCTTAGGAAAAGTTCTGAGTGTAGAAATATTGTAGAAAGGGATGTCAAAGTGAAGCATAAAAGAGATCAATATTAGGATATCAAAAAGCTAAGAACCCCAGGGGAAAGGATTTCAAAAATGGAATAATGTGGGACAGGGATGTTAAAATGCAATGAAATAATATTGACATTGAGCTATTGAAAGGAAAGGAGCCGTATATAATGGCTTTGGAATGTCAAGCATTTAATGGGAAAGTTTTTGAAAATAACAAATGATGTTTGAATGCAGGAGAAAATTTGAGAAACAGTAAAAGTTCTCTATTATGTTTGCTTGAAATAACTTGACAAATTGTTAGAGCTTTATAAGGTTGGTACTAGGAAGTCTTTCTTGAAATGGATTCAGAAGGTGATGGATAATGTGACAAAATCAGGTAGAGATTAGTACAACTTACAAATCTGGCTCTGAGTGTTTATCTTTCTCTGCTGGGTAGAGAGCTTCATATGTTCTTCTCTCATTAACACCATGAATGGCATAGGCATTGAACTTGCTGACAAAATGTGGGAAATAAGAGGAAGGTATCCTTGCTTTCCCAGCCCATCTTTTCTTTTCTTTGTCAATTTGGCTGCTATATTCCAAGGGGAGCTCATCCTGAATATTGAAAGAAATAAGATATGGTACTAAAAACTGCTGTCAGATGTCTCAGACACCAGAATATTCACAGTTAACCAGAAATCAATATTAAGGGTCAGTCTCTTATGCCTGTAAAATCATTTGAATTAATATAAAGCCCAACTCGCAATTGTTCAGTGCAAAGCCCAATCATGATACTCTTAAAATCAGATGAACTGTGAGAAATAAACTGCTTTTCAAATAGTGGAACTCATTTTTCCTTTCAGGCATGTTAATAGATTTTCCTCATTAAGTTTAAAAATTTAATTGACATGTCATTCTTAATATCACCTAAGTATTTCTATTACTAGACAATCCTGTGACATTGAACTTATTTGACTTTGTTAGATGAAAAAATTTAATTGAGGTTCCAAATATGCTTACCTTGATCATTTTCCGCCTCCCATTGAGCAAAAGAACCAAATGCTGTCCATGCCTGACAGCAAATCAAAATAAAGTTGCAAGAAATCATGCAATAATGATAAAATATCATCAGGAACAGAAAAGCTGTTATGAGTTGTTGCATTTTCTAACAAGAAACAAAGTAGACATGCTTAAAATGATTCCATTTGGCTAAATATCAGCAACCTTAAACAATGGTCGAATTTACAAAGATGGCAAGAAACAGCAATCTTTGCAGGATTGTCGCATCTAACACATGCCATCCTTTGAAAATATGATATGCTCTATGAAATTCAATTTAAATATGCATTATCCAAATTCTTAAGTTTTAATTTGTACGCTATTTTAGATAAGCTTTTTCCAGTAATTGCTAGTGTAAAACTCTGATCAGATATCAAACCTAATTGTTGTACATATCACAGAAATAGCCTTACATTTCTGAAAAAATTAGGATTTGCACAAACGTACCATAAAATTGGTAAAACTTGGTAAATAATGAAAGAGATTTAACCTTGGCATTTGAACACCATAAACATTGACAAGGCTTGCAAATTCAATTAATCATAAAATAATACTTGTGATTTTCAAGGAATATCATTTATGACTTCTAACAAAAAAAATTTGTATCCAGTCAAAATATTAAAGCTACACTTACGGGCAAAGCTCAACCTCTAGATATCTGTCATCTTTTCCAAGAAAAAATGCTTCAACAACTAACAAAAAAAAATTAAATTGTTACATCTTTGCAATAAACACAGAATGTCAGTAGAACTACATTCAAGTTCATTTATTAAGCAGTCATTAAGAGGGTATTAGATAATTTTGTCAGCTTTTGAGTGTTTTATTGTTGCCACTGAAACATTGTGGTAATATTTCAAAAAATAAATTGTTTTAACGAGACAAATTTTCCAAAAAAGCTAGCTTTATGAATTTTGCTTGCCTCACCCACCACCTCCCCTCAAAAAACTTAGTAGCATGACCATAATACAATCATCTCATTAAAAACAGCTATTGTTGCACTCCTTTATCAGGGCGGCCCCTCAAAAGTAAAAGTTGTATCTAGGTCCTCTATCATTTTGTGGTCATTGATGTATGAATGTCTTGCAATTGCAAAAAAACAAGAAATTCATACAGGTAACAAGATCCTAGGGTTGGGTTTTGTGAATGAAAGTGATGAGGCTTTCAATAATGGCATCATTTCATAAGACAAAAGAAAAATTTTGCTATATGCATATGATATGGTACATGATATGATATCGAAAAGTAGATGATCTTGAAAATTAAATAAATATTGTTTCAAATGCAAAATAATTCGAAAATATGTATTTACTATACATCATCATCAACATGTTTTACAAGTCTGTCCTATAATGCATAATGACACAGAGGCAGAGCTTAATATGGCTTTGATTTATATCGCAAATCCAGTAAATAGCTTTTTGCAACATTTTGGGTAAGTAACAAAAATAAAAATGTACCTTCATAATCCCAAAGCTGGGGGAAAGGCCTGCCAGCAGGCCCCTCTGGCTTTGGATCGTCAAAAAACGGTGCATCTACTTCGAGGCATACCGAACCCTCGTTTGTAGTACTGAGTTTGAGAATAACTGGATCATGATCTATTTTTTCACCGTTCCATTGTTCCGAAATTGAGAATTCCATGCTATAATTCGAGAAAGGAAAAGAATACACAAAGAGCAATTTAAAATAAGTAGAGATTATCACCCTTTTAAGAGACATTGTATGCATAAGCTATTGGAGTTGTAACTGATATCGTTATTTACATCCTTTAAACGGCAAACTTCAAATATTTTCAGCTGGTGGTGATCGTAATAACACGCTCTAGTAGTTCGCATTATATGGCTAGGCCCAGTAAAACTATGCGTGTATTAGGCCAGCTGTAATCTAGACAAGGAATGAAAGGCAAAAGCCATAAAAAATCTTAAGTTACCTGGCAGAAACTTCTTTGATTATAACAGCCGAGTAGTCCTTTGATTTCTTGACGAGACTTACCAGGAAGTAGTTGTCGTTATACGAAATGAACCGAAATTGAACCTAACATTTCCAAGAATTGTACGGCCTCGTTATAGTTTTAAGAACCTCGTTTCTATTCGATTTTCAACATCATTTTCAGCGGGAAAGGCACGTTGTGACTTCTGTAATATTAAAAGAAAAAAGAAATGCTACAACCAACATTGGATGGATTGTCAAAGTTCCGACTGATTCTTGCTAGTGGATCTCCAAGACGGAAGGAAATTTTGGCTAATGCCGTATGTTGATAAATTACAGAATAATCCGGTCTGCAGAGTATGGTACTTTTCGACGAGATCTCCGGTGTGCACGAGCAAAAAGCCTGGTGTGCCGGTGTGCACAACCAAAAATGTCTGGTGTGCTGGTGTGCACCGACTATTTTCCCCTGTTGTGGTTGAAATTTATGAATTTGCATTTCACCGTAAAAATGCGTGTGAAGTATACTGTTGAAGATAGCGCAAGTTTTTATTTGTATATTTGTCAAGTAAGATTCATGATATCTCAAATTGTTCATACACAACTGTGCTTGTTTTTATCAGCTGACATTTTTTTATGGGACCACACCAAGCCACACCCATCTTAGTTGCCACACCCAAAAATACCCGGTGTGCAACAGGTTTTGCACAAAAATATCTCCGGTGTGCACATGCCATACTCTGCAGACTGGAGAATAATTAGCTCAAGTAAATACGTAAATTTATATGAAATTTCCTAAAATTATAGATTTTAGAGACTACTTAGGGTTTTTCTCGCAGCCAATTATGCCTCAGTAATATGAATCTGATGAAGTATTTGAGGATTTTTTATGTAAAACCATGCTGTAAACATTTGTTGCATATTTGTGACATAGAACTATAGTATTAAGACAGGATGAAAATGTCTTTCTTCCTACTTATGTCATATGCCTATGGACATATTTACTGTTTATATTTTCTCATTTGATAACATTTGAAACTGTTTTTGCAGAATTTAAAAATGGAAATAGTCCCTTCCACATTTGAAGAAAATTTGGACAAGTCTCAATTTGCTCACCCTTCAGATTATGTGAAAGAAAATTCAAAACAAAAAGCTATTGAAGTTTTTAACAGATTGAACTCTGGGGTAAATATTTTAAAAAAAGGTTTTTATATTTATGAAATAGCAACTTCAGTAACTGCAGGGCCTGCACCACAGGAGGACAGGGATTAGGTGGCCATGTCCCCCCACTTTTTTGCGAAGCAAGTAAAAGGTGTAAGAAGCCTTGGCTCCCACTTTTTCTAGCCTTGCCCCCTACTTTCAAATTTGTGGTGCAGGCCCTGAACTGAAGTATAAAAGAATGATGCTATATCAAACTATTTGGTACCTTTGATGATCAGATTATTTTCTTCATAAAGTACCAGTCACAGTAGTATCCAAGTACCATATTCTCCCTTGTATTTCTGCTGCAGATTTTTTGATTGAGCCTCCTAATTCAATGTGGGATAATTAGAAATTCCAAGCACATTTATAATGCCTTGATCCTTTTCTTCCATCAAATCTACAATCACTGCTAAAATTACTTCGAACACCCAGCACTTTGCACTGTGTTCTTCTAATTTTCATTTGTTTTCCTGAATACAACTACTTCTGTCCCCCTTTCCCCCCAAAACAATGTTGAAAGTATAGAAAAATATCATACAAGGCACACAAAAAAGCGTACTCCACAATCCCTTTCTTTTTTCTTTAGTAAATCAACATTGTTTTTTGGAGGAGAGGGGGTGGCTAAATTTGCCTTTGAAAACTGCATTAGTGTTCCAAGACTTTTGGCAGTGATTATACATGCAGGACTATTAGAGGCAGGAAAAAGTTTTTAAAGTAAAGAACAAAGGCTGGATTATTAGAGGAGGGAATATAAGAGAGGGCAGGAATATAAGAGAGGGAAGGAATTTAAGAGAAAATAATGTGTTCAAGGAATATTTTCAATGATTTGCGGTTCAACAAGCATCCATATTTAGTATGATAATCAAAATTCTGATTGCTACAGGAACTGACCTTCTTCACTGAAAAATGAAAGGAGTAGTTAAGAGGCAGATGACTACCCTTACATGATCACAAACATCTATCTATTGCAGACAAAGTGTCCAGATTTGGTAGTTGGTGCTGATACTGTTGTGGTACTTATTTTCATAATTTGAAATATGTCTTGTTTAAATTTTAGCTAAAGCAAACTAAGCATGACCTTACATCATCTTCAGAGCTAATGACAGTTGAAATAATGCTAGAAATCATAATTCTTGCTAAAGAGATTTATGATTTACTTAAGGAAATTTATGATCAATACAAATGAAATAAAAATTAAGGGGCCATAATACAAATATAAAGCCATTGCCTTGTTTGCTTTCTGAGCTTGTTTAGGGTTTCACTGAAAAGAAACATTATCTTTAGGATACTCGATTATATATTAACAAAAAAGCATTAAAAAATGATATTACAGTTTATGTTGAAACTGTAATTTTTCCTGATTAATTGAATGCTTTATTTCATAGCATATCTTAAAGGAATTGTGTGGATATAGAAATGTTTATTTATCAAAGATATCCCATCCACCCAACCTCTTTTTTAGGTGCTTGGTGACACAATTCTAGAAAAACCAAAAAGCAGTGAGAATGCATTCACCATGCTTAAAAGGTAACTTGTTTCATGTAAACTGTAAGTATGATAAACAAATCTGAGTGCACAAACATTATTTGTCATATATGCAAAGATATCAAGTAAGGTTATCATAACAATTTCCAAAACCAATCCACAAAAAAACTGTTTCAAAGTAATTTCCATCTCTGAATACTTTATATTTGCAGCCTGGGTGGATTAAAACATGAAGTGTACAGTGGAATAACATTTCTTTGGCCAAGAAAAGCCTCTTCAGGTAAGAGCTAATTTATATTGATTACAAGTAAGTTCTAACTATGAGGATGGTTTTGATATACCATTTGTTTTCTCGCATTGAGAAGCAGACAGTTTACATCATGAGAAGCAGAGAATATATTTGTTTTGGATTTTCTTGTATATTTCAGATTTTCTTATAAAGCAGTTTCATGAATGTACTAGAGTGGAATTTGGAGAACTTACTGATGATGTTATTATAGAGTATGTCAAAACTGGGGAGCCATTGTAAGTGGAGAATGATTTTAAATGGTTTTAAAGATCTATTGTTCTCTATGGAATCATTCTAATGTAAGATCTTCTTCTGTTATGCTTGATCCTAAATTTTTTATTAGATCAACAAAATCACAATATAATTGTTCAAAAATCTTCATATTTTCAGAAAGCATATATACATAGAATAATTTATACACTTTGTCTGACACTTTTCTAAGTGTGAAAGTTGGAGGAGTATTAGACAAAACAATTTTTGTAGAATACTAAAATTTTGCCATACCAATAGCTTATTTTGATATTGTTTTGTTCTCAGGGACAAAGCTGGAGGGTATCCTTTTCAACAGCAACAAAATTTTGTTTTTTCTGTGTTTCATTTTCTATCCATGAACCAAAAAATTCTGCTTTGGCCATTTATTTTGTTGAAAACCAATTTTTATTGGCAGATTCAGTGTACAATCTCACAACATAAAAATTTTCTTTTTGTTTATTCATTTTAATGTAGCATTTATTATAATATATTACTGCACTTTCCTTACATTTGATTACATTTAGGTATGGTATCCAGGGCTTAGGTGGGACTTTGGTGAAATCAATTGAAGGAGACTACTACAATGTTGTTGGATTTCCATTGTACTCATTTTGCAAAGAGCTGAAACTCTGGTATTCAAATTATTCAATGGAAACATCCAGCTAAATGATTTTATTCGTGATATCAAATCTTTTCAACCTGAGAGTTTCCCCTGAAATAGTGTCTTACCTTGTTTCTAAGAGATAGGCTAACAAATATGGGGGTCCGGGAGACAAGGTAAATTGTAGAAAACTGTTCAAGAAAATCATACAATAAAACAGGCTAAAGCTTCTTTGAATCTAAAAAGTTATTATTTACATTTTGAAATGGTAGTACAATAAAAATGAGTGAAAATGTATATTAAATGGCTAAAATATAAGCAAGTTGATATATAATTTATTTACATTACATTGTAAACCAATAAGACTTGGGGATTTTTTGTGGTAAACGATAATTAAAATGGACTTACAAAAGGAAAATATTGATTTGCCTCGTGGTAGAATGTGATAGGGAAAAGGGTTAAGTATACATAATAAAATCAGCAAAAATTTTGAGAAAGCATTAGTAGTGGAATTACATAATGGTGTTGTAACCTAATACAGTGCACAGGAAAGGGCATAAGATTCATTTGGCATTGTTTATACTGAAATCACGTATAACATCATAAGGTCTAATTGATTTCATGCTAATTGTCCCCGTTTTTGAAACAAAAGCCTAAGTTATCAGTGAAATTTCATCAAATTATATAAAAATACTTGCTATGGTTATCAACAGCAAAAATGCTGTATTATTGATACATATAGATAAATATTTGTCCATCTCTATGTGATGCTTGTCTCAAGTAGAAATGTCAAGTAGAAGATGTCACTAATATTGAAATGTATTACCTCCCTTTGCCAGGTGTCCCATCAGAAGAATAATCCTAGAAGGACAGAATTTGAAGATAAAAAATTGCCATAAAGTTCAACTTTGAAACTAGAGACTTTCTCTACAAAATATCATCCATCAAAAGATATTTTAAAAAAGGAGCAATCAATTACATTTCAATAAAAAATTATTATCTTTTAAATACGTTTATAGCAAAAATGAGCGTTGAAAGTATTCTTCTTTCAAAAAGAATGCAAAATTATACTCAAATCAAGAAAATCATCAAATTGTATTCATGAAATTCTCAAAGTGAATGATTGTATATCGACTTTCACGTAGGCAGTTTATTTTTTTCATGAATGATAAAATAAACTACAACAAGCAACTAAGCATCTAAATATGCCGCCTGCAGTGGAAAAACATAGCGCCATCTGGTCCCACTGCAAACGGTACTTTCAATTTAACATTTTACAATTCAACAAAAGAAAGAAGAAAAAAAGTAAGAACCTGTGGATTAAAGGGCCTCAATGAAAAGCCTGAGAAAGGCAGTTCTTGGTTTGCTGTATAGATTTAAGGAGGATCCGATGTGGAAGTGGTTAACAAGCAGCCATAAATGCTTAGGCCTATTCCACCTGTACCTGGGTGGACACGTTTGGTTCACTAAAATCCTAAGAAATAGGATTGCTTTCTTGGGAATAATAAGCTATTTCAAATATACGAGTACTATGTTTATTGTGATCATTTCCAAATAAAAAATGCTGTACCATGAAAATAAACTGAATTATCTTCAACAAAGAAACTTGTATCAAAGCAGAGAAAGAACACCATACACAGACCTCATTAATCTACGCGAGAGGTGCTTGCAGGCACAAACGTTCTGCAGGCACTTTTGAAACAATTTGTTTATCTTTTTTATCTTACAGTCACAATAACCAATATCAGGTTGACTTTTTGGCTCTTTTTCTCTCTATCACGTTTCTTAATACTTTATTTTCTTTAATTATGTATTTTTCTCTATTCATCTCTCTATTTACATTCCCCTAACTCTCTTATCTCTCAAATTTCTCGATGCATTACGTATGACTGATAAAACGTATGTTTTGTGTATAGTAGGCTGAAGAAAGCACGCTCCCTCGAGAGGCAAATAGCTTCACGAAATTTTAAAGGCACTATGTCCCGACGCATTTTGCTGGCCATTTAAATTTCCCATTGGTTGGACTACACAATAGACCTATTGTTACGTATCCAATCAGCTAATTCTCAATGTTTTCTTGACGATAAACGTGCTGAAAAGTTTATTGTTATTTGTTATTTGTTAACTCTGAACGGTTGGCTGACGGGACATAGCGCATTCAAACACCTTTGACAAAAATCCTTTTTTCGAGAAAAATCCCCCAGAATTCCTTGAAAATATTATTATTCTAAAAAATTTCGTGCGCTGTCTGGAAAGATACACCCATCGCGCTCAATTAATCTAAGTCGTCGAGCATTTGAAACTACTGCGTTAGTGCAGATAACAGGACTGTAGAAAAGTGCAGAATATGTATTTCTGACGTATCAGAACAAAATAACAATATACATCTCCAAAGAATTCACCAAGAAGAGAATTCTGACGATTTGTGGCAACACAAACAAGCCTCGTTCCAAGTCACTGTGTTGACGGGGAAATTTTTTTTGGGCCGTTTTGGGAATAGAATCTGTCACTGCAAAGATTTGTAACTCAAAAAATGAAAAAACCCAGTGTCAAAATTCTTACAACTCCTGTTAATGAAACTATTTGATTATTTTGCCGTTTAGTAACTGCGCATAACGTTGACCTTGGCCAAATGATCCCCTTTGAAAATCCACATTTATGCACTGCAGTGCAAACGATAAATAGCATGCTAACAAGTTTTATGGATCATTTGTGCCTGCATGTTTTCATAAAGTCCCATCATCAGAGGTAATTTTCTTGGCAGTTTTGGGGAACTGTTTTACTTGTCAAAGGCGATGGCAATCAAATTGTTGGTTTTCAACTGCAAGCCTATCATTAATCATTTAAGTTGGTTCATAATATATTGCTTTTGAATACTCGACACTCTTATTCTAAAAAGTAAAATTAACCGGGTTGCATCTTTTCTTATATTTGAACGGTTATGTTAGCAGTTACTCATATTGAAAAATTCATTTGTTTGAAGCTGTCAAAATGTTAATATTTTCCAGATTTGAAAATTAAGAAAAACAGATTTTATTTCGCTAGCTGTCCCAGGCGCCTGCTTGAATGTTCCTTATAGTCCGGTCGCTTGTGTCACAATTATTGCTCCCGCTCGATTCGCGTGCCAAAATCGATTTTTTTGCATGAATGTATTTGAATATCCATCTAGATTACGAAAATCATAGGTGCCATTTTTTTAGGAAAGCGGAAGGGGTTTAACGAGGGCGTTAATCACGTGCGGTCAATGTCAGTTCCTCTGCGGAGGAGCAAATACTATCAATCGTAATAGATGATAAGAAGGAACTTTGAACGAATGAACTTCAACAAATTGTTTCCAAATGCTATAGGGACATGTCTTTAATCACTTTCTTACTTAGAAATGGAAATTTATAGTCACGTGACTTCTTACCCCCTAAATCGATGTAAGGAGATTTCTAATCCAATTGGTCATAAACTTCATCCTGGATGAAGTTTATGAATGAACGTTATTGATATTCACGTCAAACTCATTTCTATAACTTTTAATATCTAAGCGAAACATCAAGAGGCAGGGCTCCTGGAGCATATTGGGGATGGGGAGGGGGGGATAGAAAGATTTAGGGGGCACATGCTGAAAGATAAGAGCAATATTTACTGTATTGTTTTAAGTACATTATGGGATTTATTGTAGACTAAGCCACATCAGCCCTCTCAGCGATAAAGAGGGGCAAAAAAACTCAAGGAATGATATTAAATGAATGATTGAAGTTTAGAGTCCAAGGATTTTCTAACGAGGGTCCATGACCGTTAGCATGACCGTTAGTATGAATAACATCTTTAAGCAAAAAAATTATGAAAACAACAGGGATGATATGACGTGTTAATGCAATTTTTTGTTGAAACCATAAAAAAGGACAAGCACAGCTTGTCAAAAACTGAGACAAAACAGTGTAATACCAACCTCAACCAGATCACACTGGACCCTCTCACAAAATCTTGTGTCGTTAGGAGATCTGGGATCCAGTTTGTTGTTAGAATAGTGTACCTAGTGTACTCAACTAGATAGGGGCGTGTGTCAGTATAGATATACTATACTGCTACATATAACATATATAAACATGTATATAAGTTGTCTTTTATAATTTCTGAGTCCTTGCTAGTTCATCAGCCAATCCACCAGGTAGAGCATTTCGGGGCTTATGATCAGTATGCTCCTTTACACCTGGGTGCCCCCTCACCTCTGCGCCCAGGGATGATGCCAGCAAAGGTGTATCATTGAATCGTAGCGTTGTATAGAAAAGAACGGGATATCCACGTTCATGTGTATCCAGTTTATTCATGTAGCCTCACTATAGAGGTATATATCATGTATTCAATAAGAATATACTACGAGCTCGTAGTGCCAATGGAGGGACAATGGTTAGGCATATAAAAATATAATAGTGACATAAATATATGTATATAAAATACTTGCGTACTCATACGTAAGTACAAGAGCGGTGTGCAAATAGGTATTGGGGTTATTCAGACTGTGTATAGATATACGTTGAATTTGTGACATCGATACATGTATATACAAATAATCGGGTACCAAAATGTGAGTTTAGGGAGAAAATGAGAGTTTAGCAGAAAAAACATGGAACCAGAGAAAAATTACCTCCAACTTTAGGAGCATTGATTCCCCACATACAAAGAGCAAGTTTTATTGCTGGAATTTTAAAGGAATATACAACTGCGATTAATTAAATTCAACCTCTTGTGGGAAACGGTTGGTAAATGGATGAGGGTATGGAAGTACCGATAAAGTGCCTTGAGCTGCCAGCCCCGCAATCAGTTCTTGAACTTGTCAAATGCGGATGCAAGGTTCGATGCAAGGGACGAGGGAACTGTTCGTGTTTGAAGAATGGGCAGTCATGCACTGAACTATGCAAATGTGTAGATTGGGAAAATATTAAAGACTACGCCGCAGGTGAAGAGACAGACGCCGATTCTGGAGAGGGAGTCGAAATTCATTAACGTGTTTATACTGTTCGTTGTTCCTTAAAGCCTGGTTTCCATATGATCGCAAAAAACGCAAGAAACGCACTGCGATCCTTGCGACAAACCGGTTTCCATTTGATCGCAAGAAACGCACTGCGATCCTTGCGACTCCCGCGAATAATGATTTGACTTTGGGCGCGCCAAAATTAAAATGGCTGGAATCAACCAGCAATGTCTACTGCAATCGAGCTTGTTTATTATTATTGCATTGTTGAAAAGAGTCAGAGAACGTCGTGCAAGAAAAAAACATAGGTTTTGGGTTAGAAAATTTATTCAGAGGAGAGAAGAACACGGTGCGTTTCACACACTAACAAAGGATCTGAGGATTCACGATCGGGAGTACTTTTTCAGGTAGGCCTAATTTGTCAGGTTGGAATGAATGTAACCTCGGTGCCTGTTAGTTTTTACCTCTTTAGGCAGTTTCTTGAACTTGTTCTTAAAGTCCCGGCTATTCTTATTATAAAGGCAGTCGTACTGTTGTATTTCTTCTATTACAGCAAGGTCTTCTGCTGTTACAAAAGCCATCTTGAAATTTCGATGAAAATAATTAGATGCGAGGCTTGGTAGAACATCCCGGATGATAAACTGACGCAAGGATCGCCAAGTTGTTAACAAGCGGTTTCCATTAGAAAAACCATCGACGCAAAGATCGCAAGAATCGTAGAGATAGAAAATTTTCTATCTCAAACGCAAAAATCGCAAAAATCGCAAAAATCGCAACAATCGCAACAGACGGAATAGAGCAGTTTCCATTAATACGCAAGGATCGCAGGATCGCAAGTCACAAATTTAAGCGATTTTTGCGTTTCTTGCGTTTTTTGCGATCATATGGAAACCAGGCTTAATACACCTATATTCTCAGCAGCTTTTCCATGTTATCCACTAAAGCTGATGTTTAAAATGTTTTGTAGAAATTTCTGCTTTTAGCAATTTAGGGACACCTCCTTCAACGGGCCATTAATGGCATCCCCCTGAAATGAGGCCCCTCTCTTCCGATGTTTAAAAGTTGCGGAAATGACTCTGACGCGATTAAAAATTGTTTTCTTCAGAATATCTCATTGTAGAAACCAAAAAGTACTCATTTCCATATATGGAAATAGGGGCAGAAAGTCACGTGATTAACCATATTAAGTCCTAAAACCAGGACCCAATATTTAAAGATTTCCCCAGTTAACATTTGAAAACAATTTAAAGTTAATTTAAAGTTAGTTTTTATCATCTATTGTGATTGGGACATTTTTCTCCTCCGCAGAGACACTTGCTTTGACCGGTCGTGATTTGCACCCCAGTAAGACCCACTTCCGCTGACCCAAAAAAATGGCACCTATGATTTTTATATTATTGATAGATATTTGTAGGCATTCATGCAAAAAAATCAATTTTGGCACGCAAATCGAGCGGAATTACACAAGGATCCCGACTATTAAAGGTAATGTGTCCAGCTAAAGCAAGCAACTCTGCGGGGGTTTTCAGAAACATGTGATTTTTTATGTCATCGTCCCAGCCATTACGGTCGTTCTGTTTATCTACCCTGCTGCGAGGTTAGCTTTTCATGTGAGCAGTTTTGCATCGCAAGAATACTGGCCAATCGCAAACCGTTATTTTGATGTTACTTGACATGTTGGGTATACACATTACCTTTAATAAGGGAGAACGAGTTACAGGAATTTCTTATAAAAATGTGTATCATACCTTTACAGAAGTTTTGGTTGGTGAATACAAATCGCCTTTTGCAGGCCTAACAGGTGAAGGGGGAGCAGATTCCTTGCTCTTATTTCCTGCAGTGGTATAGTTCAGTATGGAAGACAAGTAATCAGTCTTTGCTGTTCGATCAGCTAGAATGCTTTGTGTTGGATAATCACCTGTAGAGAGAAAACCATAAACAATTGCTAATAGAGTTCTCAAATGTGACGTCATTAAAAAGTTTTTTAGAAGAATCTTGACCAAACGACCTACAAGTTTTGAAATACTTCACAAAACAAAATCACTTAAATATATCAAAAATCAGGTGAGACATGGCCAATAAAAGATTTGTAATTTGCTAACAGATCAATGTTCTTTTGAAGACCAAATCACGGAGGTTTAATGCGGAAAATCTTATGCTAATGTGGCCATATCTCCGCCTATTTAACCAAATTTGCACATTTTCAGGTATTTCTTCAGGATGCTCTTCAGGTTATAGGAGGCAAATTCAAAAAATTCTACATATAGATTTTCTGACGTCGTCATTTAAGAACTCTATGGAATTTGCATAAATATTGAAAGAACTAGAGCCCTGAAGACACGACATCCATAAGTTCAATGACCGTGACGAAGGCCAATGAAAACAAAGGAAATCCAACGCCCACACCCACCCTAGTTTCTCTCTCTCTGTGAAAAATCTTTTCAAAGTTGAAGAACTTTCCTGAACTCTGTATAGAACCTGGGACCACTGAATAAACCAAGGGTCCATAGGTCATACACATGGTACTTCTATACATAACTGATTTTCATTAAGAATTCAAATGACCAACGCTTAAAAGTATATATATATATATGTATATATCAAATGGGTCACCCTTCTGGAACGTTTTTCAGTATTTTCACTTATCTTTCTTGAAAAATTGCAAAAAAATTCAAAAAAGCTGTCCCGATGGCGAATTCTAATCACTTTCTGAGCTCATTTTGGAAAAACTATTTTTGTCCGGAAAAGTTTGTTGTTGCTTCTTCAGTGGTTGATACCTAACATCAAGCCTGAAACCTCAACGTGAAAGACAAATGAACTGATTTTAAAGTCATGGGAAGTATCATCCTTATTCTTGAAATGGTGTAAAATGGCTTGCCTTGCTTATGACACTTACTTGTATATGTGCTACCTTTTGGTGAAACACCAATTTTACGTAGCTCCTGAGACTGTCTTTCTCTACAAAAAATAACAAAGAATACAATCCTTAAAAAAATTGCGCTGAATATGATCAAAAGAAGCAAATCCCTAAAGTTGAATCATGAAAATAGCCACAAACAACAAATTTCTGCTTGCATGAATAAAAGCTTACAAAGGTATGAGTTACCTTTCATATTTTTCTGATGTTAACTGCTTTCTGAGATGTTCGACCTCTTCTCGTAGTTTTTCTGCTGTTTTTCTGAGTGATTTCACATCAACATCTTTTGAATCTCTGAAGTAAAAAAGCAAACATTTGTATGCACAACTCTGTCATTATTTGTCAGGTATTAGGTTACAGAAAAGACTTAGGAAGTGGCAATTTATTTGGCTTCAAATAACAAGGTCATAATCTCAGGCATTACAATTTCAATGTTGAATTTGTCCTGGCAGATAGTGGCAAATGATTGCAGAAGACGTAAAGTCCCTCTGTACGCTGTGGCATTTTAAAAAATACAAGTCTTAATAAAACCATTTTTCAATCTATCAAAAATCTTACACTTAATTATAATGAATAAATTTCACAATCGATTGAAATGCATAGACAACACACCAAATAACCTCTTTATTTCCATTGAGAGATTAATTCATTTACTATACCTAATAAAACTAAACCGATCAATTTGGAACAATCAGAGTTAGGCATGTTCTGTACCTGTCTCTTTCTGCTTTTAACAATGCTGTTCGTATTCGATCTAATTCAGAGAGTGTCTCGTCGTGTGTTTGCTGTTCGTAGAATTGCTGAGGAACAGAAAATGAAATATTTTTAGAAAACAAAGCAGGGTATCAAAAAATCAAAGAGAAACAGTGAGGCTGATTCTTTCCACAAAGAAATGTTTTATGCGCATTTTTAGTTAAAAAAGAAATAGATACCTTTTCTCTGTTTGATGATAAAATATTTTCCATGGATCTGACATTATCTTGCTGCTGTACCAACTAAAAGAAAAGAACAAATTTGTTTTACCATTTAGGCCAAAAATTTAACCAGCAGCCAGCAATGAAAATGAAAAGGCAATTTTGTTGGACGGGGAGTGAAAAGGATTGGAAATCAATGCTCTTTAATCTGACCAGTTGATGTACATTGTGGGAAAAATGACATAGGTGTTTTAGTGAGAAGCGATTTGTCAGCCTCAAAGAGAGAGCGAATGGGCATAGAGAGACCAACTGTACCTTGATTTCATGGTGAATGACGCGAAAAGTGAAATTGATTCTACAATGCCGTTTCTATACTACATGCATATGGCATAAAACCAAACCATTGCCTTGCTACAGGTTGGAGTGCTCTAGAATCGAAAATGCAAAACGCAGACCCATATCATGTTTTATGTTCCGATTTCACAAAGGAGCTGCTATAAGATGGAAAGACTAGAAACCTGTGTTTTGTTAATGCAATCAATTGAAAGCAATCTTTAAGAGAATCGACTAAATCGAAATAAGAACTGGATGTGATATCTTGAATTCTTCAAAGAACGTACTTGTCTACGTAAGTTCTCAGATTCATTTCTGGCTTCCTCCACAAACTGTTGTAACTAAATAAAACAGAAAAATGTGAATAAACATCATGGCAGTGAAGACAATCTCTAGCACATTGGTTAGAAGACATTTAAAGTCGAACATGAAAACAAATAATGACAGTGTAATTGTAGCACTTTTTTATGTGTATTGAAACCCGAAGGCTTCTTTCAGGGTTTAGATTATGGAATAACGTTCTGTAATGTGTCCGTAGAGGGGGGGGGGGGTGAAAGGTTTTAACTGAGAAAACTAAAACAAAATTTTTTCTAAGAAACTTTAAAGGCTCTTGCGCAACAGGCATGCTTAGCGGCAGTTGTCTTGAAATATTTACTGTATTTTGTATTTTTATGCAGTACAAAATTAGGCTGGTCTTTTGAATCATAGTTGCAAAGCGTGCCGGTTGCGAAAGAGTCTTTAAGGAAATACATCTACATTTAAAAACTAATTGCAAATTAAGCTTGCCATTTCAAAAGTAAAATACACCTAAATAAATACCAGAACTGTCATTTTGTTGCCATGATCATAAGTAAGGAAACATATGTAAATAAATGACCCGAGGTCAAGTTAAAACAGACTGAACAAAGTAAACCCTTCGAAAAATGGCTACCTGTGATTCATCGTCTGTTTTTGAGGCTAACTGTCTGGTGAGCGTGTCCCTGGCTTGGTCCAACTTCACGCAAAGTTCTCTAACGGCATTTACATCTTGCTGCAATGTTTCCTAATGAAATATATATTAAAGGGGTAAAAAAACTCATTGTCATTTGCTGTGTTGCCACAAACGTTTCCAATGACTAAAAAAAGGCTGAATGAAAGAATTATACTGTCTTTCGGTCGAAAGATAGCGCAGCACTAGGGGATCTTTTGCTTTTTGTATGTAACAAACTGAACAGAACCTCTCTCTGTGAAATAGCAGAGTTTAAGAGACTGATGATTGTGTTAAGAAGGAAGCAGCTTACAATTCAACAGCAAGCAAAAACTTCCAACATAATAATATATAATATAATAATAATAATAAAACGAATATTTATACAGGATAAACACTTCAACAATTAGAACATCGCTGTTATCACTGTGTGTCCTGTGCCCTAGACCTTAAATGATATTGAAAGAAAATTTATTACATTAAAAACATTGATAAAACTTACAAGAATAGGATCTATAATACCTAATAAAACCTAATTTCACATTGAAATAAAATAATGTTTGTCACTGTCCTGCAAAATGATTTTTAAGTTTTTTAACAAATTCTTTGTGTGTCCTTGTCCGACGTATGTCTATAGGTAGCTCATTGTACACATTAGAGCCCATATATTGAAACGATTTTCGTGCATATTCTTTTTTAATAATAGGTAATCGCAGAGTGCATTTGTTGCTTCTTGTTTCCTTTTCATGTTGTATCAGAGTAAAATAATTCTGAAAATGTTCACAGATATCTCTGTCCAGGCATTTTCGCACAAGTTTGCAGGCTCTCATCTTATTCGCATTTATGACTGTCATGAGCCCTTTACCGGCTGTTTCATCACCATAGACTATCTTCAATGAACGAGAATGAAATGAGGAAAGTCTGCTTATTTGCGTTTTTGTGAGCTTTAGTTGCAGTATACCACAGTAAGTAAATGTTGGAAGGATCATAGTGCGATAGATTGTACTAGCTGTAGCATTGTCCATGAACGACCTTAATTTTGCTTGAAGTCGTAATCTACCAGATGCACGCTTGAAACATTTGTCGAAATGGGAGTTCAAGTTAAGTGAGGTATCCACAAGGACGCCAAGATATTTATATTGCGTTGTGTTGTTAATTACCGTTGGGGTTGGCTGAGATATTGTGACTTTGAGTGGCCCATTTTGCTGTTTTGCAATTCGTTGTGCCGTTCCAAATAGTATCGACTCTGTCTTGCCTTTTTTTAGATTCAATATCAGTTCATTGCATCTCAGCCACTTTGACAGATTTTCCATGTCTTTCGATAGTTTATTTTCAATTGAATCAATTTCTTTGCCTGCCACATACAAAACAGTATCATCTGCATATTTTAAAATGCTTGAATACTCCATGACTTCTACAGCATCATTGAAAGAGATAAGAAACAATAGAGGGCCAAGTATTGAGCCTTGTGGAACTCCTGTTAACAAGTTCTCCTCATCTGAGATACAACCAACAATTTTGTACATCTTTTCAGGAATATAGGACTCAGGAATACAGGAGTATAGGAATTCAGGAATGGTAGAACTTAATTTCTGAAAGCTTTCGGAAAAATATGAAGGCCAAATGTTTGAACTGGAGACAGAAGAACCTTCAGTTTACACTGAAGAACCTTCAGTTTACACTGAAGAACCTTCAGTTTACACTGAAGAAACTTGCCAAAACACGACCATTTCCAGTGTAAAACAAACACCGAAAATCAAAACATGACTTATAATTTTTACCTTTTCTTGGTTAACTTGTCTCAACTGTCCTTCCATATTGCTCAAAGATTTTGCCATAGATGACAATTGCTGCTCGTATGCATCCTGGGCCGTGATATACTGATCGACCTCTTCTTCAAGACCATGACAACGATCTTTCAGTCGGCTTATTTCCTACGATTTGGCAAAGGATTTGAGGGTTGTAATGTAAAGAAGAACTTTTACATTAAATTTAATGTAAAGAAAACCAAAGGTGGATTTCACATTTTTAAGTACTTGTTGTTTTAAGACAAGGAATGCTTCATCACTCTGAGAGTACTGTTGCGAGAGTTTTTAAGAAGCAAAGACAGAAAGACAGAAACGTGATACTAATATCTGGATACCTAAGGACGCAATACTTAAACCAGAAAGAGCGCAGCAGAGAGAGTCAGAAAAGAAATTTTTAAGATAAAGATTAAATAGTCGCCTGAGACATATTAAAAAAGATCCAAACAAGGGTGATCGTTTAGAAAGGGGTGCAAAGATGTGTTCCGTGACCCCAATGGTTCTTATAAAGTAATCATACTAGTTTTCGATAAAATCTCTTCCGTATAAAGAAAGTTCCAGGTATGTTCGCAACCAGCCATAACCGCACTGAATTAGAAGATATATTTACATACACAACAACAGTTTTTCAAAGAATCATGTCGCTCTCTCCGATACTTGCAACTATGTACAATTCGAAACAAAACATTTAGAGACAGCAAAGAACAGTTTTTGAGACTTTTGATACTTAAACACTAGCAACAAGCACCAAACCACAACCTACTTGAATCTGGTGGCAAAAATTCTTGAGTTGCAATACAACAAAACATTTACTGTACAAATAAGTTTTATCATATATCATTAACATGAGTGTCATATCCTTGCAAGAAAAACTGAGAGAAATTTCGTCAGACGAAGACACATAAAACATGCCTTCCTGGAAATATAATGGCAATTCCGTTGCAGCGAACGATTTATGATACACTGACCTGCTCTTTCTGAAGTATTTCTTTTCTGTACGTTGATGCTTCCCCTGTGGTTTGCTGGACGTTCGTCTCCAGAACTTCTGCCCGGTTTGTCAATGTTTGAAATTGCATTAACAAATCGTTCTTCTCTTGTTCCTATGAATAGGGTTAATGGTGGATAGTTAAAAAATCAGTCTATGTGAAAATAGGAATATAATAATATGTACATCTCCTTGATATTGCCTGATTATTGTTCATCGTGTTGGAATTGATAGTTTAGCCTGATGCTCGATAACGTTGACATAGAAAAGTACAGGCATAGAATAAGATCATACACGGATATGATACACAACTAGTCTAGGTCTTCGTTTTGCTTAAGGCTGGTTTCCATATAACCGTAACAACCTGCCTTAACATATGTAATTTTTGCTGCACTCTAACCAAAATTTGTTACAGCTAATCGGAAGAAGAGTTTTTAAAGCAAGGCTACCCTTCCCAGGAGACATACAATTGCTAGGGTTTACTTTTCTCAAGTGCCTTTAAATGAGAAAAAGGAAAACCTCCTTTTTCAAGATTGTATTCACCTGTCATGCTTTTTGATAACAGAGGTGTAAATGTATTGCATGTGGATTCATAAGTCATTTCATTCTTCTATAGCCTGAAGTGAAATATTCTACATTCTAAAGGGTTTCCTTGTTAAAGGCTTACAGTCTCGCTAATTACCAGAACACTACTTACACGACAGTTAAAAAAGAATAAGGTAGGGACAATGAACAGAAAAGCAATCTTAGGGCAAGGGTTGCCAATGTTTAGCCTACAGAAGGCAGTGGTTATTGTACATGCTCTGATTTGTGTTGAAAAAATTTTAAAAACGTGCAAAAAGATTAATTAAACGATATCTGAATATCACAAAAGAGGTCATCGCACGAAATCAAATTGAAATACACGTTTAGGTTGAAGTAAACAAACCTTTTCAGCCAAAAGGTCTTCAATTCGAGCCACTTGGCTAGCATACTCAGAAACTTGTGCATTGAGAACTTGTTGATCGTCCAAAGCATCTTGTAAGTCCCGATGAACATTCTAAAAGAACAGATTGAAAACTTTAAACGCTCCTTTAACCTTGAATCTTATGCAAAAATGAAAATCCGGAAATATTTTCCTATTTCCAAACACTGGAACTTAATTGGATTTTTTAGAATGAAATGAAAAAGTTTAGCCAAGAATGAAATGAAATTTCGTTGGTAAAAGAGTCACTGAAGTATGAGACACTTTATGATGGTCATATGGCAAAAATATACTGTACTGCATCAATTTCGTCAGGTATCGGATAACGAAGAGAAGAAAGGTTAGCCAAGAAAGGGAAGCGAAAGGAACAATTAAGGTTTGATTTTTTACGATCTATTTCGTTATCACTTTTATAACTATAATGAGGATTGTCCTTATCGTCATTAGTAAACCCAGAGCTTATTTCCATCTAGAATTATATCTCCATCTATACCACTAACACCACTACAACCTTTATTGCCATTATCAACATCGTTAAAATCATCATCATTTTATCACCATGCTTATATTCATGCTGTGTACAACTTTTTTTCATTTTGTAATAGTTTTTCAATGTAAGTGTGCCACATACAAACTACCTTGTAACAGTGAGGTTGGTTAATGTTATGTTTTTTGCAAATGAAATGACAACTGGTTTTGAAAAAGTTATATCACTTTTAATTCTAACATTATCATCAATCCAAACATTTAGTGTCATTATTAATAGACTGCTCCGCTACAACACAGAAACTTTAATCAGCGAAAACTTCATAATGAACTAAATTTGTCAGTCAAACAATGTGACTCTAAATGTCAATGCGTTTATGATTGATTTGAAATTATAATTTCAACGAGTAAACTCATAAAAACTTACAAAATTCTATCAAAAAGAAACAATCCCCATTTGCACGTGCAATTGGCAATCTTGAAAAAGGCAGTTCAGTGACTAATAAGAATTGTTCAGTAACTTAATTCGCTCCTGTCACCAGCTTAGCTTCAAAATAACGTACAAATGCTTTGAAAAAGAAGAAAAAGTTTTTTCATTAGGAAGAAGACTTATCTAAGCTCGCGATCTTAATATAAGCCTGCTGACTAACTTAGAGAACAGATTTACCTGGTTTTCCTCTGTCATTAGAGTAAGGTCACTCTGTAGTCTCTTGTTCTCCTTGATAATCGAGTCACGATTTCTTGTAATGGCAGCCAGTTCATCTTCAGTTGATCGAACCTGCTTGGAGAGACTCTTGATCTCTCGGTTATTTGATGTGACGTCATGTTCTTTATGCCTAAAAATAAATCGGGCTAACAAAACCCACTCGACTAATGGACTCACTCATAACGTCTACAATCAAACAGTTCAAAATTCGCTACCAAAAATTCGATAATGGATTTTGTATTTATGAGAGAACACTCCGATGTCGAGAAGTATTTCCTGTTTACCAAAAATATGTTTGATTTGACAACTTAATTAAACGATCAAAAACAGCTCAGGGAAGATTTTTTAAGTCTGTTGCTACACACGTGACTTCAGCACAAAATGGAACACTTTCCTTTAATCAAGAATTTATCGGTAGATTTTTTAACCACCTTCCTTTTCTTCAAAGATTGTGAATGACCATTACTTCAAACATCTTACCTCAGCCTTTCCTCTAATTCTTCAATGTTAATCTTCAAGTCATTTTCAGCTCTCTCCTACAAAATTTGAAGAAACCTGAAATCAATTTGAATTTGAAAAGAGCTGCTCATTCTTGTCAACTACAGGAAAAAATCTACACCCCGTACTTTATCACAATTGAAACATTCTTCCTCGTGGCCTTCACTTTTTCGTTTTCCTTTCTATGACAACCTTAACCTGTGTTTCACAGCACTACAACCAACTACCTTTAGCGTTTTCGGGGCTGAAAAGCTGGTCAATTTTAAAATAAAGTATGAACAGTGATACAGAAGTTGTTGGTACTTAGCATTTATCAACTTGCTTTAAAGCGCCACTTGATAGAGGAACTATCGATGGATTTTTACGGAGTGAAAATTGTTTTACAATGTCAGTACAACTCATAGATAACATCTACTGCATACCAATAACAGCTAAATACGTATATATACCTCATCGCCTTCCTTGAACGCATTAATATACTCCAAAGCATAATGTATTGCAGACCAGGCCATAATTCACTAGCTAAGTTATTGAAACGCAAGGTAATTGTAGCCGACAGGGCTAATATGTACTTACTTTTGTTCAATGAGTACAATTTCTAGTTAGCAGCGATGAAAACCATTCTTTCTCGCAAATGTTTGAAAAACTAATATTTGCTTACTTTGATAGAACACTAGTCTGCTGGAGTTGTGTTTTTTCAACTCGGTGGGCGAAGGGATTATTTTAAGTCGTATACCAACTTAGTCTTTTGTTTTCAATGGGTTTCTTCCAAGTAAAAACCACAACATGATACCCCTTTGAGGTTTATGAAAAATTTATCTTTCGTCAATGAATTTGAGTATTATTTTGGCTAATAATTCCGGGCAATTCACAATGCATGAGCAAAATAAAATCATCCTTTAACAGCATTAGCTTCCCGGTTTCATATGAAGTTAAGAAATGAATGTAAGCCATTCAATTTCAATTATTTATGGGATGGGACGATTTCAAAGATTGTGCCACAACGTACAAAGAGGTTTTGAAACATATAAATATAAGGTTCTGCAGGTTATACTTCAAGAGAATGAGCTTCATTAGCCATTAGATAGCCCAGTAAACATTATCACTGATTTGTTTTTCAAATTGGCAGCAAAGCAAATTCATGTAGAACCCAGGCATTTTGCTCAATCCTGTTCAGAAAAGGTGAGATATACATTAAACCTTCTCGTTCTCGAAACTTCTATTCTAATCTTTGTCTACGGAAATTTCTATAATGAAAAGATCTGCGCCCGAAAAGGACCCTTAACCAACACCCAAAATCGGCCTTAAGGTGTGTTTATGAAATTTTACTGAATCACTACAAGAATGGAATTAAAGAGAAAAAAGAAGTTTCAGAGCAATGCAGTAAATTCTTCTCAACTGCATGTCAACGATCAGTTTAAAATTCAAAAGCCGAATTACCAGTTTCGCCCTCTTGGATTCCGCTTCAACTAATAGTTCGGCTTTCTGATCAACTTCTTGTTGCAGCAAGTCTCGTTCTCGATCTAATGAGCTAACCATGCCTTTAAGTCGCAAGACCTCTTCTCTCAGTGTGTCAACCTCGTTTTCAAGATCAGCTAAAAAGAGGCCAGACGTTCGTTTGATAAGACAGTGGTACTGGATGATTCAAATGAGGGCAAGTACCAGTATCAAAGGTAAGAGTCAGTTCACAGTGTTTATCCTTGGCAAGTTAAATTCTTCTACAACGGAATCAGTGGTAGCTTGTGGCAATTGATCTTTGTTTAAAGAAAGAAACCTTGTACTTTAGGTAGATCTTCTTTGAAACAAAAATTTATGTCGAGTCACTAGTCAACAAGACCTTCCAAGTGTTTAAAATGGAAATATTTCCATTGAAATCCAGATGTGTTGTCAAAAGTATGTTGTTGGCTGTTACAAGAAAAACAACAACCTACTATTTTTATAGGAACCACAACAGTATATAAAAACTAAGGCAATAAGGCAATTAAACGATATATTTGTCATTGGTAATCAGTAGATGCCTTTGTAGAAATCACATTATATCAGGGGTGGACAAACGGTTTTCTTTTCTGGGTCACAATAGAGGCATTAAACATTTGAGGAGTTGAGCTTAAAGGAAAATACATTGAGGACTGAGAAAATTAATTATATTGCATTATCTTTGGTGATTTGTTGATTTATATATTGCAACTGTGGTACGACAAGCAATATTTGTCTGTTGTACTAGAGGCAAATATCTAGTATGTTTTAAGAGAACTGAACAATGGAATAATTAATTGAATTATGAATTGGAATAAAAAATGTAGGTAATTTTTGCAAGTAACTATGTTATTCATGGATTGATTAAGGTATGAACCAGAAAGCAAAAAATTTGCCATCACAACGTAAGCCTAAATAAACACTCGTGATGATTTTTTTGGAACTTTTATCATATTCTTGAAAGTTTTACTAGCTATTCAGCAGTCAATATTCTATTATTCTTTAAACTTGCTTTCTTACTTTGGTAGCTCTTCTTTTTATGAGATTCAAAATCAACCCACAATTTTTTTTTTAATTTTCTTCGGGGACTCAAAATTTTCTGAGACAAATTGTCCAATGGTCTTACACTCCTTCCACCCTCGCATTCGTTTTTTTCGAGACCCCTTCGAGATGCAGCTTTACGTTTGCACTTGATCAATCGTTCAATTTATTTGTATCCCCTTTTGTTCACATGTTATAATGTGCTTTTCTTGCCCTTTCTATGTGAATCACACCCTACTATAGTCACTTGGATTCCAACTATCTTATAGGGCTTCACCGTCTTAAAGGTATAACGTTTGTCCACCGATATAAATACAGTGGAAGGTAACTTTAGAAGGGTGATAATTAAAAGAATTATAACCATCAAATGATATAAATAAACGTGAACGGCAATGCTCCCAGACCTTTGGTCCTTATATCGATTCCCAATCTCTTGCAAATTTAGAACTCCCCCGAGAATTTTGCACCACCTTGAGAAATAGGCGTTAAACAAAGCAGGTGCTACAAATTCTCGATTTAACATCACCCATTGCAAAGTGCCTATAAAAAGGAGATCATCGAAACAAGAAACGAACCTTGCAACTCTTCAACAGAAAATTTATCCGATTCTATCTTTTGTAGCTCGCCTATCTTTTTTTCCAATCTCCTTTTCAACTCATCTCCTGATCTCTCCGACTGTTCTAACAGTAGCCTCAGCTTTGATATTTCCGCTTCTTTATCTGCAGTTACTTCCCTACTGTTCCTTAGCGATGACGTTGTAGACTTCAGTTGTTCCTCTAAGTTGGCAACCATCTCACGCAAGGACGTTACCCGCGTATGTAGCTCAGACTTCTCGCGGTCAATCTGTGAAGAGAAGCAGTTCAATGGTAGCATATAAATCGCATAGTATCGTAAAGTAGATAGCGCCATTGGACTTGGATCATTAACAATAACAGGGTCCTGTTTGCATAAGGGCAAATGCGCTATAGCTTAAGAATTTAAAACGATAGCCACGCAACTTCAACGAACTACAAAAACCATTTTCCTTGGACAGGAGGTTCAAGGTACTGTAATTGTTTTGTTAAGAAAACCATCTTACAGCTAAGACAATGCAACCGTTATATGCTCCATACTATAGGCAGGAACTCTCACACAACAGTTCAGAGTACATCAAAGAGTTCATTACTCGTACACATTTGGTGGAAATCCTATTGTAATATCTGAAGTAATACCTCTGGAAGTCATTTAGTTTCCGTGAAAATCCCTTATTCTATTTGTAAAAGCATATTGCCCCTCGTCGATAACAATTCACTTTTAAAAATACTTGGCACACCATATTCAGGATTTTACCAAAGCCATGTCTCTCAAACCTCCCTTTACATAAAAATGCAATTAAATTTGTACGTTGCGTGTGGTACTCCATCCAAAGAAACTATAATATAGTTAGCAAATAAACTGAGTACCAGAATGAAATAAATTAGTTTGATAGTTAAAAACACGACGTTTCGAGCATTTACTTGATATTCTTTTACATATTGTTGCCTACAAAGTATTTGAAAAAACAATTGATACCTTTTCAATGATTCTTTCCAAGTCTGCTCGACTGTCGTCATACTTCGATCTCTCTAAACTTTGACCAGTTTTCACCGTCTACAAAAAACGGAAGTTGATGTCAAGAAATTGGATTTATCATTGTTGAAATGCTGAAAGTTGATGATGATGGGATTCTTCCAGTAAGCATCTATTTAGGGTGGAGAGGTGAATATTAACAAAAAATATGATCGAAGGCTAGCACATAGATCGAAGACATAAGAAAAAATCGTAACATTTATTTTGCCTATTTAAACAAGAATAAATAGTACATATTCATTTGTGACAGCTGACAAGGACCGCGGATCATATTTCAGATTGAGGGGGCTAAATTATGGTTTATATTTGGTATGGTTTTAAGTACATTTTGAAAGTTAGTGAGGGGGCTAAAGCCCCTATAGCCCCCCTTCCGGGGTCCCTGATGCAGACACGTTTACAGAACCGAACATAAACCAGTGGCTTCTACGACAAAGAAACAATTTTAACAGAAATTACACTTCTTACTATGCAGCAAATAAAACAAACCTAAAGGAAACTCACATTCAATTGATTTTCAAGGGTCTGGACCTCGGACCTCTTCCTTTTTACTTCTTCTAGGGCCTCGTCCCTTTCCTTCTCAACTCGCTCCAATATAGAAGATATCCTCTTCGAAGGAGACGGAGATCTGGCACGTGACAGCTGACGTCGCAGTCTTTGAATTTCGTCAGTTGCCTGAAGTTTAAATTGAGAAAAGAATGATAAACAAATTAAGTCAAAAAGATTGTTTCGCTTGGCATGTTTCATCCAAATTTACGAACTTGTTCAATTTTATTTGTTGTTTAATTGTTCAATTGTTTTAGGCCTATTGTGTCTTCTCAGTTTCAGTATGTTATAGATTAAAAGAGAACGGGAATTTTCAAGGAGCCAGGTATCAAAGAGCCAGCTTGCCTAAATGTAAATCATGAGAAGGTCTGATGCTGTTGTCAGGACATAACCACTCTTATTTAACAACGTAGTTCACACAAGGGGAAATTTGCAGCTCTCCAGAATGGTCTAGCATGTTGAATATGATTTGACAAGAGTCTCAAGTTTACTTTTGAAGCTATGAAGCTAAACGAATATAAAATTTGAAGCGATTGGAAATGAAAGACGTACCTTTTTGAACAGCGAAATAAAATGGCAATATAGATCATAGCAAAAAACAGCGAGACAAGGTTCCAATTGCCCCGAAATAACCAAATCTATGAAGTGACATTGCTAGTTATAAAATTTAATACCTTTTTTTTGCTTTGATGAAGCAAATGATGTTGCTCTGATGTTTATTCTCGGCGTATTGCGGTGTTTCATATTTGCTACATTTTTATAAAAATTAGCCTCTTCTTTAGAAGCAGTCTATCGATGGTAAATTGTTCTATCGTCTTTTTCTATTTGGCATTGGTGCCTTTGATAATACACAGCTAAAACACATTGAACGGTATGCACAAGAATATATACAAATTACTAAAAACGAATCGAACCTGTTCATAAAGTAACTGAATGTTTTCCTTTTCGGTTGTGAGATTTTGCACGTTACTTTGAATCTGTACGAACAAGAGACAAGTCGAAATGAATGGCTTAACTCGGAATAAACAAGGTTAGCCAAAATTTTAAGCATACGAAACTTTTCGTTGTTGATTAAATTTAAGCGGACGTCTGGAAAGAAAAGTTGGAGAGATTGCAAAGAGGAAGAAGGGGTGATTGAGAGTGGATATGAGATCTCAAATAAAGCTTAAGTCCCGGTGAATACCGGTAATCACCTTAATATCTATTGGGTGGAATGGACAACAGGCTTTCATTAAATGCTCTAATCAGCTGACGCGTTGAGAGATAAAACAGATCTGACCAGGATGAACAGACAGAGCAACAGCAGAGTACACAAGAAGATACTGTAGCAGAGGGCAAAAAAGGACGGAAACAGACAATCGATCCTTTGTTAAAAGTCAAATTTTAAAAGCAGACGTTGGGGGACTAGCATCACAAAAACTGTCTTCTGGTCACCCCTTTGCTTAGTGATTGCAGCAAAAGCGCAGTTGTCACTAAAATCTCTCTCAGTTCTGAATGCGTCAGTGGACGGCTCTCTGGCGAGGTCTTCGACTGGGGCATCGTGGGAGAGGAGCCCATCATCCTGTCAGGAATTTTTTTACAAAACAACAACAGAGAGAAAGAAACGATGGAATGGATTGGGGTAGAGAGCAAGAGATAGGATCGTTTATGCAAATGGCCCATCTTGAAGCATCCGTAAGTAGGGGAACGGATATTGCGAATGGAGAGACAACTTACGCTTGCAAGGTGCCTTTCGAACTTTTCGAGCATTGACTGCAGCTCGTCCCTTTCTCTCCGCAGCCGCGAAACTTCATTTGAATTATCCGTAGGCTAGAAGAAATGAAATTTTTAGCAAAAATCTGATGTCTTCGGTTAAAAACAGAGAAAAGGTAAGATAAGAGTGTAAGTTGTTCTACAAGAGCTATTTGTAATCGCACCTACAGTAGAGGTATCCTTAGGGCAATTAGCAGAAAAAAGAAAAAACTTAATTTAGCTGTTTGGAGAATTCGAACTGGAAGTGGGGTACAAAGTGTCTAAAATACATCAAAAAGCATTTGGGTACCTTGTCTCTAGTCGGGGGTGATCGATAGGTTCCCTGCTTTTCTTTAAGATTTCGCATCAATTCGTATTCTCGTTTATAGAAGTCTCTTTCCTCTTGCATTAGTTCAAGCATTCCTTCGAGGTGGGCCTAAATAAACAAAAGTAAAAATGTGACAGTTCCAACACTTGAGATAAATGCATCACGAGTGCTGACCTTCATTCTTCCACTGAATTGAGCAGGTTACGTCAAGATTTGAAAATCACAATGATACCGAGAGAAAGACTTTCTGTGGCATTACTGGATGGGATACGAAGGACCTAAAGAAAAGTCATCGGTGGAAACGCGAGGGAGAATTATACAGAACAAGTATAAATACAATCAATGTGACAGAAGCTTTTGTGTGCCAAAAGCCTACCTCAAATGATGTTGGCTAAATTTCTATCTTTAGTGATCAAATTTTAATTCTTCCTCGCAAAAACTAGGTCTGATGTCACAATACTGTTGAACTCTTCACAGAACCGTAGCATTAGTCATTACTTGTGGGAGAATATTCAATTCTGTTTGGTGGGAACTTTTAATTTGAATTTCAGAAACAGTGCAAGTAGAAATTTAAAAGGAAAGCTGGAAAGACAAAGCATGTTTTGATATTTTATTTATTTTCCAGCATGCTGACCAACCTTTCCTTTCCGAGATGACGGTGACTTGGCAACCTCTCTTCCAGCTATCCTCTTTCTGATCATGTCCTGAAGTATTTGACACTCGTCTTTATAATGGTCTCTTTCATCTTCCAAATTTCGAATTAGCAATTCAATACGATCTGGCGACTAAAAATACGAAAAGGTCAATAAGCAATTGTGCATTTCAATATGCAATAATCGTTTTTCTCGCCAAAAAAGTGAAGGACATTCCATTTTAAAGTAATATGGAACTATAGATTCATTGATTTTCCATTCAATAGAGTTTATTTTTAATAAATCCTGATTTTATATCCTAATTAAAATATTAAGTCCTAAACATCCTAAACGTAGGAAAAAATTATTTTTATTTGAATCGATACTTTAAAAATGACACAGCACTAAAAAACTTTAATATAACAAATTATATGCACCAGTAACGACACGCAGATACCAAATATTTACTATAGTGACAACCTGGTCTTATTAGCTTCAGTGTTTTCCCGTTTAATAATTCATTGAATAGCCATTACGCTAGGCATAATTTTGACCCTGTTCCTCAAAGCAGTAAAACCGCTCTAGTAAAGAGTGGGTCGAAGGTTTTGAAATGGGCACTGGGCTAGTGTTTTGCTCTAACACAATTATAAACTACTTTTCAGGGCTTAACTACTTGATCTACAATATATTATTATTTTTTGAGAGGTGGCGGGGGGGGCTACCGAAATCCTTCCACAGAATTTTATTTTCTTAGGGGGGGATTATCGAAGAAACGTTTTCAGATTCTTGTTTTATGGGGTATCAAACATTCCAATCAGCCCTTTCCCTGCTAGCATCAACCCTGCACTCACCTTTCCAACTTTTCGATTAGCAGACTTCGATAACTTCAAACGTTCAAGTTCCATTACCAGCTCACGCTCTGTGGACAGAACAATGTAACCACTATGAGGATCTAAAAACCGATTTTTCAATGTAGTGTAGTGACCGCTTTTCTCTCAGAGCCACTCCTCGCGATTAACAATCAGATGACTGTATCACGTTGTGAGTCTGATAACAAATAAAGATATTAGAAAATTCTGCGAGCAACGTCTATTAGAAATCTGCTTGTATGAAGTAAAAGCATAAAATATTTGTTGTACAATTGCATTCACGTGGACCAGGCTTTAAAATTTCCTTTGAAAAGCGCAGATCATCATGGTGCAAAGAATAGGCAGCTAGCTGTCAACTCTACCTCTAAAAACAGAATGATCCATCGCTCATTTTCCACGTGTAAGAACTATAAGATCCGTGCACACATGGATATCGCAACGAAGCGCGGAAGGAAACCCGTCGTTACATTGAAACAATACCCAACGCCTACTTGCCAGGGCACAAAAAACAAAGATGAACACTAGAGGCTTATAGTATTACATGAAGATCTCAGGCAATTACCAATTGATTGAGATAGGACACTCGAAACAAAGAAGCAAATCTCCATTCATCGACAGATAAGTCAACAAAAGAACGCGATCAGGCACGTTGTGATTGAAATTGAAAAAACTACTATCACTGCCAAAATTACTTGGAACATCCAAAACTTTGCGCTGTGCCTTTCTATTTTTCATTTGTTTTCCCGAATACTACTACTTCCAGCTGCCTTTCCTCCCAAAACAATGTTGATAGTTTAGAAAAATATCATACAAGGCACAAGAAAAAGCGTACTTCATAACCCCTTTCCGTTTTCTTTAGTAAATCAACATGGTTCCTAGGTGAAGAGGGGAATGGCTGAATTTGCCTTTGAAAACTGACGTTGGTGTTCCAAGGCAGTGATTGCTGAATGAACATGAAAGGATAGAAGATTATCAAAGCCACATTGTTGGGAAGGATCAATCTCATCGAAGAATGATATTGTCCAGCAAGAGAGAAAAATAATAAGAACATCATAAGTAGAGTAAATATACGAAAGGACTAAATCCTCAAAATTAACGTAATAGAAGAACTGCGGCTGTAATAAAAACGAAAGCTGTAATACTGATCTGGCTTCCTTTTTTCGGGGAGTGAAGTCAACCAACATTATCAATATAAGCATTGTGTAGAACACAAATTGTTTATATGTGAGTTGTTTAAAATGTTTATAATAACATGTTTGCTTATATCATACAATTTTGGACCTAAGGCCCGCACAAGGTAGTGGTATTGTTCCGAGCATGTCCTCGGGACCTTGTGGGATTAAGCGAAGATTCGTGTTCACACTACTTTAAAAGGGTTAGTCGTATTTTAACTACAGAAGTTATGTTCATATCAGTTTTAAAAAAATTCATCAAGGCCACGAAGAACAAATTACGGTCTAGTGTAGGGCATAATTGCGAAAAGTTGTTGACCTTTCTTCAAACCTGCAGTATATGGCCTCAAACTTCCTCACTTAAACACTATGTAAAATTACTGAAGAAACAGCTGAGTGATATTTTGTACCAGACAAAATGATGTAATCAGGGATCTTTCTGTGTAATTTTTCTGTTTCACCGCAGCATCAAGGCTCTTACCGAGATTTAAATGATAAATTGTCCTGACACATCAATATTTACTCATAGATTTTCTTTTCATTATTATTTGACTTTTCTAGCCTGAATTTTTAACTTTGACTAATTTTGTAGTCTAACCTCATCACTATCATTCAGCAGACATGATTTGTAATAGTGAAAAAACAAGAGCAATAATGTGAAATTTTATTTTTGTCAACAAAATCTTCCTCCAAACCAGGTTTGTAGAGATTTGGCATCACCGGGTCACCGGGTCAATTCTTCAGAAAATGTAAGGCTGGATTGTTTTTAATTTAATCGTAAATTATTAAGGTGTAAACAGTGTAATTGCTAGCTATTGCGCTCTAAGAAGTTGTTCAGGCCTCGTTTGCCAACAAAGTGAGCGAGGAATCCTTTATTTGGCGACAAATTTGACAATTCATGGTAAAAACTTTCCAAGATTGCAAAAATCCCCTCGTTTTTTAGATGAAACATTGTCAAAAATCACATTTAACAGTAGCTCAGTCCAGCTTTTTTGATTTATTCTTAACCAATTTGAGGCTCGTGTTCCTATAAATTGTTCTTAAAAAAAGAGTGTAGTCCTGTTAGCTAATGTGTTAGATGATGCTACGAGGTTTGACAAGGGAACGTCAGCGTTAAATTCGATTCGCGTTTTCTCTGTAGCAGATGTGCAGCGATTCTGCACCATGTGTAGAAACTTCAAGATAATTGAAGACAGCAACAAACAGCAATCTAATAAAAGCCAATAAACCCATTTCGTGCTACTACTCTTCTCAAAGCAAGGTGAACTCTTTGCATACTTTAAGTGTGGCTCTGTTAAAAGTTGTCGTTGCATTCATATCACGTTTGGTTGATTGGTAGAACAGATGTCGGATTGCTTATTAAAAGGCCGGTCAATTACTGCAACAGTGCAACAGCATGTTTGCAGGCATGCAAGCTCATATTATATTCTAAAGAAATAAACCTACAACTCTTCCTTATTGCGCATGCGAAATGTTTTTGACAGTTTTTGATTGCGTTTTATTGGACAGCCTTCGTGATAAAGATCACCGAGTAATTAAAAAGCACCCCGGCTTAGTAATCAAGAAAAAGTAGAAGACATAAGCACCATCGAAGATGCAGTGTCACCGCATCGGACATTTACTTTGATATTACAATTTAAACTTTTGGCGTACATCAGCCGAGGGGTCTTGCAAAACAAGAGAACTTGCAATTGTCTATACCTCCCCAAAGAAACTACTGGGCAAACAAAGACCCCTTTAGTTTGTGAAAAATTTAATATAAAGAAGGAAAATTCGTTTAGACAGAAAAACTTTCGTTTTCTCACTCCGGTGTGTGAAGTTTTTGTCAATTTTTGGAGGGTATGGTTCGCAATGATAAGTCTAAGCACGGAGCCAATACCACACAAATTATTCACCACAAAACCCATTCACCTCAAAACAATTGATCTCCTAAAAACGTAGCCTCATTTTCTACAACTTAACGACCAACTGCCTAGTCAAACAAAATACTATCGAAATATATTACAACTTTTGCTACTAAAGTTGGGAAATATGTAGCCAACAAGATCACAGAAGCAGTCAGGCACCTTCACGTCACCTTTACCTTAAGGACGCTGAAACTTGCCATTACTGTTCAATTTCTAATTGCTTCTCAGCTCTTTCCATACGCTGCATAAAGAATAAAATGTCGCCTTACCTGTGATGGTTAATTTTGCGTTCTTCTCTTGTAATCGACGCTTTTCCTTGTCTGTTCTTTCTAGCAGTTCAGAAACGTTTTTGATGTCCTCTTTGGATGCCGTAAGTAATGAAGTCAACTTTTCGCTTTCATCAATAATAGATTCACGCTCCTGATACGACAAAACACTGAATTCAAACACATTGTATAGGAATACTTAAAATCAACAAAAACAGAATGAAGAAACAAAACTTTTCATAATCCTAGCAGACAAAATTCTTTAAATATTTTCAAACTCCATAATAGAGCCACCTGAAACAACACTGTTACTTCATGTAACTAGAGCATGCTGGCTGGTGAGCAATATAATTAAAACACAATCTGTGATTATAGCTTATTAAAGCATCCCCAAAATGCTTAGTGAAATAACCTTGAAAAACAAAAAATAAATGCTAACCAGAAACTGACTATTTCTACATATTTCTAACAAATCTTAAATAAAAAATTATATTGATTGCCTCCATTGTTAACTGTTTTGCTGTCACTTGAAATAAAAAAGATTTACTAACACTGACTGCAAATGGACTACGAGACTGTGCCAAGTAAGCAATTATTTACAGTGGCTAGGTGTGCCATCTGGTGGCTCAACGTTGTTTATAGCAAAACGATGACACGATCAGCAAAAGGATAAAATCACTTTTCGAGAATCCATGAAACCTAGTTATTCAAAATTAGTGAGAAATAGCAAAAGGATGAAGGGCAAATGTCTCTTGATTTGATTTAAGTTGCTGAATGAAATTTTAAACTTCATTCGTGGTCATTTGTTTAACAATAGTTACGGCTTTTACAATAATTTTACAAGTGAGAATTGGCTAGACTGGCATAGAAAAAGTAAACAAAAACGACATTGATTTTCTGTGGTAAGGTAAAAAAATTCAAAAGGAAAGTTCAGAAGAATCACACAATTTATTTATACGACAGAAAATAAAATAAAATGATCAAAACAATAATAGGGCATCCTAGATATGGAATAGCCTTAAGACGGAATCTAAGATGACACCCACCCAAAAGAGTCCAAAAAATATATTTAATGTTAACACTTTTATTGAATGTTTTATTGTAAATACTGCAAAGTTGTAAATAGGTTTTGTATTATGATTACTTATATTACATTAGCGCTTTAATTTTACATCGTTATTAGGTTTTGTAAGATGGCCCTTTGAAATACAGCTTCTTGTGAACGGAGTTTCCCCTGCAAAAACATTATTGGATAACCAGCAAATCCACAGAGTTGAGCTTCAGCTCATTCTAGCATCAAATTAAAATTTACATTAAGTGATGCTTATACTATTTATGTTAGATATTTTTGCTAAAAGAAATAAAAACTACAAACAAAACTAAGAGTTATTCTTTCGAATCGATATGAAAATAAGCCATCCGAATGTGTTTAAAATCTCAACTGCAGCCTTATCTAGGACGAAAGTTTGCTAAACAAAGCTGTCACAATGGTTCAAAATGCACTCGAATCGTGATAGATTACATCACTCGGGTCTTCGTTATCGATGCGTTTAGAAGTTTTTACTTACTTGTAAGTTGTATTTAGTAGCTAGCAGTTTCAATAAAACAAAAGGAGCCTCTCTTGTAAAAAGGCTTCATAACTAAGTTTCATTCGTTTTAGTTATCGCGCAACAAGCGGTCATCCCACCTTTCTAACGCGATGCAACTCTGCTTGGATATCGAGGTTACTCTGATGCTTCTCTTCAAGGTCTTCCTGAAAAACATTATGAATGAGAAAAACATTGAATTCGGATTACTATCAATGGCATTAAACTAGATTGTATGAACAGCGAGGTAAGAGCATACTTGCAGAGAAAAGGGTTTATTGATGAAATTGTCCATTTGAAGAGAATTTAAAACAATAGCCTGTTGTAAACAAGGAGTTGACAAACAAAACGAATTTCGTGCATATGGGTTCTTGTCCCTAGAAAAATTTTGGGAATGAGTTACACATTTCATTCAATGGAAAAATGTTTTGAAACGGTAGCCTTCTCCAGGAGTGTCTGTCTGTTACAAATAGGATTTTCAAAGGCAAGGCTCTGATAAAAAAATATAAGCAGCATGACAAGGTAAGTAAAAAATGAAGCTTTCGAGCCCAGTAAAATCCTCGTGAAGATCAGCAGCATTACAAAATCTATCATAACCGGAAAACACAACTCGAACAACTATCGAACAAAATCTATCATAAACCGAACATTTTCAGAACTCTTTCTTGACATTTATATAAGCAAGCGACGTTTTTAAAAATTGAGTTTCTTTTCATTTAAAAAAATTCTAACCTAAAGATGAAATGAATTGACACGAGAAAGATCTGTTTGACAACTAGAATGTTCTTTGAGATGTAGAGAGATGACCACACATAATTTAAAACCTTGCCCAAAATTGTTGGAATACCGCAATATTTACGTACACAGTTGACAATCTCAGAATTACCCTCCAAGAAATCAACGTTGTCAAAAATCATCCCCCAATACAATGGTGGTTCCCTTTATAAGAAATTTTAATCCCCCTAATCTTAGTCAGATTATAATTGGACGACCATGAAATAGCGATGTCAAGGGGGGGGGGGGTGACAACATTAAATTACCATTAAATTACAAAATTTTTAAGATCTTGTGTAGGTGTCCATTAATTTTTGCAAGGATTCACCTAACAAAGGTATAACATCAAGACTTTTTTCATTGTCACCAACTATAAAAAGCATAATTTATATATAGGATACAGATGTTTTATTGACGTTTGTCGAAGCAGCACGGTTGCAATATAATGTCATCGCACATGTGTATCGATCGAATGCTTGTTTACAGAAAATCATAATGAATAAAACTAAATGATGATTTTACTGAAGACACATAAGATGATTTTACAACAAAAATCGTAAATGAGCCACAGAGAAAGGTGGAACATTACCTGAAGCTCTCTGAATTGTCTTCGTAAAACTGCTTGTTCCGTTTCGCTCTTTTCCTCAATCGTTTTAACAGCTTTATCGAGCCTTCTCAGCTCGGCACATAACTCGTCGTTCTTTTCGCGAAGTTCTTTAGACTTAGTTGTGGCTTCATGCTCAGCATCCAATGTGCTTTTGATTTGTTGTTCCAAATCACGATTGGCTTGTTGCAAATAATCGACCTGAGAATTGAAATAATATGTAAAAAATTATCTTTGTTCTGGAAAGATTCAGCCTATAGATCCTCAAACCAGCTAGGTACCACATATAACAAACTTTTCACTTGACAGCCAAGAGTGAATGAGTAATCGTTGGTTGAATGCTTAAAACATAGACACAAGAAAACAAGATCAATAACTCCATTGCCTAGTTAATGAATCAGTGATCCTCAAATCTTAAACATGAAAATTGATTTGGTATGTGACAACCTGAAATGCAATTCCCTTTTTGACCACCAGAGATACATTATAAAATTTTGTTAGACTAAAATGACAAAATAATGATTGCAGTCATTAACAGCCCAAGATCAGCTGCAAGTTTGTGAGACATTAACATCTATACATGAACACGCCAATTGTACCCAGTGGCCTTAAAGTTGTTAAAGTTAGAACAGTTGCCCATTCACAGTCATAATTTTAAAACAATTTCTTGAAAATGTAATTGAAATATGTATTTGAAACAGCTATTGTAACATGAAGATTATTTCTTAGTAGTCATGCTGCAATGATAGACTCAAAAGCAGTGCTAAATAGCCTAGCTTATGAATAAATGAGAGGAGTAACTATTTTACTTTACCTGAACATTTAAATGAGCAATAACTCTGTCACTACTTTCTTGTTTACTGTCTTTCAAAATGGCACCAACAGGCCTACCACCTTCAAGTTGACTATGAAGCCTTTTAATCTCTCTGTCTCTGGCTTCCAACTACGAAAAGACCACTTGTCACATACTTTTGGAACATAAATATTACTTCTATCAAAGAATGTTCAAATTAAGTGACTTTTGACCAAAGTGGTAAATGCAAAAATGGATAGCAATCTCCAAATTCATGGAAAGCTCACATAAAGGAGAACTTTCCCTGGTAGGTTTCCCATATATCTAAAGATGCCAGAAGAACTGCAGGGCAGGGGCAGGCCTTCTGAAGAGCAAAAAGTAGGTGCCTAACAAACTGAGCACCTTTAACTTTCTTGGCACTAGATTGAGCATCATCAAATACCATCAATAACAAAATTTGGTTTTTCACATTTAGTTTTTAAACAACATAAAAACCCTAGGTACTTGATCAATCAAGCTTCTAGAACTTTCTAGGCATGTAAGGGGGTGCTTGTCAAGCTTGAGTGCCTCTCCTTGCAAGGCCTGAGCAGGGGGGTAATCCACCAAGGAGAGGGTAAAACACTAGGAAAATAAAAAAATTACTTAAGTTTGCAAGGGTAAGGGGACAGCCATCCCCACCCTTGTGCCTAGGCATCACTGGCCAAGTCACATTAGACATCAAATACAAATAGTTCTTGATTTCTAAGTCAATTTGTACATAACATTGTCAAGCTAAAACACAATAAAACTATGTGGCCAGTAAAATCTGTGTCAATCCACTTTTGTATACATCAACTTTGTGTTGTTTCATCATAATACATCATGATTCAAGATTCTCCACATGTATACAGACATTTTACAAGAGGCAGTAAAACAAAAAACCTACTAAAGTTTAGAAGAGTGCAAACATATCAACTTTTGATCAGATAAAAAACTGTTGTCAAGTTTATTCAAATTATGTTGGTCACAAATTATTGTTGGTCACAATACTTTTCACATATACCTGTTTGTGAAGACTTTTGTTCCTACGCTCAGTTGCCTCTTTTTCTTCTTGGGCCTTACTGACGTTTATCTGTAACCTATGGATTTTTTCATCAGCAACACCAAGAAGGTCTGCAATGTATGGGTCATCTGCAGTGTCCTCTGATGTAGTTGTGGTCTAGTCAATAATTTTTTCGTCAACTCATAAATTCATTATTCATTTCAAATTGTTTATAATTAACAACTTGCATCCAAATTGTGCAATGTACCATTCAAAGCAATTAGAGGAATTCTTGTTTATCATGTTGAGAGCTGCATGGTTGTTTCAGTTAACCTCATTAAATTGTTTGTTGACAAGGATTCCATTTGGTATATATCCTCAACATGGCATATTATACCCAGTCAAGAAAATCAAGTTTGCTGCCACTGGGTGAAATAATTGAAGATTTTAGTAAAATTCTGAAATAGCCATTATTTTGAAACAGTAAGATAAAAAACAATCATAGAAGTTGTGACATGCACTTTTTATAATTAAAATGATTAAACCATTGTCTGACATTTTCGCCAAGACAGCAGTGTTGCTTTTCCAGTTAACTGGACTCCAAAATATGCTCAAGAATTATTTAAAACTTTAGTTTCAACCTTTTCACAAACATATATTGTAAGCTGGGGACATATAGGCCTATAGAATGGTTTTTTCTTTGGGGAAAACTTTTGACATTCGAAATGATTTAAAAAGTGTATTTGAAAATATTTATAATTATATTTTGAATGATTTTATATATATATCTATATATCTATTTGACAGCTTAGCTTATGTAAAAGTCAGCAATGTTGTACTTCATTTGTCTCAAAAATCAAAAGTTTTTTACTTCAATGTCTGCTTTTGAAAAAGTTGAAAATTGTAAACACCCATGACTTACCCTTACAGTAGACAAACTTATATTGCAACAGCAAATTAAAACAATTCTAAAGCAATGCATATTAAGCAAGCACAGACCTGTCAACTCTCCCAGTTTTGCTGGGAGACCCTAGATTTTGCTTGCTTTCTCCCAGTCTACAAGTTTTATATAATTTTCTCCCTGTTCTTCCTTGTCTTTTAGCAGAGGTTTTATTATAAAAAATCGATTGAAATGATTTTCTTCCTGACAAAGCTTTTTGTTATTGTTTACAAATTAAGGAAAACGTTAAAATACATTTGGAAGACACTACCCATGAAAATGTTGTTGTCATTAACTGTTTCTTCAACATGTCTTTTTTGACAGGTATGTTGTTTTTAAATTCAACAAATTCCAGGAAGCTCCTTGTTTTTGGCCAAATCTCCCTGTTCTTCTCAACAAAAAATCTGAAATCTCCAGGTTTTGAAAATTTTAGGTTGACAGGTCTGCAAGCATAGAAGCAGAATAGTAACCAACTCACTTCACTTTTAGTCACCAAAGAGTCAATGTCCATACGTTGTCTCCTGTATGGTATTTGCTTTTTCCTTCCACCTGGAGTCTCGACAACAGCATGCAAATTTTTTTCATGGAGTTCTTGGATTTTTTCTGTCCTACTTCGAAGGTCTTTTTCCAGTGCCCTAACTTTATGGACATATTGTGAATTAAGAAATTTCAGATCTGAGTTCTCGTGCTCAAGTTTTCGAAGCTTTTCTTTCAAGTCTTTAAATTTGTGTTCTGCATCCTCTTTTTGTCTGATAAGTTCAAGATGAAGATCATTATTTTCCCTAACTAGTTTTGCGTTATCACTTCGGTATGGTTCACTAGAATCGTGTTCGGAAAGGCTGGTGCCATTTCTGCTCTGACGACCGAGTTGAACTTTAGCATTCTTCAAGCTCTCTGTTGTGTGGATAAGATCACTAAATATTTTCTCCACTAATGGAACTGAATCCATTCCAAGAGGCTGTCTGTATCCAAGCTGGTCAAGCCTTTTACGCAGGCTTGTGAACTTACGCTCGGCCATATTGGGAATGTTTTATTTTGTAAATGTGTAAGTTGTAAATGAGACTTGAATAAATGGGTAGGCTATCTCTTAATCCATGACACTTGGCCCAAAGATTTGCTCTTAAATAAAATAGATAACAAATTACTGTTTATCACATGTATTCAAAAAACTCATTGACAAGCAGGTCTTATATACCAGTGCATTTCCAGCCGGAAAGCTCTTTATTTATGTTCAGTCACTTCATTTCACCTGCAACTGTTTGATAGACATGTTGAAAGTGGCGCGCTTTTGAAAAACAACCGTCCGAAGGCGCTCCTCCGCATTGGCTGCATTGGTAGCCTCCTGCCACAGAATAGAAAATTTCTATTCTGGGGCAAAGGGTAACATCTCTCGGAGAGGCGCCGGTCAGCATGCAATTCTCAGATCACCATAAATTTCTAAAGTTAGCTTGTCTGGGACGAATGATATATCGTTATTTCAAAAATAATCTAAATATGACTGATTAACTAAAACCCATCACAAATATTCATAATATTCAGTTCATTTTTTTATTTAACTGAGAGACATTGATGATTTTGAGGTGCAGTGTTCTAAAAGTGGCCAAAGTGGAAAATGTTACCATTTACATATAAACAGTATCGGTATATAGGTCAATCCTGTGTATAGGTCGACCATCCCAATCTCTGAGTCGGACCCAATAATATACATTAGTATCGCTATAGGTAAAGCATCTCTTACATTTGTCGAGCGCTGTTTTTGAGTCATTTTGTAACTCGAAACCTCGAACTGTACACTGGTATTTACTGGACGATAACTAGGGCGCCCTCCTCCCGCTCTCAGACGTTGGTTGGGGACATCTATTTCCTGACGATGTAGCAGAAGTTTTAGAGAAATATGTTAATGGTGCTGTTTCTGAAAAATAGCAAGGACTTGATAGAGAATATAGTAGTGACGCACAGGACAGAGATATGATATGAGATAAAACTAGCTATAATGTCTGATGATTGCACTAAGCGTGAAACTTTGAGTAGCAACATAAGACCGTCATGTTTTATGTCCACATAGCTTAAATCTAGATACATAATAGCTATAAAAGATTATAAAATTTTGGAAAAATTCAAACCAAGAAGACCCCTGTTTCAGTAAACTCTTTGGCCAGCATGTCATGTGCTTTGACGTAGGTAAAATTTCGCTGAAGGGATGCAAATTCAGGCCACTATTCCAGCAGCTTCATGCAAGGCCTCGGACTTTTCCCTCCACTTTCAAACCTGTGTCGGAGCCAACGTCATGTTCAGAGAAATGGGCATTCAGCTCACTGAAAACATATTCCTCTTAACACCGTGGATAGCAAACACTCGTTAATATCGGACACCGTTATTCAAATCTTGTTAACAAGAAAGATATCGATAAAATAATTAATGTATTTGGACGCCGTCGTAGAAGAGATTTGCTTTACTTGTAATGAAAACTCGAAAGTTATTTAGTAATGTGTGATATTTTTAAAAATGCTAACTAGTTAGCCTAATTTTAATGATGTTGCCAATCATTTCTTGCTAATATTAGAAGCTTTCGTTTGTTAGAGTATACTCCGTAAAAATTTTGACATGTAATTTCCGGGCATTCGTCATAAATCCCTTCCAAAAAATCTAAACATGCAAGAAAGTTCATTGAGACAGACAAACTCACTACCAGGGGGGGGGGGCCTCTTCATACTGCTTGTTGGGGGAGAGGGTGGCTGCATATTTGCCCTGCAGAAAAATTTTACCCTGGCAAAGTTGAAAATGTGGGGAGCTGGCCCTCGGTTCCCATAACACTAAAATAATCCTCAAGGTAAATCCTGCCCACTTAGATCCTTGCTTATTGTGTCTACAAGTTTACCGATGTTTATGCCTAGCCCGGTTAAGCAAAAGTAGGGGGAAAAGCAAGAGAAAGTTTATTAATGAGTGAGGCAACCCTCCATCCTGGAGTCAAAGAGCATGCACTCATTTTTTACAACACTCTTTCGATGCGCACACCAGCACCTCACTGATTTCGTTACACTAGATGTAAAATCACTATACACAAACATTTCTCAAGATGAGGGTATCAACGGTATCAAAGCTTCCGTCGATGCCATCAAAAATCATCATGAAGAAACTGCCCCGCTGCATGTAAAATATAACAAATGGTGATATTAATTACATTGCCGTTACATTCTCCTTTTTATAAGAACAATTTTTTAAGAACACGAGCCTCAAAGTTGGTCAAAAGTTAAGAACAAGCTGAGGCTGAGCTACTGAGTCCGTATTCGGTTACCCTTCAAACTTGTCGGCAAAAAAGGATGTCTTACTCACTTTGTTGGCAAATTGGGTCTGAGCGTTCCGCTTGAGCACAGTAGCCAGCAACTGCACTGCTTACACCCTAATAATCTATCCAATTAACAGCAATCCAGCCTCGAAGTTTTTGAAAAATTAAGAACAGCCAGCCTGAAATTCAATTTACTGGTTCTTATAAAAAAGAGTGTAAAGGTAAATTTTATTAACTTCCCTTAAGGCATCGCAATGGGGAGAACCTTTGCCCCCAATCATGCCAACATATTCATGACAACAATAGAACAACATATCTGGAGCAATGCCCCGATGGGCCGTAGTCCAATATTCTGGAAAAGATTTATCGATGACATAATTTTCGTCTGGCAACGCAAGCTTGAAAACCTACAGGAATTTATACAATACAGATAACTCCAGATAAAAAATAAAACAGATATTAAAAACAATATATAGTCAACTCCGCTTATAGTCATTCCTCTTAAAGTCACACCAAAGTCTTTCTCTACTGATTACAGTCAGATCAAAGTTAGACCCAAATAGGCCCGTTTACAATGTCACACTTGGTTTAAAGCCACAAGTTTTCAAGCAGTATTTGGTATGACGGTAACCAGGGGCGGATCCAGTGGGGTGCGAAGGGGGCTCGAGCACCCCTCAGATTTGAGAAAAAACTTTTTGGGGATTAAAGCTTATTCTACTGCAATTTTGTTTATTATTATTTAAACCATTTAAATAATACCGGGAAGTATGCACATCTCCTGAAATTGTTATTTCCGCTTCAATGCCCCGTCTCACAACTGTTCAACATTGTTATTTCAGTCCATGCATTGAAGTGTTATGAAACTCCCCCTGGTTGTCCTGTATAGCATTCTACAGACTCGGAAAGCATTGTCTCCTCTTATATCCAGCCACTTAAGGAACCCGTGGCCTGTAAATTATACGAGTTTCTGCACCCGTGGAAGTTAATCTAGCCAATCACGGTGCCAGGTCGAGGGGTTCTAAACTTTGGCGCGAGAACCCATGGATTTCAAAAATCCAAAACATCAAAGAATACCGACAAACCAGGGGGAGTTTCTTCGCTTCAATCTACAGTCAAATGTATAGTGGTTTTATGACCAGGGGGAGTTGAGCTTGAACAGGGGGAGTTGAGGTTGACCAGGGGGAGTTGAATTATGATACAGCACGCGACGAATGCTTAGGCGCAAATTTGCAATATGTTTTCGTGGATCTTTTCACGATCTTTACCTGATGCTCGATGCTGTAACGGCAGAACTTGTAAACGCTGTGGTTTATATAACAGAACGGTTTCAAGTTTCAACTCCGTGTTTCATGTCTTATTCATAGACCATGAGGTATGATTTATATTCAGAGGATAAAGCTTGCCCGAGCCCTTGTTATTCTTTTTTTAATCATTCAAGAACTACATAAAAAACATCTCAAAAACTTGCCCTTACTATTATTGACCAAAAGGGGTTTCCTTTTTATACCTACTTATATTCCTGCGAATCCTTTTTTCTCTAAGAATTTCAAATACATAAAAATACTCAAAACGCCAGGCCCATAGCGAAACGTTCAGGGCCTTCTTTGTTTGGTTTGGCGATGCATGCTGTGTTTGAATCCCTGTGTTCAACTTTTGCACTGCACTTCAAGGGCTTCATTCCACCAGCCACGTTATTATTTTGGTCAAGCTGATCAAGTTCTAATAAATGGCTGCAAAGAGTCAAAAATTAAATTTTGCTTTGAAAATCTGTGGGCTCGGGCCTTTTGCCACTGCGGGCCATCATATCATATTTGACTACAGTTTCTATACTTTTGTACCCTAAAGTGAATATAAAAGGGGCGAGCTGCAAATTGCGTTCAATTGGCATAAAAGCTGAAACCAAAAATTACTATATAAATCAAGGCATCCAGGCTTTTTAGTTTATGGAAGGCTTTCATTTCATTATGGCTTATTAGCAGGGGTACGGAGTTTGTGCATAGCAACACCCTGGGTTACCAAGCCTTACGTTTTAGAACCCCTCAGAATAATTTCTAGATCCGCCCCTGGTAACAGTAGTATACTGTAGTATATTTGTTTTGACACACGCCACTTTTATTTGGGCACACTTTTTTAGCAACAAACTGGATTCCAGCTCTCCCGGGAAAAAGCTGTGTGGAACGCCCGGTTGGGATTAAACCATTTCTTCTTAGTTTTCTGGCAAGTGGTGCTTGTCTTTTTGCATGGTTTTTAAATTTCCTATTTTGTGTCACTGGTAGTCTGTATCATTCTATTTTTGAAACAGACAAATTCCAAGCAAAACCTTCTTTCTTGTTACAGTTATATATGAAAAACAACAAAGCAGATCCACTGGTAGAAAACATTTGCCATGCCAAAATCAGTTATGCCCTGCGAAAAGTTCCTATTTTCATGGTTGGGGGTGAACCACCCCATACCCCCCCCCCCCAAAGTGACGCCCTTGCTCACAGCGATTGCCATAGAAAGGATACGAAAAGATCTATGTTCTTTTCGTGTGCATTCAGGATCAAAGCTTCATTTACCGTCTACATACCCATCACTACTTGCTAAATTCTTATTATTTCAAAGCGTCTTAAGTCCCTCTGAAAGTAGCAGTCTATCATCTGCTAGCTATTCATGAAAACTGATGCCATATGAACTTGATTCATTACCTTTTGAAAATATTCTGAGATTCTGGGTAAAATTTCAGGTCGTAATAAAAACGTGAAATTGTTCCTGATTGATGGGGCATACAGACAACATCAAATGAATAGTTCTCTGTTTTTACATTAACTTCATTCTTCAAACCTGCATCATCTAAATCTACCATTTTGTATTTTTCTACATAAATCGTGAGAATTTAGCTTTACTTTTGCTTTTATGAAATAAATCATTTTATGATGACGTCACAGAAAAATGATTCCAGTATTTTTGAATTTGGAATCTTTGCCAAATATTGCATTGTAATTGTATCATGGTTCAAAAGTTGTCATTTCATCCTGGACATACTTCAGCGAATTTTCAACAGAATTACATATATGTATACGTGGTGCTTCTATGGATTATGCTGTAAAATTGAAAAATTCTAGAAGTATGTACTTTGTCCCGCCGATACAAACAATTTATGAACTTGCGCAAGCATGTTTGAAAGACTTCCTTATTTCCAGGAACCAACTTTTCAGTTTCATTTGATTGAAAAATGGCCGTCATGAAAGGAGGATTCGTAACAATCCTGCTTGTGTTATCTTTCAGGATTGTTTTATCAGATGAAAAGGTGCGTAATGGTCATATCATAACAGTTTCTACGAATGGTAAGGATTCCCGCTCGTGTCTTTTACACAGATTGACGCCTTGCCGAACGGTGGCGTACGTCCTGCAATCCGACCACCTCAATTATACGTCCGTACAAGTTAAGGAAGGAACATATAACATCAATAACACTATCATCGTTGCTAACGTGAAAAATCTAACTATTTCTGGAGAGAACATGAGTGTCGAGAAAACAAAATTCAGTTGCAGAAGATTAAACGGTACTGGTCTTGTCTTTCACAACTGCCAAGCGATCAATTTGCTGAACTTTTCTCTTGATAACTGTGGTTTTGAATTTAATTCCTCAAGTTTTGTGAAAGGAGAAACAGCTTTTGCGTACACGTCGTTGCTGGTGAAAAACAGTGCGAATTTCTCTCTTGAAAGCGTTAACATAACAAATTCTTCTGGTATAGGTGCCGTGTTTTACGATGTGGTTGGTAATGTCACATTTAATTTCCTTAATGTTGAAAACTGTATAGGAAGAGAAGAAACAGTCGATCCGGGATGGAAGAGAAGAACGACATTTTATACAGGTGGTGGAATTTACATTGAGTTTCGACCAAAAAGTGTTAAGCAGCCCAGCAAATACATATTTAAGCATTGCAATTTCACTGGAAATTTGGCTGCTGATTTTAAAAATGATGTTATATCCCAGTCAACAAAGAACGATTATTTTTCGCTAGGAAGAGGAGGAGGAATTTCCTTTATATCTAGGGGCTACGCGCAATTAAATAAAATCCTTATTGACTCATGCTTGTTTTCCAGAAATCGTGCTTTGTGGGGAGCAGGGATGTTTATAGAAATGAATGATGAAAGCAAAAATAACAGTGTTAAAATTAACAATTCTATTTTCAATGAAAACCATGCTTCTTTTAGTGGAGGTGGTATACGAATAGGAATAAACTCTATATCTGGCTACAATAAAATAGAGATGGAAGTTGTCAAGTTTTATAATAATACTGCCAAGTTTGGAGGAGGGTTCAGCCAATACAGAGTGAGCAGCAAAGGAAGAGATGAGGATAATGTGTTTTTGAAGAACTGCGCCTTCGAAAATAATTCAGCTCTTGCTGCATCTGACATCTACTTCCAACACTTAAATATTACCTTGAACAATGTAAATGTCAGTGGAAATTCAAAGAGCAAGCATGAGCATCATAAACCACAAGGGTCCCTGTATTGTTATTCAAGCCACATTTTACTGAAAGGGACCTGTCATGTCAGCAGTGCTGTTAATACTGGCTACCTTCTAGACTATTGTCTGCTGACTATACGTGGTACTGCTATTTTCACCAGAAACATGGGGGAAAATGGTGGGGCCTTGGCTTTATATGGACATTCTAAAATAAGGTTAACAAGTGGTTCAAGCCTTCTTCTTCACCACAACAAGGCTTCAAGTAAAGGTGGAGCAATGTATGTTGAGGCACCTGTCCCATTGACAGAGAGTTTCAATTCAACACAGCTTAACATTTACAAATGTTTTTTCCTGTTTGGTGATGAAGATGATGATTTTAAACATGCTGACCAGATCAACACAACAATTGATTTTTTAGGAAACAAAGCACCACCAAGAGGTGGTGATAACATTTGGGCTACCACTATCAAATGGTGCCGTGGTGATGATGAACCAGGATACAATAACACAGCACTTAAGTGGAAGATAATAAAATCAAATGGAACATCAATTTCAACAAACCATACAGTTGTTACAAGCCCACAGTTTATTATGGTAAAGCCAGAAGAGTGGAATGCATACCCAGGCCTGCCATTGAATGCAACTGTGTTATTTCGTGATGAAAATTGGAATCAAGTTAATGGAACAGTGCGTGTAATATTGGCTGATAATTCAGTCGCAAAGTTGAAGATTTCTGATTATTTCTCTGAGAATGGTTTTGTAAAAATGATCATCCATGGTATGCCAAAATCAAGTTATAGCATAGAGATTAAAACTATAGACAGGTACTCAGTGTCAAAAAAGATTTCTCAAAGACAATTACTTGATTGCCCTCCTGGATACAGCCATAACAAGAAATTTAGAATCTGTGATTGCCAAACAATCAACAAAGGTGTTACCAATTGTGATTATCAAAATAATAAGGTATACATTATTCCCTCAAGGTGGGGAAATGTTAACAGTAGAAAAGAATTTGCAGAACTGGTCTGTCCGAAACATTATTGCAGCCAATGTAATCCTACTGGCATTGGATGCCCATTCAACGAGAAGTCACAATGTGACACTTCTCGTGATCCAACATCTATTCTTTGTAGCAAATGCAAAGAGGGTTACAGTGTACTTTTGGGATCTGAAAAGTGTGAAAAATTTACTTCAAATAAAGGCATCTGGTTTCTTTTGCTGTTTGCAATAATTCTAGTCTTTATCGTTCTCATCTTTATGATTGCCAATGTGAACACATACATGACATCATTGAATGCACTTTTATACTCTTACCAGGTTATTCCAATGTTAGTGGCAGGGGATGAAGATATTGATCATTTTATAAGTTTTGTGATGGCCATTATAAATGTCTCTGGGCCAGGCAGAATTCAAAAAGGTTTTCGTATCTGGGCTGGTATGACAAACATGCACAAACTGGCCTTGAATTATTTATGCCCATTATGTCTTATTGCCTTCTCTGCTGGGGTAGCGAAAGTGCTGTCAAACATGAAAAGATTTAATGGCAACAGAAAGTTTGCCTCCAGAGCATTTGTGTTCATCAGTGTGATTGCATATTCTGACTTTACAAAGTTAACTTTTAAGATATTACACTGGGTGAAGATAGGGGATCATTATGTTGCTTATTATGCAGGCAATATGCCATACTTCGGGCGGCATCATGCCCCGTATGCATGCTTAGCTCTTTTCTTTTTGGTTGTGGCTGTGATTGGGTTTCCTTTGTTAGTTTTGTTCCCAAGCCTTATTACAAGCCATGGAAGATTTGTCAAGCTCAAAGGGATTTTTGATGCTTTTAGTGATCCGTTTAAAACAGAGCCTCATTCCTGCCACCGCTTTGCTGCTTTCTACTTCATAAATCGCCTGGTTTTGTTGATAATCTTCATAGCTATTAAAAATGGCCCTATCAAGGATGTATTCTTCAGCATCACTTGTGTTTCGATACTTATTGTGTTCATCATATACCAGCCATACAAAGATGCAGAACGCAACTTCTTTGATGCACTACAGCTAACAAACATTGTTTTCATGTCAATTATATTTACTGCTGTTAGTGTTGCTTATGAGGATTATGTCAGAAAAGAATTGGTGACAACAATACATGCATTCTGCTATGTCCCATTGATCTGCTTCATGTACAACCCAATTTGCTGGGTTTGGAGGAAAACCTGGCATTACAAGAATAGCAGAGCACGAGGTAAACTGTTCTTGTGAGTTTGACTTTATATTATTTAGAGAAACCTCCTCAGTCATAATGGTTTAAGAGAACAGCTAGGGAAGCCTAGACGCATCTCATTCATTTGAAACGAATATAATGAAAAGAAGAAATCCTGAAAATAAATTTTTATGATTTCATAACTGTTTAATTTTATCGTAATTGATTTATTATATTTATATTATATTTTCGGTATATTTCAACTTAATCGATGTTAAAGTTTTCTTTGATGATATATCTTTAAGTACCAACAGAATTTAATCTTTTTGTCTTCATTTCAGGAGAAAATGAACCGATCGATAGATTCATAGTACCTGAGAGAGTGAATGAACAAGATTTCAGCGACTACCCATACAAAGAATTTGATAAATAAGCAAGGCTAACATCTATTCTTTGATTTTGGTAGGTAAATTGCAATACTGTTGCAAAATGGTCCTAGTTATCACATCAACTTATATTGGCCAATCAAAATCCTAACCCTCCTTGACTTTCTGAAATCCAGATCCATGGAAAAGCTTTTAGGTCTTTGGCGCGACGGACTAAAGTTACCTTAGTTCAAAAACTAAGGACCCTAACAAAATTTTTGTTTGTAATTTTAAAAGCCTTCATGATTTCTCAGTCTAAAGAAATGGAAAGAAATATTAAAATGTCAGTTACACGCCTTTTTATAAGAACAACCTTTATAAGAAACATCAGGCTGAGGTTTACCCAAAAATAAGAACAATATAAGAAACAAGGCAGGCTGAAATTCAGAAAACTCAAGAAATAAAATACCAGCAAAAATTGAAAATGAAAGAATAGCAACAGAAAAACAGAAATCGATAAGCAAAATAGCATTAATTACTTTATCAAACACAGGTCATGTCTGGACACTACTATGCACAGGAAATTCCATTATAAAAATAAGAGACCAAATAAGAAACACGCGAGGCTGAAATTTTGCGAAAAAATGAGAAACACCTGGCTAAAACTGGAGTCAAGTGTTCTTATAAAAATGCGTGTACCTCCCCAATGGCTGCAGATATACGTTACAAAGAATAATTTCATACATTTTGGTATCCTTAGAGTAAGAAACTGTCATCCTAAGGGAAGTTACACGTTTCTGTTTATTATAAAGTTTTGTTGCAAGAATGGACGTAGCATTTGATTTCAAATTTATGCAGTTTGTCGTCATTAGATATTTACACTCTTTTTATAAGGACAATTTTATAAGAACACGGGCCTCAAAATTGGCCAAAAGTTAAGCACAAATTAAGAACAAGCTGAGCCTGAGAATCTGCAAAATGCAATTTTGAACACTTTTTCGGCGAATATTCAAACATGTCAGCAAATGAAGGTTGTCTCACTCTTTTTGTTGGCAAATGAGACCTGACTACCTCCCTAGAGCGAAAAAGCTGGCACTCGCACTGCTTACACCCTATTAGATTAAGAACAAGTTAAGAACAAGCCAGCCTCAGATATTCGAAAATATTAAGAACAGTAAGCCTGAACTTAAATTTATTGGTTCTTATAAAAAAGAAGTGTATGCAAAATATGCAAGTGAACTTCTCAAATTCAAATTAGACATGACTTTTTATGTTTTTATCAATATTTTTTAATGCCTGTAACTGAGGGCTCAGCCTCCCTTAACAGGTCAGATTATGTTTGGTTAGGAATTGGTTAGGAATATGTTTGGTAATGGCAATTTCAACTAAACCTTTATTGTGCTATCGATTCTCTATGAAGTTAGCAATTAATATTCTTTTTAAGGTCAGTTATTAGTTTGAATGATTTCATATGCATAACAGAGAATCTTTAACAACAATGCAAGTATATAAGGTGTGACTATAAGTGTGGTATGGCTTCTAGAAGTTACTTACAGCTCCTAACATTATTAGGACGGCACCCCTGGGTATATACTGCTGGCCCAATAATCTGTGAACTTAGTTTGGTCAGTCTCTCAAAGGCAAATATATCTCATGCTATCAGAATTGGTTAATAAAAAATCTACGTCTTTGAATATCGTACGAGAATAAGAACGAAATGCATTTCATCCTCTTACTCATATTTACAGCAGTATTTACGCCTTCTATGCACTATTTACCTGTAGATGAAACCAGGACCTGATTTATCAGGGGCGCGTAGGGGGTGCAACACCCCTCAATGTTTTTGTGGCCTTGGGTAATTTCGCTGCGATTCGGTAAAATGCATTTTTTGGAGGTCACTAGTAACAAAATAATTCAAAAATTTACTTTATTTATCCACTTATCTTCTTTTCGTTGAAGTTAAGAGCTGAATTTTTAAAATGGGCGTTTCCATCCATTTCCTGTCACCAGATGGTGTGGCTCCAAAATCCAATAATTATTTATCACCCCCCAAACATCGCTTCGTTTCGGAATGCCATTGCAAAGTACACTCTAGCAAATTTCTCTCTCTCGTGGCTCTTATAAAATTAATGCAAACCAAACACCCAAACTTAAACATTTTGGCAAAAATACTGCCACTTCTACCGGCTCCAAGTTCTTTGGACTCATCATGCCTTTTTAGTTTTGCCACCATAATTAAACTTTTTTCTATGTCAGTTGTTCAGTTACCTGCAAGGGAGGGGGGGGTGTTCGATTTTATTTTATTAATGAGTTTATAGCTCCATTGATCAGTGATCTTTTAAACATAGTATCTTGAGTGGCTGCCTCCATTCCCCGACGAAGTCATGTTCCTTCGAGAGAAAAACCAAGTAGATTTTCTAAAGAAATCGATGATGTCCTCCCTCTCCTCGACAATTCGCTTCGCCTCAATTCTTTCCAACCTATTTTGTTTCATTTTTTCTACAAATTTATTTTATCTTTTCTTTTAGATCAATTTGGATTTAAACACCAATAAAGAAAATATCCCTATCACCAAACGCTAATGATGTTAGCAGTATCACTGTGAAGATTTAGCAGCGAAATCTATCAAGATTTTGAACTTTTTTATGCTATGCGGTGAGTTTTGTAAGTTTTGCAATTTTAAATGGAATCGACTAATTTTTAATGCGTCTTCTAAACTTATTAAATGATTAGCAGGTTGTAATTACCTTTAAACTAGCTCGTAAGGAATACTGATTTTTCTGATTTCATACTTATGTAATGCATGGTAATTTCCTCATTCAGAGGCAACGCTGTAATTCTTTGTCATGTTTAGAGATATAAACAAGTTCATTTTTTGAAATTAATTATTCAAGCTCATTCAAATACAACCTTCGAAATTAATCATTTACGTAGCTACAATCCCTTCCGGAAGCCAAAGGAATAACGGAAATGGCAATCTCTCACCCCCAAAACTGCTGACAAAATCGTGGTTGATTCAATTGTGGGTCTACAATCCCGGTAGTGCTGAGATTTGTCACCCCCAACCGCCTGTAACAGATTCACTCTCCTATCACATGTCACGCATGCGCCGTTATTAAATAGTCACATGACATTTAGCTATATATATTGACAATAGAGATTTGATCGAGAGTTGATTCATAAAACATGATTACGTAAGAGTGCGTTATTCTTTGCCTCTCCCTCTCGTTCTACCTTTTACTGCAATGAAACCAGTAAAATACCTTATACGCTCAGCCCCTTATGTTAAAATTTAGAGAGATGTTTTGGGGGGCTTGGCTATTTTTTACGGAGTTGGGCAGAGGTTCTTAGATTGAATCAAAGTTTGGCTGCATGTTGTCATGAAGAACGCCATTGCAATCATTTTGTTATAAGAATACCTCTGCCAAAAGATACGGAAGAAACAGTGAGAAAATCTTAAAAGATCGGGAGACCGGGAGCAGTGCTGAGGAGAGGGGGGTCACTTAACCGGAGGCCCTTGGCTATAGGGACCCATAGATAATAACTCATTTAAAAAAATTCTAAGTAATAATCCAGCCTCTATATTAACACAAACTGTCATCAATAGAGACAATAATGACTAAAGTCTATGAATGAAGTAAGGTAGAAGCAATTTGAGTCTTTGACTGCCTGGATGTTAAAGATAATTTTGTTAAGAATTTCTCATCTTTGCGGGCTTGGGCTAAATGAGTTGAAAAGCTTCTGAATGTTACCAAAAATGTGATTGCAACAGGGCAAGATAAAACAATATGAATATCATACAGATTTACACTATGGCATGTGTATTTATTTGCAATAGTGAATTAGTTAAGAAATTCGAATTTGGTTAAGAAAATAAACGTTTTCCATTTTATCAGACTTTTAAAACTTCTAAAAAAATTAATTTTCATTCATTAGAGTGTTAAGATATCAGTTATGCTAAAATTATATGAATTAGCAAATAGAAGCAATAGCCACTAGACAATGGCCTAGATAGGAAAATTCATAGGAAGTGTGAGAAACTTAAATTTTCTGGCAAAAATCTAACAAGCATTTACATTTTTTCATAAATTTTAACATAACATTACGACATCGGAACTGAAATGAATAAATCTTTTGATATATTCAGATGCTCTTGCGTTTCATTAGCTTAAAATCAATTCCTTTCAAAACATAAAAATGAGATAAACATAAACAATCGTGTTAAATTTCTGCCAAGACCAGAAGTTTTCCAACAAAATAGCAGTTTAGCTCTACAGGGGGTTTGCCCCCTCTGACCTCCATCTATCTACGCCACTGCCACTAGAGCAGTTAAGATACCATAGCGATTTCAGCAACCATTTTTTCAAAAATTCCTGAGAAGCATTCCCCCTACCCCTGGAAGCATCTGCCAAAGGAATGCTTACTATTTATTTTTTTCGTCCTGACCAGGGGCCTGTAAATCCTCTCCGCGGCACTGACCGGGAGAAAGCAAGCAAAACCCTGGGTCTCCCGGAGTATCCGAGAGTTGACTGGTCTGAAGTATGGACAATAATAGGAAATAACAACTGGGAGTAAATATGGTCAGTGTAGAGAGTTTGCCTTGTTTTTCATAATAATGAAACTCTGTATAAAGATATTCCAAAAAAGGATGCTAAAAACTTATGTTTCTGTATTTTGAAGCGTGTAACAACCAGAAAGCCTAATTTCCGTTGTGAATAGTTATTTGTAAACCAAAACAAACTTCTGGAGAAAGCATTTGACCGCATCCTATAATGTTGTGGTTTTTGCTTTTGAAAATAGACGCTAATATTCCTCCAAAGTATAATTGTGAAGGCGGCCCGTGATTGGCTTGGGGACATAGATACAAACGAGCACATATTGTATGTCATAGCACTCCGGTAGTATACTTTTGGCAAACCATGATGGCAAACACATGCGTTGTGTTTAAACTTATTTATAAGAAAACCTAAAATTTTGCTGAGTATTTGTATAGTTAATATTTTAAATTCTGAGCCTAAGAATATTCTTAAATCATTTTCGAACGATACAAGGTGAAAATTCGCCCGATAATCAAAGACAAGAATTCAAATTTTTGATTTTGTGTCCCGTGCTATTATAAAGACGAAACAAGAACAGAGAAGCCCAGAGAAACAGAAAAATAAATGCGTTTCAAAATACAAAACCTTATCCAAAAGAATTATTTCGACTCCGTCTTATTAATTAATTCCAATATAGTCTCTAGTATACATGGGGGTAGTTAGGACATTGACATGGGGGGGGGGGCAAATTTGCATTTTGCTTTTTATATAGAAAGGGCTATATTAGAAATAATGTGCAGAGCTATATTAAAACCATCACAAACATTTACAAGCCAACATAGTTTGAGTAAGCCTTCCTCTTAAAAGCTACGGAAAGATATGTAAGCAATGCGAATTTTTCGTAAGAAGAAGAGGATTATGATGAAAAAGAATTTGAACTGATATGCTTTCTCACTTTTTTGTAGGGCTTCTCGGGACTTGTTGTCTTCCTGTGAACTTTTAGAAATGCCCTTGCTGCCAAAGGATACCCTAGGTACCAGACTAACATTATATGATAAAATATAGAATGAGTCTGGTACCTAGGGTAGCCGAGAGACAGCTTACTCTTTCAAACGTAAGAGATTTTCACCAAACGAAAGGATCTCATGGAACTTTCAGAAAAAGTAGGTTTTCTACCAAAGGTGCAGCAGATTTTCATGAAGTGGTTTCCCCTCGCTTCCTATAAGGATGTAAAAACTATTGTTTTTCAAGCTAAAGAACTCAGAAATTTCCGTGCATGTTTCAAGGGCTGCAAGGGAATTTTATTGTAAATTTAGCTCTACTCAATGCATTCCAATAAATCAATATCCTTTTCGCACGGCACGGTGCCTTTTTGCTTTGTTATGCTTTCATTGGGCAGATAGATCGAAATTGAGGAAAAAGCTAGGTAAAAACTTTCAAACAAGTGATAATCAAAAGCATACCAAGTTTCAGTTAATGCAAAAAGATGTTTCCTTCGTACTAATTTATTCACGTCAAGGGCTATAGGCAGTAGCGTAAATTTATTATCAAAATCAGAAAGTAGGCATATATTTGTATAGAACAGTTTCCTTTGAATAAACAAGAGGGGAAGCTGATACCTTATCGATCATGAAGAAAATTGGCACCTCACCAAAACTCCCTAATAGCCATGACAATTATTGGCATAGCAACCTTTGTCCATCTGTCTCGAAAAGTTCACCTTGTCGAAGAGCTTTGTTTTGATTTGTGAAGGCAAAGCATCAGTCACTGAACACCAAAGCCGAGTCAAACCTTAGAATAGCAGTTCTCAAACTCAGCAACGACGTAGAGCTTCGATAGTATTAGTTTAACTGTCAAAACACGATATACCTTAGAGATACTGCGCCTTTTGTTGGCAATGGCGTTCATCGAAGTAAAGGAGGCCATTAAACTCTTTAGGGATTTCCTTCGGCGAAACGACAGCATTCCCCATGATAATCTTGACGATTTCTGCAGAATACTTGAAAATCTACTCGGCGAAAAGTACAAGAATCATTGGCATCCACAAAGACCACACAAAGGCTCAGCATTTCGCTGTCTGAGGTTGTCCAACAGGCATATGGATTCCGTTATCATGACAGCTGCAAGGGAAAGTGGAGTTACAGAACAAGATTTAGCGCGAACTCTGCCAACAGAACTTACAGTTTGGATCGATCCATTTGAAGTCTCATACAGGATAGGCGAAGAAGGCTCAATTTGTCAGTTGTTTCAAGGTTCCATAGAAGATGTGACTGGTCAGAGCAAAACGAAAATGGCGCAAGTCGCACCGTCGCCTTGTCGAGTTGAGTCACAGGCAGTGACTGGATTCGAGAATCCTAACGAAACTTTACAAGAATGTCAGGTTGATGTTGCTTAAATTTGCATAATTATTTGTAATTTTCAATTTTAATAAGTGTGAATAGTTTTGTTATACCAATATTATTGGGTTGTGAATAGAAATAGATTGCCAAGTTTAACTGCACAATTTTTGCCCGCCATCTTTGGTTAGCTTTGGCGTTTATTTTTCGCGCAGCGGGTGCAGCACGCAAATATCCAAACTGGAAATAAGAAGTTTCAGGAAGATTTTAGAAGGTATTTGGCATCAAAATAGTCTTCCTAAGCTCCATGCAGGTTTAAGGTGGTATCTTGCGCAACTGTTTGAGAAATTAGCCAAAAATGCGACTCGCGTCGTCGTCAAAACATAAACAAAACAAGGTAGAGTTTATTTTTTACCATTGTTTTACCTTTGGTAGATTCTTATGCTCCGTTATTGAGAAAAGAAACAGTGATTCAAACTGTGTCGTGTTTATAACATGAAGTTGGGGCCAATTTTACTAAATATATTTCTGAACCTTGGTTTCAAAACTGGTCAAATTATTTCTGCAAAGATTTGCTAAACTTGCCTTGCAGCTTTAAATTTTTTTTAAATTTAATCAAGAACATGTTGTAGTATACAAGAAATAAATATCAAAGCAAATTCACTCAGAAATTCTTTGAAATATAAAAAATCATGAAATTATTTCAAATGAAGGTTTCTCTTCAAAGCTTAAGTTGTTTTTGTTTGATTTAAATGTTTTTCAAACATTGGAATTCCCATTTTTTGTAGCAAGTATATTGGATTATGTTTCCAAATGAATAAGCTTGGTGTATGGATCAAGAGGGAGATTAGACAATATGGTTTAAGAAACAAACAAAAAATTGAATTTTTATATTTGTTGTATGATTTTGTAGCAGCATAACAAAAGAAAAAAGGGAGTGCTTTGCCCTCTTTTCCTTTTAGTATTAATTATCAACAGCACTGCTATTAATCTTCAAAGATAACTTTTGTAAATATTAAATTCATTAGAAAACTGTGTGTATAATTTTGAATATGTTATTCTTAGATCCACATTTAGGCCTATGGTGGTAACAGTTATTATTGGTAATTGGTAAATATCCTCAGAAAATTGAGGTATTGTGCACTGTGAAATTGCCATGTTGTGGTCCGAAAATCAGTCAAATCTGAGAAAGCCTGAAAATCAGTCAAATCATATGATGAATTGATATGGAATGACTGACTATAAACACAACTAATGATATTTTCATTTCAGAAATACATGTGGCATAGTTATCCACAGAACTTTCCAGACCTTACATAAAACTTGTTCCAAAACTGCTTAAGTATTCAAAATATGAATACCAATTATTAGCCATTTCAGAATCATCATGTTTGGAAATTGATTAATGGTTTTATCTCCTAAAACACGACAAAAAACACATTTTGGTGATACAGAAGACCTTGGTTATACTTGCACAAAATGTTGCTTGAAAACTTGTGACTATAGACAGAGTGTGACTGTAAATAGAGCTAAATGAAATGGTTTATTAACTAATAGTTGATGGAATAGTTTTCCATATTTGGGTCTAATTTTTATCTGATTGCAACTAGTGGTGCAACATCCCTTTCTTCTTTCAGCCTAGGTTCACCTACATGTCCCTATTCCATGTTTGTTTGTGAAAAACAAGCTCAGGCAGTCAAACAAAAGAGTTTTGTCCTTGAAAACAGATTGGATTCAAATCATTATAAGATAATTACTCCTACAAAGCTATTGGTAGTAAAACACATTATTTACAATTCTTAATCGAGTAGAAATATACACTGTGTACAGAAGCAAAGCATAAAACCTGCCCTAATTTTTTTAGCAAGGAATGTTGCTCAAAGCATTTACAATAGTTTCAATAAATGCTGCTCATATCAGATTATGCACATTACTACAAAAAATTTATCAAACAATTAAAAGAACGTAGATAGGAAATAAATGTTCACAGGTATTTATACCAGAAACATAGAGATGGCGAGTACACCCCTGGCATCTTGAAAAACATTTTAGGTTTTGAGGGGTAAATTAGAAATATGGGTGGCAGATGATCTTGACAAACATTAAAGGGAAAAGGTATAACTGAAATGAACCGCTTCACATCATGATAAAATTGAAGCGTTGGTGCACCAAAAGAGATACAAGCTTACAGTTTGTTTAAAGCCTGAATGTTTAGATTGTATTATAACATAAAGTTATGGCAAACAAATTTTGAATGAATTGATAAAGACAAAAGAATAAACTTGTGTGGCAAATCAAAACGTACATTCTAAGTAATTTGGGGCTAGGTTTTTTCAAATGAGTCACTATTATCGGAAATGTGAATGAAAAATATATCATTGCTTTCGTTTACTAAAAATCTTTGAATTTTCCAAAGTAAATCAATTTTCGGTATCTAAATATTTATAAATGTACAAGTTCTAAGATACTGCGTTGTAGCCGGAAAAGTATTCAAAGTTTACTAAATGTGTCACACCACACCCCAAACGATGAATTTTTCTTTGTCCTAGTTATCTTAAACTTCAAACTTCGGACGTCATGAAGTCTGGGTGAACATAGGGCATGGGTAGTTGATATGCTGGAGGCGGGCGTGAATACGGCGATTCGTAGCTGCTGCGTCTTGAGTTTTCACGCGAGGCTGCCCGAGGATATGGTGGAGGTGGTTTTGAAAACACATTGAGGCCGTAGGTTGGATTGTCAATATAGTCATTATCATCATCACTATCAGGTCTCCCGTCTATGTCGGTCTCTGATAATTCATCCGGTTTTTTAATTTTGCCTGCTGGGTTATAACTCTCAGGAAGTGTGATATTCGGCTCATAGAAGCAATCAAGTTCGTACTCTTCAGGGAGCAAAACAGGCTGTCCATGCTTGAATGTGTCCTTCTCAAAGAAAGATGGCTTCATTCTGCGGCGTCTAGTGATAAATATCACAGTACCAATTATAAATGCCAAAACAGCAGCGACTGCAATGGCAGGCACAACATACATTACAAAATCTTGGTTTGATGTTGTGCCGGCCCTTGGTCCTGCAGTTACGACTTGGGTGCTTGTTGAATAGCAGACACCAAGGTAGCTTAATGTTATGCCTAGCACGGGAAATTCAGGAGACATCCATTGCGCAAAGGCAACATCAGTGCTGCCGGAAGATGAGCGAAGTTTTCCAAGTGTCGCAACTATTGCCGCCTTGTTGCAAACTGATCCAGCAATCGTGGTGTCACTCCAACTAAATATGACTGATCCATTGACAAGAGATGATCCATAATAACTACTTGCTCTAGAAGCATTGTAAAAGGTAATGACTCGATTAAACAAAACCACCTTCAACGAGCTATTCGCTAGAAACTCGCTGAAGCTCCTTAGTATTCGAAGGGAAATCGTAAACTGCAGATCGACTGGTTGGCTCTCAATATATATGTTTAACACATCTGTAGCAAAGTTTCCCATTCTGTCTCGAGCGACTATTTGAATGCCGATACCAACTGACCCTTGGTTATTGTAATCAATCAGAAATGGCAACCCTGAAAGCGTCTGTGAGGTATTATCAAAATGTATCCAAAATGAAGCGTCAATTTTCCGCCCATCTAAATAGCGGCAAACCAGGGTAAGGTTGCTAGTCCAGCCGTCTTCTCTGTCATAGAACGTGTCAGCCGGTATTCTGTACATTAACAACCTTCCAACGTAGGCCACAATTCTACCTATACTATTAACAACTCTCGGAACGGTGTCTGGTATTTTAGTCATTGGGCCTACCAATGTTGACGACAATGGTAAAGTATTCGAAGATGATAATAATGCTGTTTTAAATGTGGTAAGGTTGTAAAGAGAGGTCACAACTGTTGAGCTGAATGTCACAAAACCAACAGACCGGGTTGTTCGAAGAGGTAGTAAACTTGTTTGCGCTCTCCCGAACGAAGATATAGAACTAATAGAATTTACAAGGCCAGAAGATAGACCTACCGACACCCTGCTTAAACCAGACGAGCTGTGATGGGCAATTACGGACAACGAGCTTCTTAATGCACTTTGACTAGTGGATATACCCTTGGCCATTGTAGTTGCGACAGGCGTTTTTCGTATCGATTCTGACAATAATGAGCTACCTGCTGTCCCTTTTTTATTTGAACTGCTTGATAATGGACTTGAGGATGGGTGAAAGGTTTCCAAATATGAACTTGTTACTTTTCTGCTACTTGTTGACAGTGAATGCATTGATGGGGTCACAGCAAACGACGCTGAATTGAAGTGGCCTGAGCACGAAAAAGACGCTACGTAAGCATTTTGAATAAACTATAAGCCCAGACCAATTAAACTAATATCTAACTGAAATTACTGGTCAAACATCCCCAGCTTAAGTATAATAATGAACAGGACTGGCAGATTAATTCTGGGGGACTTGGGGAGGGGGGCAAATAAAACAAAGGACTAAACAGGGACTAATGAAACACTATTAAATTAGATTCTAACAACAGACCTTTTAATTAACAGAGCTTACCACGCAGTTTGAATATAAGAAGAGAATAATTAAAAAATTCAAAACATCAGGATTGTTAACACTTGTCTTCCTTAAGGATTGGATAAGGGGATCGAATAGGGAAAGGCGGCAATATTCGGTGAAATTAGACCGTCTGTTGCCAAGATAAATGTTAAAGTTTACTGTTAGAATACTGCTGTTAGGTTACTGCTTATGTCAGAACATAGTTTTGTAAACATGACTTCAAAAATGAATTATCTTGATAAAAGAAACTACTTACTAGGCAGTAGGCTGCTGCTCTTGAATACTCTAAAAACCAAAAAATAAAAATACTATAACAGTTGTAAGCCATCACTGACCGATTCAATTCTTTCAATTTCAATTTATAACATCTTCAGTAATATTTATATTCAATTTATAACATTCATATTCATCTTCATAAAAACAAAACAAGCCAAGTAGAGCAAAAAGGTTTGGTCTTTACTAAAATATAAAATGAAATTTAAAAGTACAAGAAATTTCAATATGTGACATATTTCATACACCGTATACTGCTGTCATTTAATCATCGGAGGCTATCAAATTCTCACACATTCTATATTCCAAAATATCAAACTACTTTATCTATCTTGAAAACTTTCCCACAGTACATGCACATCTATGAATTTTAAAAGAAACTGCATCATAAAGCTAAAATGTATTCAATTCCATGGTTATAACATTTAACGTCAATATTACTTACCGTATTGACGAGCTAGCTGGGCGTTGCGATGTTCTTGTGCCAAACTGTGACGATACAGTTGATACCTGCACGTTGCTTGATGTTGTACTTGAGAAAGATGACTTATCAGCTCCCATCGTGGAATTGAGGAGCAGGGAGGTCGCCTGCTTGCTAATAGTAGTTCGTAGCACGTCAGTGTTTGAGAGCAGTGATGAATAAGTTAACAACGCTAAAGAGCTCCGGGACATGACAATTGATGAGAGTAAATTTGATATTTCCGTTGTGCTCTGCATAGAACTGGTAGCATACCAAGTACTCCTTATGCTTGCTGAAGAATAACCGTATGAGATTAGTGTCATTCTGCTAAACAAAGGCACAAATGAGCTGCTTGAAGCGTAAATAAGGGATGATAACTTGTTTGGTAGTTTGGAAGATTCGTGCAACAATTTGGAAGTAAAAACATACGAAGAAGGACGGGCAGTGGTACTGGGTTTAACTCCTTGGGTAGACAGATGGATACTTGAAGAAGGAGCGGTTGTTGTTGGAGCTGAAATCCGAAAGCTGCCAAAAGAAGTCACAGGCACTTTCATTGAGTCTGATGAAGTGTAAACTGCCGAGTCATGGCTAGAAAAGCTAGACTTTTTGTCCAAGAAAAGGGATGAGATATTGCTCTTGGTGACTTGAAGCGAAGAAGACCTCATTATCAGAGTCATCTGGACAGTACTTGCTGAAATTCTCTCATCTGTAATAAATCTGCTAGACACGGAGTTTGATGGCAATATCAGGACAGTGGAAGATTGAAACAGCGGTGCAGAACTAGTCTTAAAACTATATCTGGAACTGGCTATACTGCGTAAAAAACTAGAAAATACACTTATAGTGGAAGGTGGCAATGCTGTTGTCAGGGGAGGCTCGTGCGATATTGGTAACGATGCAGAAACCTTTATGGAACTTGGCCTTGAACTGGAAACATTGTGAGCCAAGCTAGAATATCTTCTAGATGTATAAGCTGTCAGTGATACATAATGAGCCAAACTATAATATCCACTAGATGAAAAGGCTGTTTGTGATGTCAAAAAGGAAGAAAGCTGTGACTGGGATAATACTGGGGTAGTTTTAATAAAGTCTTGCATTGAATTGGAAATGCTGGCAACCAGGTTGGAAGGCAAAGAACTCGAGTATGCGTAACTTCCTGTATGCTGTGTGGAAAGTAAAGTAGAGCTGACTCGCGTTCTTTCGATTCTTGAAGATATTTTGGTTGCAAGAGATGAATAAGCAGGATTTACATATACAGACGAAATTTCAGAAATTCTTGATTTTAACGAACTTCCCAATATGGCGGAGCCTTTTGGAATAATTGAAGACTTTTCAGTAACTGGCGAATCATAACTGCTCTGAAAAACGTATGAAGAAACTGATGGCAAAATATGTGACGTTTCGAAACAAGAGGCGTGTGTGCAAGTAGAACCGTCAATCACAAACGTAGTTGCTGATCTTATTCCAGGTGATGACTGGAGAACCACTTGAGACGACAGCAGAATACTCGTAGGTTGCACTGTAGACTGTTTTAAACTTGCCGTGGGATTGGTAAGCACAACTGATGCAGAATTTTGTTTGCTTGCTGTTTCTGATAATAATCTCCTGCTGGAAATATCTGAACGCTGTGATACTGGAGTGGATGACAAAACCCCCAAAGAGGCTGTGGCATATATCAAACTATCAGATATTGTTCCAGCTGCAGATAAATACGAATTTGTTTTGGAAGTAACAAAAGACGGTTCAATAATTTTAGTCGTTGCTGATGTAAAACGATTGGTATTGGAAGCCGATCCAACTGATGTGTAAACCGCTGAGCTTAGGAAGTGGGATGGCAGGACTGAGGTCACAGCAGGTGTTCCTTCAAGAGCAGTAATCGATCCGAAAAAAACACCTCGTCTCTTACGGATGAGAAGGTTAGAATCCAGTTCTCCAGACGTAACATGCCAGCTATTCAAACGTAATCCAGATATTGTGGATAAACTGCGTTTATGAATTTCATGAGCATCAAACGATTCGAAATTGGTTCTTTCGCACCCTAAAGGCCATGATACATGAAATTCTTTTCTGTGTGAAAAAAAGTCACCCAATCGTTCGAATCGCAGAATTCTCAGTTTATGCAATTGTTTGAAGAAGGCAATAGAGCTTGAACTCTCGACAATTTGTATTAAACCAGTTGGTAGAGAAACAGAACTGTTCATAGACTTAAGAAGTCTGATAAACGACTTTGATAATACCGTTGAATTCACAGCGAAACTTAATGTTAGAATGGTCAGCCTAGATTCTGAAAAACATTTAGAAAAGTTGAGGTTTCTTTGGTCGGATCGAAAATCTGTTTCATTATTGATATAAGAAATGAGTCCAACAGGTAAGGATTTAGGCTCCAGAAGAACTGTGATTGTCCACACAAACTGCTTACATAGCAGTTCACTGTGACCATCAATTAACTCAATGCCAACAATCAGAAGATCGAAAGTATCCAGATCCGACTCTTGTGGAATACCTTGCACTATTCCTTCTTCTTCTTCCCAGATCAACCATGGTGGCAATTTGCGTGTAACAGTTTCTGACACCTTAAAACGCAATTTATTGAGTACATTTAATCAGAAGAGAGGTTTTCGTAGACTAGGTACAAGTTAAGTTTCAATAGGTAATTTAAACGAAAACACTCTAAGGTCTTCATAATCATTTTCAAACAATTTCCATCTTAAATTGCTCCATGGGGCTAACTACACTTTAAATATTTTCTTAACAAGGAATATACAGGGCCTCTGATACAAGACTGTAAGTGGGGGGTCATGCCACAACCACGAATTAGTTGAAAAATATTTTTACAAAATTTTATTCGATATTGGAAAGAATGTTTTTTTTCTCTGCCCCATTTCATCACAGTCTTTGTTTCACTACAAAGAAAGTAGCATTAACATGGTAATGTACTTACATGTATCCTTGAAGCATTGCAACCAAATTTGTTGCCATAATGAACTGAGTCACTAAACAAGTGGCCAACAAAGGCACTCTTAAATTCCTGGAATTCTGTTAATGTACAGGAATACACTCGTAGGAAAGCTACTGCTAGAAGCCAGTATGCAAAGCACTCTGTTCTTTTGATCATTTCTGCATGTTCTATATGACATGGCTTTCTGATCTGAAAAACAAAAGCAAATATTTATATTTTTGACCACTTCAAAATAATCAATGAAAAGTCAATCTAAAACTATTGAAAAGTTTAAAATATGAAAATATATTCATTTGATATAAGATTTTAGGTACTTTGATACTCGTTAAAATATGAGAAATATATAAAGAATTTGTCAGAGTTCTTCATAGCTAAACACGTAGTTGAAACACTAAAAGAAGTCTGAATTGTCTTTGAACAAGGAAGGACCAATGCAGTCCTTTTCGTTTAGCGCGTGCGATCGCACCCGCACACGCCTGCACACGCGCAAGTTAAATTGCGCGTGCTTTTGACCACACGCGCAAACATGTGTTTTTGCAGTTTTCTGTTAAAGGGCCTCTCCAGCCAAATTTTGCACTTGCATTTTATTGGCAATTTTTATAAAGAAGTTGAGCCTGCTGATCACGAATTCGTTATTTGTTTTTCGATATTTCTTTACAGTTTGTGAGATATAAGCTCTTGCATTTCGATAATTTAATTTAATTAACCGACACAAATTTTTGGTTTGGTGACACTGTGACGCAATTTTGACGTCACAGTGTATTTCGGATAGTCTCGCCTCAAACCGAATCGAACGACGGCGATTCGCAGATTAAACACTGCAAGTGATGGTACTTTCAGTTCTGTTCCGCCAGCTTTTAGTTTGAGCATTTCAGACACCAATTCTGAAGCCTTTAGTTGTTCATCGTTTCTGGAGAACAACTGAAGTGACAATTTCGATTAATTATACGCGAGGGAAGAGCTGGAACAGGAACTGGAACTGGATGCAGTTATCAACTCGTGACCATGAGTCCTTCACGCTTCGGTGGAAGATATACGAAATTCATGGCGAACGAGAGCCGCACATTGTGACGTCAGAATGTCACCAAACTGATTTGGCTTTTGTCGTTTTTTTTCTCGGAAAGGTGCAACTTTAAAGCCTTACAACTTCTAAACTAATTGGAATTTTTCAAAAACAATGACTTTGTCATAATACACGCACCAGATGCTAACTTTTAAGTCATTAAAAAAAAATTTTTTTTTGCTGGAGAGGCCCTTTAACATCAATTTCCCATGGTCTCATGATTGTTTATCCTTTCCCTTGTTACTTGATTCGCACTTTTGACCACAATATGATTTTTCCAATTTTCGGAAGTGATGTTTGGCTTTTGACTGAGTGCTCCATTCAACTTAGCGTCTCGTCTTTCAGCTAAGTCGCCATTAGCATGTTAAGTGTAATAACTGATTTCCTGTCAAAACGTAATTAGGCCCTGAAAGCAAGTAGCTGTTGGAAACAATTTTTACTTGCTCTTGTAACTTTGGAGAGTTACGACGACTTTTAAAAGATGGCTGCTAAGGGCAACAAAATCTGTTATGTATTGATTAATTGAGTTTTGCTCTTGCATGTATTCGAGTGGCTTTTTCCTTCTTGCTCCTTTTACCAATTTTATCAGGTTTGTACTTCAAATTTTCTTACAAGTGCGATCGCACGCGCAAATTTGTTTACATGTGCGATTTGCCACACACGCGTAATTTTGCTCACGAAAAGGACTGCCAATGAGACTTCATATATGTTTCTTTCAAAACGGATTAACTCGGAAGAATTACTTCTGGTGCAGCTAAATTTACATTAGTGTAGACGCATGATAAACAGTTTCTCCAAGTAGAAAAATTAGGAAAATTCAATAATCCTAATATTTTACATTGATCACCTTTTTTTCTCAAGTCTAAAATTAATATGATGCACCTGAGCACTTTATACATATACATGGACCTCTCCTTTTATCATATCAAACTTAATTTTCAATAGAAAGGCATGATCATTTCTAAGGTCACTGATGAGGGGGCATGTCAAGAGCATTACATATGAAATATAGTTCTGACAATAATAATTTAGACATAGTATGAAATATAGTTCTGACCCTCAAATCATATTGCATTTCAATATTACCCCCATGGACTTTCACTAGCAGGTTATCAGCGAATAATTTGCTCAAGATTTTGCTAGCATTTGAATAAGCCCTAATACATGCATTAAATAAATTGCTCTGTCCATTTAACATGGTGACTTGATGAAAAAAGAGAATTTCAAAGCATTGCAACACCATAATTCTTAGAAGCCCTCCAGAGCATTTGAGGGATCAGGAGCAAAAGACTTAGATAGGCCAATATGAATAACATTGATTTTAGTTATTCATTAAACAATTATTTATTCCTGGTACAATTCACTTACATTCATATTTATTATATCATTATATTTTACTGCATGCAATCTAGTGAAAATATATACTAGTGATGATGAAGTATATACTGCTTACTGAGAAGATAACTAATAAAATACACAGCATTAGTGTAGAATCAAAACCAGAGTCCAATTTTTCCATCTTAATTATGTGTAAGCCTCGTAGTTTTATGCAGGGGATTGCACTCATTCACACTAGGGACCCTGAAAAGTTATTTGCCCAGAGTAATGACAAGTCTAACAAAAAGGTACATTGCTCACGAGAAATACAACCTAATGAGAAAGGACAGGTTGCACCATGACTTACCCTTGGTCTTTTTGCAGTATTGCTTCTTATGCATTGACATTCATTTTTATCTCAAATACTTTGTTTAACTGTGGATAATGTCACAGTTAGAAACTCAAAGATTGAGATATTGTGACAATACCCAGCCAATTAGGCCATATCTACATTATTAGTTCTCAAAGGAAATGGATCAAAATGTATCTGTTTTGGCTCTGCATTTCAGACGTTTTACTAAGAAAACAGGGCATTTGAAAATGCACTTTGAAAGAAAACAAAATGAAAATTGAAAAAAATGAGAAAACCAACCAATGCAAACACTGCAAACTATATTAAAAATGCAAAGATAGTAAGTGAAAGTGCATTGTTTAAATGAAACAAGGAACATGCAGGCAGTTTGCTCTTAAGAAATTTCTTCACAAAAAGACCTACTCATGGCTTAGAACAACCTGGCCTACACCTTTCTTTGTGTCAGCCTGACTCAAAATAATTTTCATCAATATCAAAGATGCTGTTACGTTTTTAGATGCCACAAAATGGCTTGATGCTCTTAGCATTTCATATAAATTTTTTCATTACAGGGGGTTGGGTCATTTTATGTTATCTCTCATTCTTGGTTGTATTTGTAGATCTGTCTTGACATATTTTGTTAGATATTATGTAGTATATATGAGATGTATTACTTTCCCTCCCCCACCCAAAAAAGGAAAAAAAATAGATGTGTTGAAAAATATTGTCAGCCCTGTATTTCTGTTTAATAATTCATCAAGTGAAATGCAATAATTGCCTTTGCTCGAAGTTAGGTTGGTCTGCTTTTGCAAAATGATCTTGAAATTGGTCTTCAAAAATCTATCTTTCGAGAGACAAAATATCCATATAATATGCCTTGTACTTAAATTGTCAACATTTACAATAGTGAATGGTGATCAAAAGTCACGGCTGAAATAGAGTCCGGAATTTAGGCCCGAACAATACTTCATATTGAAGTTACTACATTGAAAAGTTACTTTTGTATGTCCTGGCGACAAAAAGTATAGATATATTTGAGAATAAAGAAGTTTTCAAAACAGTTTCATACAGCAAATGATGCCAACCACCAGACAGAATAGGCCTAGCCTTTTGGTATAACGTTATTAATATTTAACGAACCCTTAAAAAACTCCATCAATTCATGTCCTATGATCAAACAGGATAGTTTTTTGTAAATTTCGAGTAAAATTCTATGCTTACGTGTGGAAAAAACAACGACTGCAGACTTTCCTTCTTCCTCTTTTTGGGCAGTTGGAGTTAGGAAGCCATGATAATGTCGTTCTCGTATTCAAATATTGATTACCCGCTTGCCCGCGTGATCATCTTAAACCAATAGTATCGCAAGCAACTATAGCGAAGTGTTCATGACAACAGAGGATAACAACAATGAGTCATTCAATGGCAAGTGGCGATGAAATCAAACATATCCCAAAATTTCTATGAAAGCAAGATAATATTATTTACTCAAATATACTCGATATCTTGGGAAACGGGTTGAAATTTTCCACCAAATATTTTTAATGCCTACCAACAGAATCAGGGTATTTTTATTGAAGGGTTGGTCAAAAGCTACCGGACATTTTCAAAAATGAAATTCATCAGCATACTTTTTACAGCTTTAAACTTCGAGTGAGAGAATAAGCTAGACCCGAATTCGGCGCAAGCATCCAAGCAATGATATGGGCCTGCGGTTCCATCCGTGCCACAGTCCTTTCAATTTTTTTAACATGCAGAAAATCTACTTTGAACTTAATTGATACCTTACAAACGGGTGGTAGATTGTTTTAGAGTTTGGTGAAATGATCTAAGGTAGCTGTTAGAATGTTTCATAATGAAGGTTGACATCACACATTAGAATGCTATGCAAAATGCCTTGTTATGATACTGAGCATGCTTTCAATGGTTCACTTTAAATAAGCTTAAAAAACACAACTTTACCCATATAAAATTGCAGGGGCTCTTTAGCAATGCAGCAACCATTCTTAGGCTGCCTAAAGCATTGAATTTACAAATATATACTATAGACACGTATTTTCTTTACTTCTTAAAGCATCATTCTTATTTACATCAACTATCACATTTTATTCCAGTTTCAATAAGTCTTTTTTGTGTATTTTACGTCTTGGCTTTTCTCATGTCATCCATCCTCCCGCCTTCATAGCCTTGTCGTTAGAGGCTGGCTTTTCACCTGTAAGTTAAAGATTCGGACTTATTTTTTAAGGTCTGTTGTGATAACTGTGCTACACAAGAAGAAGAAAATAAATTGCTAAAGGGGTGAGATACAAGCATTTGCTCTGAATCCTAATTGGCTCAAATCCCCATTCTTTTTTGTCGTAGGAGAACAAAGCGGCTATCAACAGCACGAAAGCTAATCCTCTGATTTGTTACAACTTAAGTAAGTTTTCTTATTTAGAAGGTCAAATGCTGCTAAAGACTGATAAACAATTATAATAACGATATGTTCGTTAAAACACATGACCTTATCCTCTCTAGAAACTTAAACATATAGGATGTTCCTTGTGATTCATTTTCTCTGCAATAGCACGAGCCTTATAAGATCTGCTTCGATGGAATTATTTTGCCATGCCGTGTATTTATACATATTTATCAGGGTTCAGATGGTATTGATTTATATTAGATACTGATTTCAATAATCTATATTCACATTACCTATCAACGGTGCTGGGGTCTATGGAGCCGTTCACTATGAAATTCATGAGAGTCACTAACAAAAAGCAGTTTCTTCTATCTTCGTTTAAAATGCTCTACCTCCGTGATTGCAAATAACTACAAAAGTATTACCTTTCTAGAATAACCAGTTAGAGGCCTTTTAGTAGCAACTTTTTGCTGGCAGTTGGTTCCTCCTTCCTTCAGCGTTAACAAAGCTTGGTTCTAGGCATCCTGCTAAATTGCAACTCTGTTGTGGATATCTATGCATGTATGGTAGGGCTGGTAGGACCTGGGCATTAGGATCAGGTAGTGGTACTGGCATTGTGGTGGAGCAGGGAGGTTGGAAGCCATATGTTGGTAATGAATACACATTTTGCTGCAAGGCATCAATTTGAGGCGAGTACATATCGGCTGGATAGACGAAAGGTACATGGCAGAACTTCACCTAAAAAAGAAAACACAAAAACTGTGATTGATCTTTGTGATGTATGGTACACAAACATTTGATTTCATTATCACTTCAAGAGGCTTTTCAATGGCTGGGCTATCAACTACAAAAATTGCACTGGATTAACTGAGACAGCTAAATAGAAAAATTCTTAGACACAAAAAGTGAGATATCAAATGAACCAAGAACCAAGCAGTTTTTGGAAATCTATTAAAGAGATCATCTACAGAAATTTTAACTCTAGAGTAATATGTTTTTAAGATGAAATGCTTGCCAAAATGAAGCTACCCCCAGATGAAGCCCTCCCTTCTCAGGTAATTCCGTCTCTAAAATGTTCTATATCGTCTATATTGAAAGTTATAGTACTTACATTCTGCCTGAGTTCAGATGTTGGTTGGATTGGGAACGTGCATTTGTTTAGTGGTTGATACACAACATGTGATTTGCAACCAGACTTGGTCATCGTCTCATCAAGCACGATTTTTGCAGGTTTTCCTTTGACATCATCTGAAAACTAGAATAGGAAAAACAAACCCTTTTATCCACTGTGATTAAAGAAAAAGGCCATGTACGTAATATCGACATTTGATGAATCTATGTTGAATGGATGTTGATTAGCATAAATGTTTTGCTTATGCTGCTGCTGGTATTATGCAGTACATAACAATAAAGTCTATTAAAACCCTATACTTGCATATTATATTTAAAGTGTCTATTTTTCTCAAAGAGTTTCAAAAAGTGTAACAAATTTATCAGTATTTTGATAAATTAAAATGTTCCTTTTGTTTTTGATAATTTACTTATTTTGCCCTTGTCTGAGATCGTTGGTTAAGACAATTTAAGGATGTTGCATAAATATGAGGCTAAACGCAATTATGTTTCTTAGCTTTTATTACTTCGTTTCCCATACATTTCAAGTACGTGAATTAGCATGATTTTTACTGGCGTAAATATGAAAATAAAAGATTCTGTCTAGATAATTACCATTTTCTTTATTGCAGGACCAACATTGATTTTCTTGCCCCAGAAAAATATGGAACCATGCTGAAGAACAGCGGAAACATCTTTCTCGTAGGCAAAGGACACGAAACCAAATCTGAATATAACAAAAGAAAGGCGGTGAGAAGGTATGTACCTAGTGAGCAAACCAAGATTTTTATCGTCTTCTACATATGCTGGATAAAGTTTTCAAAATGAGATCTACTATCCTTCTATATAAATGTCATAGGTTAGGATCCACAACTCTAGATAACCATGATTTTAATTATAAACATAATAAAATTTACCATGAAGAAGGTACTGTTTTAAGTGTCGCTCATTCAATAATAAAATTGTGCATGATCTAAATGTCTAAGTGGCCGAAACATCTCCCCTTCTAGGCATCTACGTCATCACCTTGTAGTTAGAGTGAAGTCTTAATTTCTGTCAAAGTTTTTTTTGTCATCATTAAAAACGTAGAAATGTTAATAAGCAAGAATTTTCGCTCTAAGGAGAACCCAGTTGTAGCCTTTGATATCTAGGTTTGATCTTTAGCAATATTCTTCTAATTAGTCTATTTTTAGCATTTTTAGTTCTCAAATAGGTCTATGGGAATCAGAAGTTGAATTAAAAGCTTTTTGTTACCTTTTTGAATTACCATTTTCGTCTAGAACTATCTTCGCTTCGTTCACCGTCCCAAAAAAGCTGAAGAATTCTGCGAGATCCTGTGCAGCAGCCTGGAAAATAATTTTTATGAAATAATATTTGTCCCACAAGGATCCCTTTTGGGTCTGCTGCTTCTCAACTCATTAGCATTATAAGAAACTTTTCAAAATAGCCTATTGTCAAAGTTAATCAAATCTTATCCTGTATGATAAAGTATTGGACTATTTTGATGACAGCAATAAAGCAAAGCAAGACTGCCACTTCAAGATTGAACAAGAATTCATAAAAATAATGATAATGATAATAATAACTATTAAATGTGAAGTTCAATACAAGGTAAGTGCGCTGTGAGTACACAGCTCTGTCTATACGGCATCTAGCATTTGAAACAGTTCCCTTTTCTAAAGTTTTCTTCAATAATTATCAGTACCTAAACTTTGCTTTTTGAATAATCAATATTGAAACTGTTTAATTCATTCCTTCAGATATATTTGAAAACGTATATTTCCTAGTCACTGAATTGTCTTCAAATGAAACTTATATTTTTCGTCATCTCCATAATGAAGTAGTCACTGGTTGCACTGTATACTGAAATTAGGCTGATAAAGATGCATGGTAGGGTAAGAACGTAATAATCATGTAGTAGCAAACTCTTATAGCAATTCTTATAATGTTGATTTTCATTTGTGTTTGCTATTAGTAAATACACAAGATTGATCCATTTAGACGAAATGAAATTCGTACCTTTGGTGGCAAACAGCCAACGAATATTCGGTTTGGAAAATGTGTGCCAAAAATCACAGCTGAATGATCGGCCTAAACGAAAACAATTGAAGTTATTTTTCTACCAGTAATGTTAAGAATTATCTCCAATTGTTAACCAGATTAGTGAAGAGATTCTTGTTTGAATGCTTCTTGTGCTTATGTGTTTTTACCTACAAGTGATCTAACCACTAGAAATATCTTGATTCATTTCTCTGCATAAACTGATCCAAAAGATGAACAATGAATGAAAAGTTTGTAAAGCCTTCCCTTCTCGAAGATCCTATTAAACTACTAACTATCAAAATAATGTAATAAATGGCTATCTTGAAAAATATGCTGAAATTGCTTCCAGCTCTCCAGTGTAGAATTGACTTGCGATTAATAGACACGGACTAGTTTTACGCAAGGAAAAAAATTATGCATTTTCATAATTGTCATTTTGGTAATTTGTGAAAATATTTTGGGTAAAACTTCAGGAGAGTTAAAAAATGAAGAAATACAGAGATTTGAACGATTCGCATTTCAGTATTTCAAAGATCAGTCAATATGTAATACAAACTTTTGCCACAAGACCGTCCTTAAAATTGTAAAAAGACATACAATGCATTGTAAATAAACTAATTAGTAAATAAACCAAATTGAAAAAATGAGAAAAATTATACTCACGATTTTAACCATCTTGATGTTTGCTGAAAGATTCTGGACCTGTCTCTCCTCAGTCAAAATTCATTGACTCTAATAACAAACCTTGTTGCTTATTTATACAGTAGCATTGACCCCGCATCAAAATTATTATTTTAACAAAACAGACACCTATAGAAATTTTCTTTAGGAACAGATAGGGAGCCGAGAATCTAAACAAGACCTTTGGGATTCATTTCCTCTTGACAGAAAGATATTTGTAATCATAACCTATGATATTCACACCTTGCTCATTGTAATGAGGATAAAGAATAGAAGGTGACAACTAGCAATTAATAAAGGCACGAAGAGTGTGATTCTACTAGCCATGCCTGTTTATTCTAGAAATAATGCTAAATCATCTCATAATGTAGAGCTTTTCATTTGCATGACGCAACATCCGCGCTTGACAGGCCAGCGATGGCCGAGTTTTTCACTGAAAGTTTGCCGAAGAGTGCCGAAGATAATTCCGCAGAGTAAAATTTGCCGACAGAATTTGCAAAACGTGCCATTTTCACTGCTACATTATGAAATATTTCATCCTTTCGCTTGATAGTAGAAGATAAATAGATTTGTTTTTCATTTCTCAATGTCACACTTATGCAGGCTGGGACTGATCAAAATTATGTCAAATTATACAAACCGAGATTTTAAAGCGATAGGATTAAGAAATATTTTTTTTTATTTCGTTCTCCTTTTCGTGAAAAGCAGTTCATTGTGGAATATGTTGTTTCCTTTTTTGAATATAGACGCTTCCTGATCAGAAAGCCGTTTATTCTAAAGAAGTCGTGATTTCACACCTCAAATTGGTCTGGCTGACACTTTCAAAGTGCTAAAATCTAAAAATGCTCATAACAGAAAAATTTACTCTGCTCTTGTTATGAAAACTGCTTTTGATTAATTCAAGTGAATATGATTTGACCGCTTAAAAGAAATTCTGCCGCCTGAAAGAACTTGCACTGCTTGAAAGACTGGTCGAGCCACAACAGTACCGCAAGGATGATAGAATTATTGGGGGGTTGGGGCACTATTGTTCGAGAGCAATAGGAACAGGAGAGATGGCTCATTGGAAACAATGGAGATTCATAAGATTTTTTTTGGAGGGTGGCACCACGAGTCCCCCAAGAACAATAGTAGATAGAGACTTGGCCACAAGATAACAATAATTAACTACTGATGCTTACGAGTTGAGAAAATAAAATACAAACTGTCTTATATGCAAACACAAAACAGGTATTCTCTACAGTAAATGAAACAAGAAATAGAAGTTCTTGTTCAAATCTTCTAGAAAGGTCATCTAAGAGTGCCTGAGGAATGTATACAATTTGTCTCTTTTGCTTTTTAGTCATGATCACAAACTATAGCTTCAACTTTGCTAAAAGTTTTGAGGCATCCTGTGGTCGCATAAGGATTTAGGATATGATGTTTTAAAAGGCTGTTTGGCTAAACAACAAACAAAGACTGTACTTAAATGTGTAGAAATATGCTGGTTTTTGCAAATTATACCATTTTTTTCGATTACATCCAACTGCGATCTCATTTTATTTCCACTCTTTTTTACCAGAGCCATTAAATTGTAGTACAGGCTAGCTGTTGTCAATTCATCCAAAACTTTGCAGCTAGATTGTTCTTAATTTGTTCTTAAATCAATTTATTTTGATATAAAGAAATTAGAAACAAGAAAATATTCTATTTCCAAGGAAAAATCATAGAATGTGTATCTTGCAGATATTAGTTTTTTTAAACACAAACAAAAGATTGGCCTTTTCAGGAAAGATATGTCCATAGTAAAATGTTCTTACATTCTTAAACTTTTACAGTTCTTCAGCCTTACTTTTTCTCAGACCTTTTTCTACCTTTTGGCAAAATTTGACGCTTTTGAAATTGTTTTATAAAAGAAAAAGAGTGTTTATTTTGATGGATTTTAAATGAACACAAGTAGAAATAGTGCCATTGTGAGCTTTCATCAAATTATTCTAATTAAAAGAGAAATTTGAAATAGCTCAAAATTTGGGCAGCAATTCATGGATAAAATCAAATATTTGGCAGTTCTAGGTGAAATAGGAGCAAAAACTCATTCCCAAATTAAGTATTTTCAATTCACTATACAAATAGGCCATGAGGGTATACTGCTATTCAATAACTTTTCAAAGGAACTTTCTCTATCACTTATAAGTGGAGAAAAAATCTGTCAGTTTTAGTTCACTTAGCAAAAAACGGCGAATGTGCTATATTCACAGCCTAATGGGAGCGCGTTTGGTCACTAAACTTCAGGAAAGTATCTTATAGCAAGTATCATGCAATTTTGATACGTTCTTTAGCTAAAGAAATTTTTGTGTCTTGAAATAAGATACTCATCTTTATCAGTAGCAGATTCTTGCTATAAAATAATCAATTTCGGCAATAACCGTATCTTTATAAAAGGAACTTTTCTCGGGTGTCTTGCCTGAATGAATGAATCAGGAAGAGAGGGGCTGCTTGGGCTCCTTTTTACCCTAAGCAATAGATCTAAAATGCATTTAATATGAATATAAAATTTTGTCACTTACTTCCAATTTTTATTCGTAAAGCATTGCTAGACTTTTTCAGTACAGATATGATTTGTAATTACTAAAGTTATTAATGCTATTAGTATCATGTTTATAAAAGTCCTAGTTTGAATAGAGACAGTTTGACTAGCAGCAGACCCCTCCTTGCTTGCGGGCCTAGTGACAATCAACCCCTTATCCCCCTCTTGTTGGATCTGAAGGGATCTTGTTTGAAGTCCACATCTACAAGCATGTCCTTGAGGGAGGGGGAATGGGTGTTTTCGCGTATCTTTAGCACTTCGAATAACAATACCAATGTGCTGAAGTGCTGCTTTTTAGAAACACAATTATGTCACAAAACATCAAATAAAACCTAATGTCTCACAAAGATTTCCTTATTTTATTTATCAATTGAACAAGAGACGGGTGCCTAATCGATGCAAAGAATCAATTCAATCCAATCATTCAAATAATCATTTTCGAACAGTTTCATAAGGATGATCGTTATCTTAACTTGTTGGTTATCTTAGCGCACGTTTTCTTGCTTGTATTGGCACTTATTCCCATCTGCCATTCAGCCCATTAAGTGTCTGTTGGTTCACTTCAAACTTTTGTTATCCTTTCGACCTCTCAAAATTTTGTTTTCAAATTTTTACCTGAATTTGCGCGATTTGCTGTCAATTTTGATGACCTATTTAATTCTAGGAGGCTACAGCCCAGCATGAATGGAAAACAAATTTTTAATAACTTCTAGCTCATGAAATTTTGAGCTGTTTAGGTTCATTAACATACTGCTTTGGATCGGTAATCATTCAGTTATATCTAAATGTAAGGATTGAAACAAAAATGGCACAAAACTGAATCATTGCTATACACCAATCAATATTATGTACAAAGGAAGAACGCTTCACAAAATTGATCAGCCTTGCTTTAAAAGAGAGTGTATTGCTCTAACAAATACATTGATATATCAAGCACAAAGACGAAAAAAAATTAGCAAATGCCTACAGCTAGTGATACACAAATTGCTCACTGTAAAAAGGTTGCTTGAATAAAACTGAATACGGTAAAATCAGTTAATGTTAATATTTCAATGTTAATCTTTTAAAACGAAATCTCTACACTGCATAGAAATATCAAATCAAGTTTGACCGTGGAGAATACCCCTAGACTGTTAATTTGAACCTGGGTTACAGATATTCAACTAGCAAAAATCGAAACATTCATTTTTGGCATTCAGGCAAAGAATGTGTGATTCTTCCGAATCAGATATAGTGATGCATTGCTGGTAGAATCCGTAACATTTCTTCTGGCATTGTCTGACGTTACTGTAAAGTTAAAGATATAAATTAAAACTTTCTAGATTAAAACAAATCTGAGACATAGAAAATGTTATCGAGATGCTTACGAATCGGAGAATGACACAGGGGTCATCTCCTCAGATGAAAAGGGCCCTAATTCTTGGAGGGTGTTCCGCATTGTACTCGTGTTCCTTGCATCTTCAGCATAAAGCATTGCCATCCTAATGTTTGTTATATTTTAGGTTGATTCTTCTACTATGTCAACAGAGATGATTCCGTACAAACTTTATGTGAGCTTGAAAAATCACAAACTCAATCACGTGCCTGTTCATAGTTTAAAATGTAAGTAAATCTTCAGCCGCTAAATGCTGGGAACCATAAAAAAAATTAATGTTCTTTATGGAGTGTAGCTCAACATGTTAAAGACCACAAGAACGCTTCGTATTAAGCATATTTTGGATAATTTAATAGAAAGGGCTAAGCCTCTTCAAGCCACTTGCTCCTGCGATCTCTCAGGGTATGAAAAATGTATTTTTAAATGATTTCTTAACTATTTCATCCCCCTTCCTAGTTCGCTCTGTCAACGATTTCTAATCATTCTTCTCATTTCTTATTTTGGCGAACAGATGCAACAGCTATGATTAGTTTTCACATTTTTGGCGGAAATATCTCGGCATCTTTCGACATCTTGTGGATTAACGTGGCACGAACATCTGCTTCTTACACCCTCTGAAATTGCGCGCTTTAAAATAAGACTTTGGAGATATCGCTTCTCAAAGCTGACAATTAGCCTTGACAAATACCCAATCATGTGTTACATCATTTTGATAAACCAACGTTTGATAACTCCAAGCTCAAATTATTCACTGATTATAGCCAAAATATGATCCGGTAAATGAATGGAGGCATGAAAAACTTGATTCGGGTAGTTGATTTGTTAATCAAAAATCAAAAAGGAGACAGAAATCTTTATTAGTTAAAGATTTTGGATGAAACTTTAAGGATGTTTTTAGAGCGATTGAAGAAGCTGGAAGAGAATTCATGAAGACTTTTTGTTATTGGATACTGTGGTGAATAAAGAAGTTTTTAGCTTTACTAACAATGGCAAAGCCCTTGAAAAAGCAAAATAACATTGTATTTTAGTAAAAAAGTACTTTCTCTCTCTCTCTCTCTTTTATTCTTGGCACGTAATATAGGGTGGCAAGAATTACTTACTTTTTGTGAGACTTGTTAAGGCATGTGAAATTTTCAACTTGTTGATATTTTTAACGCATGGATTATACATGTCCGGATTATGCAAATGTTTAATGGTCTTCAAAAGGTTACTGTATCTCAGTCAACCTTCAAAGCTCATTGATAGAATCCGTGTGAAAGTATAAATATTACATGAAAAGATCAGATATTGGTGAAAAAGATTAGCGTTCTGTGCGCAAATTTGTGTCAGTCTGGTTTGAAGCAAGTTGATAGCTACAGAAAATTGGCCTAAATCAAGGCTCGAGGCTCCTATAGTAAACAACAGGGTATCGACAATGAAAAGCCAGTAATAAAGCGATATTATGAAGCAGATATCTTAAAGCAGGGCCCGTGTCACGAATTTGAAAGTGGGAGAGGGGGCTAAGGCAAGCAAAAGATGGAGGCCAAGACTTCTTCTCCCCTTTGCTGCAGCTTTAAAACTACTTGCTTCGCAAAAAAGTGGGGGCCATGGCCACCCCACCCCCCGGTGGCACGGGCCCTGATAAGCAATATTGGGTCGAATATCAAAATGATGAATGACTTCGAACTTTATCAGGCTTTTTAGTGCTATTGGACATAAGAAATGAAAGCTGTTCCAAATAAAAGAACCTGTAAAATGCAGTTAGATACAAATTGCAAAGTATTTGCTACCTAATAAACTTTTACCCTTTGTGGTTAACTAGTTAACTCCCAAAGCGTATCTTAAGGAGTATTTTTAAGTTCTGCAATAATCATACATATTTTCACTTGAGGTAATGAACTTTGTAAAAAAGACAAAAATTACCTTTTATCGTTGACGCTCCTTAGTGCTTCCTTTCGACATGCACGCCCACATTCTTTGTAGACCTGGTAACACTTTTTTTGTGACTCTCCCATTTTCAAGCAGTCATCAAATACCAATGGACATCTCCAATAGCAAGGAACACCAGGCTCATAATCATTGCTATCTGTTGATGTAGGCCAGCTATTCAACATATATACAAAGCTGATCATAATGACAGCCAGAATGCAGCTGCTTCGAGCGTAGATTCCCTCCATCGCTTTCTTCTAAAAATACGTGTAAAATTATCAATACCATAAAAAGAGATGTACCAGCTGCTAATGAAAGAAATCTATTGGGTTTGTTAAATTTAAAGTGAAAGACAAAAATATTGAACACATATATCAGTTTTGAGGCTAGTACTGCTGCAAAAACTGGTGCCCTGGCACAAAGGGACAAAAATCGGTCTAAAAAGGCAGAGAATTGAACGACATTCTAAAAAACCGAAGAAGAGGAAAATAAGAAATGATTAATGTTTAAGAGACTTTTGGATACATAACTACAAAAAACGCTGGAAACAAAAAAGAGTCTGTGGCAAACCTCGACTAATAGAGATGAAGCCAAGATAGAGAGAAAGAGAAAGCTGCTATAAATATGTTTTAGTCGCACTCAGTTATTTGTCACTTCGTAAATGAAATTCAAATGCCCGTCATTCAATAGCAGGATCAATTTCGTAATTTGTCTAAATTCTACATAAAAATGTTGGGGGAGGGGTAATATTTTGACGACATATTTTTTGTGATGTAATCCTATGATTAGAAACTTTCTTTGCGTAACCAAATGCTGGTCATGGGCGCTTGTTTGCTAGGTGCAAAAGTGGGCATCCTTGTTGACAAAGGAATGTTTCGTGCCAGTAGAAAGGGTGTGGCCTAAAAATGTTAATTTTGTTCCCCGCAGATCCTTGTGGCTATTGCTGTCTTTTCCGTCATTACAGATCCTTAGATATTTCCAAAAGTTCTTGCACTCCAGATAACATTTACGTGTGTGATTCAATAGCGTGGCCAGGTTGTGAGTTTCTTCGTGAAGAATTGCAATTTTAATGAGTCAGGGTTGGTTGTCAACGTGCTTTAGAAAAAGAAAGAGATGTCTTTTTTATCAAAGTAAGCTGTATAGTGAATTAAATCGTTAATGCAAGAAGTATATTTTAGGTAGGGTATATCTTAGAGTGAGATAGAGAGAGGGGATTGACTATTCTGAGCTAGTAGAAGACTTTTGCTTTCTTCCTTCATTGCTTTACTGAACCTATCGTAGAGTGACATTCAGAAACATCTTCAGACGGAAAGATCATGCGTCTGTTTTTGTTTCTAAAGCCCTGGCAAAACGACTAAACATTTCATTAAACATTTCACACAACTTATGTTTAGTGAAATTACTCCCCAATTTTTAGGGTTTAACCCCCTGTTTCTCAGAAATTTCCCCTCACTTTGGTAAAACTAAAATTCATAATCTACGCCCAAAACTACAGCAGAAAAATTTGGTTTGGTAAATTCTCCGCTCGGGTGACAATAGCCCCCTTCCAGCCTTTGGACTAAATGTTTAGTCGTTCTGCCAGGGCTCAACACTAAGCTTTTCATAGCCTATTTTTAACATTCTGACCACCCAGTAATAAATTGTATGTTTGAATGTCACAACCTACAACCAAAAATCTATTTTTTGAATAAAACCATTGTCAAAGACGAGCTTATGTAGATGTTCTCATTTTGTGGTACAGAATTTTTTGCACATCTGTAAACATTTACCCAAATACTAAAACATCGAAGAGTTTAAGGTCACGCATTCATAGAAGCAAAGCAACATGGCAACAGTCTGGAGGTTCTTTCGGAAGAAACCGTTTTACATTATCTTCATTCCCCACACAACTGACACGTGCTTTATTCTGAAACCCGTACTGTTATTACGCACATATCTAGACATTTACAGGATTCTCACAGTTCATGACACGAGTAGCATTCTCTTCTAGAGAGAATGACTCTTTAAAAGCTTTGCACGAGGAAGATAAAAATTATTATTTCTGAAATACAATTTCTATTAAAAGCAAGTTTCAAAAGGGCTTCTTCGTTGCTTTTGTGTTTTTTCAAAATGCAGCTGATTTTGGAGATGATGGTTGATGATGACAATTCACCAACAAATTCAGATAAAAACACAGAAAAGAGAATCATTGCGACACTCAAAAGAACATATGACGAAATTGTCTGAGTCTAAAAGGTCAAGCTACTCAAGTGAGTATGCGCGGCAGAAATTATCAAAAAATTCTTGGTCCGAACCTGTTTGATATTTTGTTCGTCGTTGACAATCAAAGAAAACAACCGGCCTGTTTTAAAAGATAAAAGTTCAGCGAAAGCAGCAAAAGAGCAATTTAGGACGATGTCATAAAATTGGAGGGTTGAAAAAGCATCAGTAACTTTCCAATTCTGAGACTGGGTGTTCTAGCTGCAAGAAAGAACGGATCTACTCAGGGGCGGATTTAGGCAGCAATGATTGGGGGGGGAGGGGGTGTTAGACACTAATTTTGGTGCCACACCCTCAAGGTCACTGATAAATGATGAAAGCGCCCATTTTTAAAATTTGGCTTTTAACTGTGGCGTAGCCAGGTTTGGAAGATTGGTAGGCCAAAGAGAAAAATATTTTTGCTGATCACAACCCTAAAAATTTGGGAAAACACCCATTTTGCAAATGTGTTTGAAAAAGCCATGGCATTTTTACGTGGCAATTTCCCTTTATTCAAAGTCATAGGTGGCTGCCCATATTCTACAATCTCTATTTCCTTCACAATTCCATTAACGTTTATATCCCGAATTGTGTGAGGCGAGGAATCTCTACGTGTAAAAACTGATTTTCCACAGTTGTAATTAAATATCTAAAAAAATTAACAATATTCAAAAGTTTTAAACCAAGTCCGTTTTCCTTGGAGCAAAGTCCACGAAAAGCATTTCAGAATCCAGTTTTTTAAGGATTGGACTGCTTCAGCATTTTAGTTTTTATTTTATCAGAAATGTCTCAAGCGCGTGAAAGACTTTTTTATAGAAACCCCAAAACGAGGGGAAATTATTGTACATTGAGGTTCTCCTGTGACCGAAGCAAGCAGTAGTAAATTTTTGCGATTACTTGCGACGCTCGGTGGAATATTTGAGATTAGCTTAAAATACATTTGAGAATACCCCCCCCCCCCGCTACGCTACTGATAAGAAGATAAGTACTGATAAAAAATAAAAAAAGTAAAATCTGGGCGTTAATTTGTTACTACTGACTACCAACAAAAGATTTTTACCGAACGAAACAAAATATACCGAAGGACACAGAACACCCCCTACACCCCCTCCCCCTGCTAAATCCGTCCCTGGATCTACTGTGATATTTATTGCAGGACAACCTTATATGGATACCTTGTCAAATTATTGTCATCCGTACTATGCTGGATTCTAATCCGAATCCACTTTCTTTTCCTGCGAGTCTATTTCTTCTTCAAGAGAAAAATCACAGTGACCAGTTTCCTTATAGCCTAATTAATTCTGGGCTCTATAAGATTGCTGTCAAACTACAGAAAACGAGACTGGAATGTGCTGGATAATCTCCCGAGCTGTAGATGTTTTTGGTGTATAAAACATGACGGTTCAAAATTGCTTCTCAGTGTTCCACGCTTAATGCGATCGTCAGGCAAATGTACCTCGGAGTAGCAACTTAGAATCGTCCTGTTCTTTACAAGAAAAGCGTAAAAAGATTCTTATACAGTTAAATAGCAAAAAGCAAGATTAGCTTTGTCTCTTGTTTAACTTACCTACACTCTTCTTTTCATAAAAACCAGATGATTTTGCCGAGGCTCAATGTTCTTATTCTTTTATAATCTGAGTCTCGGGTGTTCTTAGGATTGTTTTCCTTTCTACCTTGATTTTTCTACGGCTACATGCTATCAATTGTTTCTTAGACCACTAAATATGAGTTTGTACGACATTTTTAGCAGAAGGGCGGTTGATTTGCTGATTAAACCTGCTCGGCTTGCAAAAATCTGAGAAAATGTTTAAAAATCCAATGCTTTTTTCATTCAAATTTTTCATCTGAGGCTTGGTGAGTTCTTAATTCTATGACAAAGCCTTGGTGTTCCGAATAAGTGTGTCCTTACAAAAAGAGTGTTTTCGAACTGGTCTTTTCAAAGTTTGGGCCTGTCTTGAGGCACACGCAGAGTTCTAACTTACATCATACTGAAAAACTCCGTGGTGAAAAGACCCTTTTGCGAAATCTTCTTTTTTGCAAGCTTGAGGAATCGGTTCTTCTGAGTGTTACTTTTTATACTGAGAGAGAAAGAGAAGAGGAGAGAAAGAAAACGCGTACTCACCTATAGTCAAATTTATTCTATTTTTTAACTCTTTCGACCGGCTTGCTTGTGAACTTTTTAGCGGGCTCGTTCGCCAACGGTTATGGCGAGCTGGTTGAAAGACAAATAAACAAGGGTCTACTGGCTTGGCGAGGTAAAACTCATAGAATTTGTACCATCATGAAGTGGCAGAAACGTTGCTTTGATAAAGATTAACGAGAAATTAGATAAAAAACTGTGCTCGTATAAAAAATAGTCCCATACATTATACATGTTTTATTGAAGGCTAATTTGTCCGTTCATCGGTGTTGACAATCAGATTGTCCGGAGGAGTGGGGCTCTTTCTTAATTTATTTACAAATTTTACAAAATAACCCTGTAATTAAGCAAGAAGTTTTATAATGGAATACCAAGCATAGTCATATATTCATTTCATCATTTTTTGGTTTCTTTTTCTAAAAACTTTGATTTAGTTGTTATTCTTTGAAAAAGGCAATAATTTACAAATAGAACAACTTGCAGTCCTCGATTACAAGCTTTTCCTATCCGTGGACTTAAAAAAACTGTCTTCGTAAAGAGCTTTTTAAGAGAAAAGCAAAACTACATTCATATGTTTTGTGATAGTAGGACTGATAGTGTTCTTGCCAAAACGTGAATGATGATGGAATATATGAAAGTTTAATTTAATCTTCCTAACCTTTATGTCATAGATTTATAAATAAGCCAAAGATGTCATGATTAGGTTTTGTAAAATATACAGAGAATGTTTTCATCCTTTTTGGACCTTCGAATAAGAATATTGTCTTTCTTTGCTTTGATAATATAAATATGTCCAATAAAATACTTTCTAACATAGTCTTGTATTTGATGGTTTTTATATTTCATTTTTAGATGTCGGAAAATTTTCTTCCATGATTAGTTTCCTAGCATTATAATAGTTTTAAAAAGGAATTCCACAGCAAGCATAACCGCCAGAAAATATAAAATGGCTCAACGAAAGCAAGATAGCACAATTGCTAAAATAATATAGCAAAATATATACAAGGTAGATAAATGTATTAATATGAAAAGTTTTTATTAGAAATTCTAGACGGATTGGTCTTAATTCGCAGAAAAAATTACCACCTGTACTCAAAAGTAGCTTCTTCATAATGATTAAAAATTATTTTTCGTTGATTTTTCTATACCTTGGTCTATGAAAAAAAAATTCGACGATAAACTGGCTTTAAAAACTTCCTTCGTCTTGAAATTTTTAAGAAATTTTGAGGTCCTCGTTATGAATTGGGATAAAACTGTGGATAAAGTAATTAGAAAAGTTATAGAATAAAAGATTTTAAATAAGTTGAAATGCAATGTAATGATAACTTTGCTCTACCTTGTGTTTATTTGATACTTCTGATTTCTTGCTTGATTGCTCACTTTCTCGTCTTCAAGCAGTGTCTGCTGTAGCTGCCAGTGTGACAGTAGGTAGCCTTACAAAGTTTATATACTGTTTCAGATACAGGGGGTCACTAGGAACTTCTCAACACCACCTGCCTATAAACACCCAATGAACCTGACGACAAAATACACTAGCCTGACAACAAAAAGATTTGCAAGTAAAAACGGCTCCGGTAATCAAGCATTTCCTCGTTTTGATTCGTACATAATCATAGCTATTACACCATCAATTAATTATTAGATAATAATAAGATTAATCATAGAACGTAAAAAGTAAGCAAGAAGGCTATCAGCACGTGGAACGATCCTTTGTCTAAGCAAATTGTAAGACAGAAATATTACCACATAGGACATGAAATTTTAATCAATTGCGTTTGTTTTTAAGATTGTTCATACTTTCTGTTGTCAGTCATACTAGTCTTCTTATTCTTATAACGGAAATTCTCAGCAAAACAGCAAGCAAAGCTTGTATCTTTAGGCTGCTTTTCATTTGCTCATTCCAGTCGCCTACTAAAGAAGATTTTAATTTGGCGAGATTGGGGATGAACAAATAAAGCGATTCCAGGCCTTTGGGCCTAATTGACGCACGATTTGCTTTGAGTTCCTTTGCTTATTCAGAGGCTAGAGAATGATTTGACATAAATCATTTGTTTTTGATGTATGATGAATTTTTTAAAACGGCGAAATCATTTGCAGCGAGCTTTTCAACATTATTACGTAACAAAATTTACTGTATCTTCCACAAACAGTTAGACAGTCATATCATCCATGATTCTAGTAAAATTTAATAGATATACTTGTCATATTTGATTATCATGATAACTGTTGTTTATTGAAAAAAGTTTCCTATCTAAGTTTTAAAGATGGCAGGGATCCTCTCTTAACCTCCCTGAACCAAAAACTTTAAGAAGATTCTTTGAAGATATGTTTCTAAAGATAAAGATGTAGTTGATTGATGAAATGTTACATGAAGTAGTATCTTCAAAGCAACAAGGGACAATGGATTATGTCAATTTTGATGCATTTTTATCATAATGTAACCTGTTCGGTGCTTGAGTTGATGGGAAAGTGGTCTTCTACGCTTGAAGCCAGGCTATGGATAATGGCTTGGACAATTGACTGAAACAAACAAGTTTTTGCATGCTGCAAATGAAACATGTAGAATAAATCGAACATAGCGGACTACGCTTGGTAGATTATGGTAAGATGTTTAAATCATCACACATACATACACTCGGTGCAAGAGTCCGATCAACTTTAGCTGGGAAAATAATTTTGAATTTTAAAAGAGCAAAATGTGATAATAGAACAACCGTTGAAAATGTCTTGGAAACCTTTGTTGGACGTCAAATCCAGCAAAGTCTGTAGAATCTTGCGTTCTCACTACTGTTCATATCCACAAAGAACATGAGTAGATGGAAGGCTTCAAAACTTTGAATGTCGCGTTTTGAAAGCATCTTCTTTTAAGGTATTTTATACGAATTTTAAAAAAGTTGATTGCAATAAAGAGCTGTAAAACCACTAGGAAGCATATTGTTCACATTTATATCACTTCTATGCAATCATTGATGAGAGACCACTCAATCAATCAATCGGTCTGCCTTGTGATATGGCGTAGGCGACAGTCATCACGTCCTGCCTACGTTGTTTCATCACTGGAATGAAATTCAAGGGCCTAAATCCAGTTGCTCGTCAAAGTCTGAGGGACCACTACAATGTATTAATTGGTGTATAAAAATCATGTCAGGGCTACTGCAATTCAAAAGTATGAGATAGATAAAGACAAATAGAAATTCTTTAAACGGCCATTGAAAGAAGTACTTGTGGCATCGATATAAATTGATTTTAACTAGATAATAACCTAAATCTGCTAAAGCATATTCACACTACTGATGACTCTAGTAAAAGTCACTAGCAATAATAGATGGGGTGACTTAAGAGAATCGTAGAAAAGTCGAAGTATGGTTAAGGATACACCTTTAATTACGTTTAATTGTCGTGAGAATTTATAGCTATGGAGATAGTGATAGAAGTTTTGAAGATTTCTTGAAAATGTTTGTCTTGTTTGCACCGAAACCGACATGCACCGAAACAGAGAACAGATGGACTCCTGCGAATATGTTTGTGTCAAAGAATTTGGTGGAAATAGATGATTTTTAGACTGATTTGCTGTTACCATGTTTCAACGAGCTTGAATTTAGAACTTCTTCTTTAAAACAATTTCATCGGATTATCTCTTTTAAAAAAACTTCATGCGGTTGCATTTTTTAAGTCACGATTTCCTAGCACACTTAAACATGAGGCATTTTTCTCATACAACAGTTAGCTAGAGGCTATTACAATAGTTTACTCAGGCACTCCAAAGCATTAGCACAGTTTAAAGCGTTTCAGCTTGCAATCAGCATGTTGAATCATTTCAGATCTTCCTCGCTGTCTTTTGAATTCGTTATTGCATACAGCACAGCGAGAGTGCTCGGCTATGCAGAACTGCAACGCCCACTTGCAAATCATCTTACATTGCAAAAACATCTTGGTGGCAGTTGGCTTTGAATCCCTGCACGCGAAGGAACAACTACAACAACTGCTACAACAACTACAAAACTAGGAGTGTGAAATGCGCGAAATACTCAAACCATGTTTTCAACTGAAGATATGCACAAAACCCCTTTCCTTATAACGCCTTCAATTTCATTCTGAAGCAGCAAAATTCAACATTAGGTTAGAACCGCTGATTTTACATCAGCAGATTCTCAATAAATCTAAATTTTTTTCTGGTTTTAGTAGCATATTTCAAAATCTCACTTAATGTAAACAATGATATTTTTCCCAACAATTTAAAATGTTCTTAGTGATAACAATATATTTTTATAATTTTCTAGTTTTGGTTACAAAGCCTGAAAGGCCAACTGAAGGTACTGCAAAATCAGTTGAATTTGATAAGCACGAGCCTAGCCAGCTAAAGAATGTTGGTTTTTTTGATCATTTGCTTGCTTACCACATCGTCTGGTATCTGCCAATTCAAATTTTTTAATAAACTCAATGTATCAGCATATTAATCGATAACGTGATAGAGTTTGAAGACAATAAGTGACCTAGATTTACATTCACCTTGGTCCGTCATTCTTAATCTCCGGCCCACAACAATATTTTATCCGGCTCGCCAAATACTTTTATCTCAAAAATATTTTTGGCTTACGCTCTCAAAATTTGGAATTCAATTCGCTTTTGCTTTTCGCCGGCAAAATATCTTTTTCTCTGCAGTAAATGACAATATGCGTTCCGTTGAACAGTTATTGGTCCGAAAGGAGGGTATCAATAAAAAGAAATGCTTTATTTAATCATTTGAATGCTTTATAGCAATATAATTTCCAAAATACCATCATCATTTTAATTCAAGAGTTCGATTAATCCCAGGCCCGAGGGCAGATATGGATAGTTGATGCTATTAGCGTGTGTGGCAGCATTTGTGGACTGGGGTACAAGCTAGTGGATATTGCTGAACTGTGTTACATTTGTTTCTTCTTTCCATCTTATTTTGCTTTCATTCTAATGTACGAAAGAAAAGAAAGACAGATAAGCTCTAATTAAAATACAATCATTACATTTTGGTCTGATTTCAAGTGCACCAACCATGGATCTGACTTCAAGTGCACCAACATACACTACCTGTCGAATTCTGAAGTCCTAACCTCAAAGTGTACGTAATTTTGTGCAAAAATTTTTTGGGTAGATATGATATGCTGCAGTTAGTAGCTTTTAGCCATCTTTCAAGGCTTTTCAAGATGCGACGCTCGATAGAGGGCGGCGTTAATAAGACGGCGTAATTTTTCACAAATTGTTGGCTGAAATACTGACAGAATTTTTGTCAAGAAGATCTGACACCTTAAAGAAAGTTGCCACTTTCTCCAGACTCCAGCTTCCTGTCTCATGCAGAAGCACATGAAACAACTTCACGCAAAATCGCTATCAGACGAGGAAAGTCAAAATAGCTTCATCTTTTGGAAAGAAAAGCATTACTTGATGTAACTAATGAGCGAAATTTTCGGCACGAATGCAGACAAGAGCAAACGCCACAACCTTCCTACTGATGAAATTTTCAGAAAATTTTCTTTGTATCTTTTGAAAAAAAATTTCTTAGGAATCAAATTAAATTCCGCTATGGTTAGGTCCTCACGCTTTATCAGGAAAAAAATTAAAGCACAACAGTAAAGTCCTCTCAATTTATACACCCCTGTCACGCTATGCATTCATCAAAACAACTCCATCATTGGATAACGCTCCGCCAGTTCACAGTCATGGAACATTTGTTTTGTCTGTAAGTTGCGTACATCAGGCTGTTTTCGTGTGAATTTTCCCAAAGCAAGCCCAGACTTTGCATTAATTCGCAAAAATTTCGGACGGTAAAATTTGAGAACAAATTTTTGGTAAAAAACATTTACTTTGGATGTTCTACTGGACTTTTGACTATTATTTATTCTTCAAATCTCCAGGAATGGTGTATGAACATATTTTTATATGAATATAATAGTAATTCATGTGAATGGGAAAGAGCAAAGCTCGATTGCTATAGATTTATCCTGCCTATGTATTTTCTCTGCCTAAAAAATATAAACGTATGTGATTGGCAATGTTGTGGTTGATCACATGAGGCGTAATTCTTGCTTTGCAAAGATGGCAAGCAAACTCACTTGTTCACATGAAGAATCACACGATGATCCAATACCCTAGCAAAATTCCATATTTTTGCATTATATAGAGTTCAATATTTTCATGTTAGGAAGACAATAAAATATGGACTCGCACAAAATCTCATAACAAACTAAGCTAAATACAGAATCCTTACTACTGCCTTTATTAGAATTTGAAGCCAGCTCCCAGGAAACTGCCATATTTTTCTTTTTAAGGATTCGCACAATCCAGGAATTTTCTATTCCTCAAAACGGTATGCATAATGACAAAAGTTGGGGTGAGCTAATCGACCAATGCTTGATGAGGTTTGCAACAACCTACAGACATATTGCGGTAAACAAACTTACACTTGGATTAATAGTTGGTTGAGTAAAAATATTTTTAGCACAGGTAATTCGTT